CACCCCAAAATGACCACAACAAAACTGCTTCCTTGAACTGCCTTTGGTTTGCCAAAGGAAAGAGAAATTATTTCTCAGCATGCAGTATTTAGTTGAGAGGAAGAATTTGAAAGTGAGCACAGTGGACACAAACCCAGACAGAACTAGTAATTTTTAATAGCGTAGAACTGGGTTTTACATCCTGGGCTCAATATCAGAAAAACTGTGAGTTTAAACATTTAAAGAACTTCGGTCACTGTTGTAGTATGGACCAGGCCCACCTTGTTATTAACTCTCATTTCCCTCTGTTTACGTACCTGAGTCTACACCCTTTCAACATAAGCTCACCCAGGTATGAGAAATTCTGATTTATAATTTATTCATCCTTATATTCCTAGTATGAATGGATTGTTCTGCAAACTCTGAGAAGCCAATTCCCCAGTCTGTACAAACATCTGGGGTTGCTCCATCCCAGGTGCAAAATCCAGTATTTTCCCTTGCTGAACTTCATATGGTTGGGGATTGCCCAGTCCTCTAATTTGTCGAGGTATTTCTGCAGGGCCTCCCTGCCCTTGAGGGAGTCAACAGCTCCTTCAAGTTTTGTGTCATCTGCAAACTTGCGTGGTATCCTTTCCAGCCCTGCATCCAAGTCATTTATGAAGCTGTTGAAGAGCCAGGCAGAATGGCAACATTAGGCACCATTGTGGCTAAACGCTGCCTTATTGTTCCAATGCAGTGTGCACTCACAGCCCAGAAAGCCAATCATGTCCTGGGCTGCGCCAAAGGCGGCATCACCAGCAGATTGAGGGGGGTGATTCTGCCCCTCTGCTCTGCTCTGGTGAGACCCCACCTGGAGTACTGCATCCAGCTCTGGAGTTCCCAGGAGAGGAAGGACATTGACCTGTTGTAGTGAGTCCAGAGAAGGACTACCAAGATGATCAGAGGGATGGAGCACCTCTCCTACAGGGACAGGTTGCAGCAGCTGGTGTTCCCCAGGCTGTTTTGTAAAGCATGTGAGCACTCTACTTGTACAGTAGTTTACATATGAAAATTAATTTATTTGAGTCTCTCAATTCTTTTTAAATATTGAACCAGCTCCACGGGTGCAATAGCATCTCTCTTTTTCTTTATCCATTTTTGGTTTTATTTAATTTTATTAATTTATTTTTTCTCTTTCTGGACACAATCACAAAGCCCTGTCATGTCAGACATGCATGAATAGTTATAGTATTGCTTTATTTGGACTTTCCAGACTGACAGGGCCTTTTCTTCTGCTTACCAAGTAAGTTCAGGTTTCAAGTACAGCTTGTAGGTATCCTCAGCAGTGACAGTGGTGAGTTCTGCCTCTGTGCCTGTCTACTTGCATCTGCTATAGAAGGAAGCACCTTCTCACTCAATCCTGTTACAAAATCCTTTAACCTGACAAACTGAGACTTCAGCTGAGCTGTCATGCATTTATACAACCCACAGACTTGGATCTAACTTCCAACTACTCACTCACCCAGCTGCAAAAGCTTCCGTGGCAGCAGGCTCAGGGTAGTGCCTCTGCACAGGCAGTTAGGAGCAATCTGAATGGGTTACCTGCTTCAATGCTTGACAAACCTTTCAGGGAAGAATTTTTCCTAACATCTAATCTAAACATCCCTTGACACAACTTGAGACCATTTCCTCTCGTCATATCGCTTGATACTTGGGAGAAGAGACCAACGCCCACCTTGCTACAGCCTCCTGTCATGTAGAGAGTGAAAAGGTCTCCCCTGAGCCTCCCCTTCTCCAGGCTAAACAACCACAGCTCCCTCACGAGATCCTCCTAAGACTTGTACTCCAGTCCCTTCATCAGCTTTGTTGCTCTTCTGTGGAGATGCTCCAACAACTCAATGTCTTTCTTGTCATGAGGGGCCCAAAACTGAACACGGGATTCAAGGTGAGGCCTCACCAGTGCTGCAGAAAAAAACAGTTTCTCAAAGAAATCCAGAGGCTTCTCCAAGTACTCACCTGGGGCTCTCTGGGACTCCAGTGATCTCCCACAGCACGTATGTGTCACTGCCTTTCTATGCCTTTCTTGAGAAATACATATCAAGAATGCAATGCAGAATATATCTTCCTCCAAATGTTAACTTTCTACTCTTCTGGCATTTCAGGTTAGCTTTTTTCCATTCCATTTTAAAATCTAACTAAATACTTCACTTTTAAAAGCTTCAATCCCAAGAGAATAAGAAGTATACAGGTCTTAGAAATTAAAGGCACCTGCATTCTTCTACCAGTAATATTCATATTGGACTGTTTTCCTTAAACTTAAAAAATACAAACTCACCTTTCAGAACATTATTGAAAATGCTGTCATAAAAACAGCTGTCATAAATGCTTTTGTATGCTAGCATTCATTTGTTTGATCCGTATGGTATTTGTAACACTAACCAATTTCAATCTAGCTTGAATACAGAGCCATAAAAATTTTCTCTGTACAGACACTAAAGATAGATCAGAACCTTCAAAGGATGTTTCATCTCATCCTAGAATAGCAGTATAGGACAGCTGGACTGCCATCACTGTGACTGTCTTTCACCATTGATCATAAAGAGAGTCTGGATGACAGGTTTGGATGTAAACAGTTAATTTTTTTGGTAGTGAAAGCCAGGTGATATGAATCCATTCTGTGATGTAATAGGAAACAGCACTGGATTATGTCTCCTCTTGGAAACCATGTGGGCAACTAGTTTCATTACAGTTTTTTAAGTATATTAATAGTATTACTTACCAGCTAGTTGATAAGTTGAGCCTTAGGCAGGAATCGGGGCATCTGAATTATTGCTTTACCCCAGACCAGGAGTTCCCTTTTGAAGTGCCTCTTCCACTCACCTCCACTTCCTGCAGTTTGGCTAATGTTTCAGAGTAGTCCTGGAATACACAAACCAGGTTCCTTCCCAGGAATCAGGTTCCTTCCCGGTGTCACAAATCTGTATTACTTGGTCCAGGATGACAGGTAAGGCTCTGCAACTGCTCTTGGGCATCCGGGTCTTGAAGACCTGGTGTAAATCAGAGTTCCAGGAAAAAAACATCATTGTACGATGACTTTTAGAAAGGTGGAGGGTGTATCAACTGTTCTCCAAAACAACAAATATAAGAGAGTAGTCGCTAGAGGGAGCCTCTTAATCATCATACCGCACTAACTTGGGCCTTCAGCTCCTAGATATTGAAGCACTTTAACACAGTCACAGAGTGTTACTGCCTCCAGTACTCGGCGTAAAGAAAACAAGAGTAAAAAGACAGGACTATGCAAGGCTTCTGCAAAATTCGACGTTCATTCCACTCAAACACAGACTTTCTAAAGATTTCCCCACAGAAAATCAGCAAAGTCAGTTCAGCGGGTAGGAACAGAATTAGTTTTGCCAAGACTTTTTTAAAATGCCATCTTTAAGTGGCACCAGTGAGAAGGCACCCACCTTTCCCTCCTTCAGAGATCAAACACCAAAATGGGCGTAAGTTGTCACTTTGAAAGGAAAGTCCTTAGACCACCAGCACTACCCTCTCTTCTTTACCTTCATTACACTATAGGTGTGCCCAGGTGGTAATTCCCAGATTTCCAGCCAGATTTCAACGAGTGCTAGTTAGAACAGCAATCTAGTCTAGCTCTCTCCATGTTGGTAAGATGACTGTCTACAAAATAACAGTGCAGTATAACTGCAGACGTGCTTCCAATTTTCTGCTGTACTCTAAATTTAGTAAATAACATAGCAGTTATAGTTTGTGGTTCTCTGTTACAAGTTCTATAGAATTTGCAAGAAGTCCTAGAAAAAACACAAGAATATGGAAGCTGTGAAGATGGCCCCAGCTGCAAGAGGGCCTCTCTCAGTTAGCAGAGCCCTGCTGGAATTGATTGCAACCTGAACAGAAAAAAACATAAGCAGCTCAGGTGTTTCTTTTTAGAAAATATACAGCAGTAGAGGGCATCAGAAAACAAGAAATCCTATAGACCTTAATGAATCCTTGAAGCGCTAAAGGCACAATGAGGGGAATGGGAATTAGAGAGGTACAGACTGGGATGCTGTAACACAGGTGGGGATAAGAAAGCAGGCACTGAGAGAAGGAAAATCAGACACATCATGGCTTCTGTGTGTGTTGTCTGTAACCACTTGAGCACGAAATTTTAGGGTGGGAGGGAGCAGGGAAGGGATCACCTGTGGTGCTGTAATGTGCCTCAGAGGTGATCTACTAGCAAACCAACCTGAGCATTGCAATTGGTAATGAAACACCAACTCGTAATAACATCACCCTTCCCTTTTAAGATATGAAAACACAGGAAATTCTCTGTCTGTAAAGCAAGATTGCTGTTTGGTACTGTCTCATGCTGTCCCAAAACACACAGTACAGCAGGACTCAAACAAGAAAAATCAAGAAAGCAAGCATTAGCCAGCATGCAACCTCAATTTGTGTCTGTGAGTGACGATAAGAAAACAGGCAGCACTCAGAAGTCAAGCTGAATGACTCATTTTCTGAAAAAGCAAATTCGAGTCTCTTACTGGCATTTCCTCCCCACCCTAGAACTATTTCTCAGTGCATGTGCAGAGACAACCTTGTCACTGTTGCAAGCACTCAGGACTGCCATAAAGTGAAGAAATTAGCTCAGTTTCTATTTCTACAGACAAAGAATTGCTGCTCCGTAAGTACAGCGATTTTCTCTTTTCCTTGGTGGAAGTGAGGAAAGGTTATTTATAGTGCCTTTCATGGGAGCGTCTCAGACTTGAAGGAGATCATTCCCATCCCTTGAGGAACTGGTGGTTGGGCAGAAAGCATTTTAGCTGCATTTGTGGTGTTCCCCAGCCCGACCCTCACACGCTGTATGAATGTCAGAGTTGTGCAGACAGCAATGGGACATGCAGCTTAAGGGACTCCAGGATAAGCTAGAATATCCAGCTGCTTGCAAGCTCTGGTATAACACGCTTTTCCTGTAGTGAACTGTAGGACATACAACTAGGGCAGATTTCAGGACCGCCTCCAGAAGCAATTATCAGACGCTGTGCCATAGCAGCAACCCTTGTGCTGAAAAAATTTTGAATGGTTTTAAGTCGACTGAAAATAAGCTCATGTGCCAGTCTATCGACTGCCTGCTTTGAACATAACTTGACCAGGTACTGTATTCCTCCTTTACTATGTTGGAAAATGCACAGGAAAATTTTAACGGGTGTTTGGAAATTCTTTCTTGCTTCTGTAGATAAAAATATCTCCAGGAAGTCTCTAAAATACTTTTTCCCTTTACAACAACATTGTTCTCATAGAAACGTACATACAAAGTGAGAGCTGCAGACAATTTGTTATCATGAGTCTGACTTTTATTTATCCCAGGTCTTCAAAACAGGAATTTTTCAAAGAAAGTTTCACAGATTGAACAGTACTGAATTGAGTGGTATTAACTATGAGGCTTTTCACTGAGTGTTGCCAAACTGATGCCACAAATGGGTACTGTGTATATCTGAGTACATATAAAAATATGAATATTTTCTTTTATGCAAACTGGTTTGATTTGGGATTTCAGTATCCTGTAAGTGTTGTGATGGAAAGGTAAATACTTTTTTGTTGTTGTTGTTGTTTAATTTGAATTTTATTGCTTTAAATCAACATAAGAAAACAACTAATAAAATATGAAAGATATGCAAGCTAACTTCCTCTCTCCCCCCTTCTCCCTCCCCATTCTTAGATTATTAAAATGGATGAAGAAAGGCATAAAATATAAATTATTTTGGGGGAGGGATTAATGATGGGAAATGGAGAAAAGTGTTTTACTCTAGCCAAATTCAGTTCAGATAGCAGAGAGGACTGTTTGCTTGCAGCATGGCTTCAGTGGCACTTTGGCGAGAGTGGTTCCATACAGGTCTCCAAAAATGCATCCTCTGAACTGTTTGCTGCTGCCCCAGCTGCCAGGGGCCAAGCAGGGAGCTGCACAGCTGTATGTGCAGGGACCCAGACTCCCTTTGATTGTTCTGACTGGGGAAAGCTGCTTTCACCGTCCATCTTGCTCCAGTCAGAGCTGCTAAAGTTTCGCTGCCTGGACTCCCACACCACCTTTCACTAAGAAATGGCTTGACAGGGATAATACCAGTCAGTGCAGTAACTGTTTATTACCTGCTATTTTACAGGCAGCTTCTAAGGAAGCTCAGCCTTGAGCTCCAGGCTGTGCTTTAAATCAGTGTCTCTCTAGTGTGAAGTGCAAGCACTTAGTGACAACCAATTGCACAATTAAGCCTGATTTTTTCCAACTCCCTTTTATTTCAACTGTTTTGGAGGCACATACTATAAAAATGTAAAAGATGGCTGAGGTATTTTCCAGTTCTTTTCCTATATCTACTTAGGATGCAACAAAGGTACAAACTCAAACACAGGAAACTGAGTGTCTGTACATAGCAATGCTGTATCAGCATTGGTAAGTCAGTGTTTGGATGCTGATTTTCTAAGTGTAGAAAGTTCAATTTTCCCTTTAAAGCTGGTAGTGTTGATGCATAAAATGTAAGGACTATGGATATTAACTAAGCTGCTTAATTCATCATTTCTGGAAAACAAAATATGAAACAAACATAATTTATAAAATTGACATGCTTGGGACAGTTCAACTAGACATGGGATAAATTTGAAAGGAGTCTATTTTAAAGCTTCTGAACGAAGTTCATTTGGCCCTTATTTCAAAGCTTTTAAATAGTTTTTCTTGTCCTGGCAGTGAAAGGAAAAGCCCCAGAGAAACCTACGTATTCTCAGAGAAAATAACAAGAGGCTAAAAATTCTTCTAAGAAAATATTATTGGAAAAAGATGACTAGAATTTCTAGAACTAAAAATACCTCTTATAAGCCTGAAAGTGAACTTGGCACATTACGTGAAGAAGCAGCAGGTTGCTGCTCTCTCTATGATCACAGAAAAATAAATTACATTGACTGGATTTTAAAATGCTCTTCTTTTCCATTCTGAACAGTGAGTATTTTTCATACAGTTGAGTCATGTAAGAAAAGAGAATTATTTTGCTATTTTAAGATAAACTTCTCTACACAAAAAGAAAAATTCTCTAAGAAGTGAAGAATGCCTTTACTCTTCTTCATTTAGGGTCTGGACTTGAGGTGCACTGCAGTAAATAAAACAGAATGTTAGCAGGCTTTGGTAAAGTTTTCAATCTATTTTTATTGCAGTGACTACTAGGAAGATGTAAATATGATAAAGGTACTCTTGGTTTTGCAGGATCTGAATACTCCAAATGCAGAAATGATTTGGCAACTAGCATCTTACTGGTAAGAAAAAAAATCACGAGTAATTATTATATCATCTTAATAATGACATAATACTGTGTTATAAAAGAGTAGCATTGTCTATCCAAAAGTACACTAACAATGTGGGTTTTGCTTGTTTGTTTGTTTTTCTTGTTATTAATTTTTGCACAACCCAAAGGTCTCAGTCTGGTCAAGAATGATGTCAGAGGAAGTTGATCCCATTCTCAGTTTCCCAGACCAACTTCTAATAAACATCCCAGGCCACTGAAGCACAATCACTTGTATGTCACGTGCTACATGTAAATTCCCATATGAGACTGCTCACAGGAAACTTGGAAACAATCAGAAAAGGAGATTTTAAAGTTATAGACCTGACATTTTCCTTTCATTGCATCTGTTTGGGTCAATGATAAACACTTAGCACACCCTCTGTGTCTGGACAGAGTGGTCTGGTCTGCAGTCAAGCTTACACTGGAGGGTCTCTGGCCACGTGTGGAGGGCATGATGAATGTCCAGGTCATTGGCTTCTGTCCTTCTTCTGTGTTTCAGGTCACCCCTGGTTACACCCCTGATTTTTGGTCTGCTTCTGCAGCCACCACTCACACAGCCTTCCATCATCACACAGCCAAACATTGTCCTGTTGATGGCTGATGATCTCGGCATAGGGGATGTAGGTTGCTATGGGAATGATACTATCAGGTAAGGAAACTGAGTGTAAGGGTGAGCAGAGCTGGTGTGATATTTAACATAAACCTGAAATCTGCCCAGGATTACCTCATAGCCTAGAATGCAACTCCAGGGACAGCTCTGCTATGTGGAGTTGCTTTACTGTGGGAACATGCCAGTTGTTCTTGTGTATCCCTTAATTGCCTGACATTGAGAAAGAGCTATACCCAAAGATAGAAATGTTGTCCCCTCTTTCAACATATTATTACCTCACTTTATGTTGCCATTATGTTTCCCAGTCTCACATCAAAGTACAGTTAAATGACTGCAATGAACCATGTTACTAGGAAATATTTCTCTTTTCAATCTCAGGGACATAGAATTTGCCTTCTCTTTCAAAATTGTGCCACAGTATTGCCTTCTGGCTTCCTACCAGCTTGTCACTTCTTTGAACAAAACCAAATTTGCTGTGGTCATTCCCCTCATCCAGCAAATTTCTCAGAATCTTACTCTGATCGGCTTCAGTTGGCAAGTTTCAGATGGGCAGCAGGCAAATGTAGGTAGCTGCTGGTGCTCTGCAATGCTGGGCCTCCATACCATCATCCCCCTGGCATGGATTTTCTTTTCAAAAGCAGTGGGGTACATTTGGGATGTACTAGCAGAGTGACTAAGTATTGTATTCTGAAATGTAAGATATTCTCTTGTCTGTAACTAGTGTGTTAGGCAAGCCTAGTTTTGCTGGTTGTCAGTTGCCTACAAAATACCCTTCACTCACCTACACTTAATTCATGTTGCCACTACAGTGTGAAAACATGCAGGATTTCTTTCAATTTTTCTCCTTTTCCCTTCATTTCAAACATCAGAGAAGCATTTTGTTTGCTTCCTCTTCTATACTGTAAGTTATGTAGCATCTTGTGTAGTCAAGCACTGTCACCCTGTGGCAACTAAATTACCATTGCACTGTACGTTGATATGCTCCTCTTTAAAAATCTGGCGTAGGAAATGCAGTTCTGGAGGGATGAAAGGTCTGTGTGCATGTTTCATGCAAGTAATGGAGCTTCTTGAGGCAGAGAGAAAAAGCACAGGTCCAGCACACAGAGACAGCTCTCCTCATACATGTGGGACTGATTGTTTGTTATTCCAGCCTCAACCCTGGGTAAGAAAAATATAATTTAAAAGTATTTTGGAGAAGAAAAGGCTCCAGAGAGACCTTATAGCAGCCATCCAGTACCTCAAGTGGGCCCATAATAAGGTTGGAGAAGAACTTTTTACAAGGAAATGCAGTGACAGGATAAGGGAATGGCTTTAAACTGAGAGAAGGTAGGTTTAGATTAGACATTCGAAAGAAATTCTTTACTGTGAGAGAGGTGAGGCACTGAAGCATGTTGCCCAGAGAAGCTCTTGAGCCCTGGAAGTGTTCAAGACCAGGTTGGATGGGGTTCTGAGCACCATGATCTAGTGGAAGGTGTCCCTGCCCATGGCAGGAGGCTTGGAAATTGATTATATTTAAGGTCCCTTCCAACCCAAACCATTCTATAGTTCTACGATTTCTGCAAGACTCTTCACAGGACATGGGAAACAAGAAGGAATGGTTGGCTTGAAATTAATCCAGATACAGATGCTAATGTAAAAAGAAAAAAAAAAAAAAAGAACTATTTACCCAGCACTTAAGAAAGTTAAAATAAATATGAAAAAAATTATTTCCTGACCATCTTCAAATAGAAGAAACTTCCCATAATAAAGATAAGTATATAATTCTTTATTCCCCTGAAAAACTCTCTGAATGATACCTGATGGTGCTGGTCACATTTTTAGGACCCCGAACATTGATCGCCTGGCAAAGGAAGGAGTGAAACTGACCCAACACATTGCTGCGGCTCCTCTTTGCACCCCCAGCAGAGCAGCTTTCCTCACCGGCAGATACCCACTCCGATCAGGTTTGCCTTGCAAAGCCAAGCAGCCTTTAAACATTGCTTTATTACTGTAGGGAACAATGTCATACGAAGGGCACAAAAAAAATGAGGGTGTGCAAATACAAGGGGTGCCACAGATGCATCATCCCTCACTGAGACCCACAAGACACCAGCCTAGAACCTTTGAGGTGGCATCTATATTTATGGAGTACATCCAACTGATTGGGGGGGAAAGTAGAGAAAAAACAGCTCTGCAGAGCATCTTGGTCCCCTCAACTCACAATTTTGGTTGCCTTTTGGTGCTCTCCCATATAGATTGCAGCCAGAATGAAGTTAGAGCAAATTGCTACATTTGAAGAAGTCATTACACAAAACATGAATAATAATAATGAACAACACATTTCTAAAGCACCAGTTATATTAATTTCTGTCATGGGTGACTCCTCATCACATGTCAGAAGCAGCTCAACCCTGCAGGGAGCAGAGTAGACCTATGCAGATGTGTGTCCATTCCCTCCAGTCGAGGTGCAGAATGAGTCACGTATGGGAAAGCTCCTTTACTTATCTGTCAGAATTAATCCATCCTATGAAATAACAGTTTGACAGCTATATTATTTTTCCCAACTGTGTTTTTGAAGAAAAAATACGATCCTGTCAAACTGCATCCCTGAGATGAAGAGGTATGAAAAACAAACAGCTCTACATGTTTCTAACAGCAACTCTCAAATGCTTGTTCTATTGCAAATTATCTTCAGAGCCTTCATTCCTGAGGCATTTTGAAGCTGATATGTCATCCCACATTTATCACGACAGCTCCCACTGAGACGGGTAGCTTGAAAATGCACGTGGGCTTGTACAAACCCTCTCCTACTATAACAACAGTTCCAGAGATGTTCAACGCTGCCAGGAGTGACTGAACTTCACATAATGCTGTATGACAGGGTTATGCCAGCATAAATTGCTAAATAACAAGGTGTAAACCTGCAGGTGAAGAGAATACTGCAGTGCTAGGTAGCTACTCTGTGGGTCTCAGAGATGGGATACCATCCATGACACTGCACAGGGAAATCTTGAGTTTCCAGGCAGCCCTATGTGAGCTGGAGTTTGAGGCTAATAAAGGGTTTAAGTCTCTTTATGCTCTTCCCTGCCCTCACAGTCACACTAAGTGCGTGCATCTCATACAGCCTGGATGCCACTGTAACATATAAAAGCTCCTATACAACTGTGTCATTCCTAATGAAATGAAATCAAATAAAATGAAGTTAAATTAAATAAGAGTCTCAGTATGAGGTACAAAGAAGAATGGGTACCATAGAGAGGCTTAACTCTTTTTTAACCTTGTCCAGAGTCCTAGATTCATGTTTCCAAACAAAGAGCATGAAGATGAACGTTAAACACTATCATTTCAATGAAATCTGGAAACAACAAAGTATGTTGGCTAAAAGTACTCTGCCCCTTATACTTACTCAGATTGTTTCATTTTTAGGGATGGATGCTATAAACAATTACCGTGTTATTTTTTGGAATGCGGGCTCAGGAGGCCTTCCTCCAAATGAAACCACTTTTGCCAAAATACTGCAGCAGCAAGGCTACACCACAGGATTGATAGGTATGGAGACATCCTAAAAATGTTCTAGAATGTGTTTCACCTGCACATCTCACTCAAACCAGTTGTTTTAGTTAGTAACTGCTAATACTTCTGTTGGAATACTTTTATTTCCCAATTTGAGAATATTACGTAAGAAGAAATCCTGATCAAACAGTACATTTCTTAAAAGAACAAGCATCTGATAAAGAGGAAAAACTTTGCTGGTTGTTGGAAAATACAATGGAAAATCTGTTAATTATTCCTGAATATTATTGTACCAGGTACAAGATGCTTATTTGATGCTACTTTGTAAAAAAAAGGCAAAAATACGAGTGCCATTTAAATATGCATGATAATGTTTTACCCAGTTCATAGTAGATTCATGACAAAAGGGAACAGCTGCTACTTAAAACAGTAGAGACAATGTATAGTACCACAGGATTTGGCCTTTCAAAACCAGAAACAAAGCAATTATTTTTTTCTATAATATAGCATGACAATAAGTTCACCAAGATTTCAGTACAGCCTGTAAAACATTGCCTTCTTCAGCATTCTCATGAATTTTGTTTATATATTATAGCTCTATCTTTTTAATTGTTGTAACTTTGAGTCATGATCTAGTTTCAAATAATTATTTATCTTAGATATGCTACATAATTCCACAAGGTGATAAAGCACGAACATTCCTGAGCTGAATTTTCAGCTAATTGTCCTACTTCATCTGAGCATCTAAAATGTCAAAACCCAAAACCTACACTTGACTTTTAAAAATATTGGCTGTACAAACCAACAGAATGTATTAATAAAAGTTCCTGTAGAAATAGATTTGTATTCATTCAAAAGAATAGATCTAAACCACACAGGACAAAACTAAAAGAAGCCTTCCATGCATTTTAAATTCTACATTACTAAAGCTCCATCTCCTGTTAGTTTTGCAGCAATACTATTGTAGTTGTTTTAATCAGCTCATAAAACACGCTGTGCATGCTTCAGCTTGGTTTCAGCATGTAATCATTAACAAAACAATCAGATTTCTCTCCACTCTCCCAAGGGAATTGCCCTGCAGGGAGACTCTGCTGTATACTTCTCAAAAGCAAAATGTACTGGCATTCTCCCTGTGGGCATCTCAGCTAAAATCACACTATGGACACCAAAAGCATCACTTAGTTTAACTGAATTGACAGATCCTGATTAATTGCTCTGTAGGGGCTGATGGAAAGTAAGTGACACACAAAACCCCACAAGAACTTTACGTTCAAGTCATGAAGCAAAAAATCTTAACACAACATCTGTGCATGTGACCACAGCTGAATGAGCACTAAGGAGTCGCACCTGAATGGTTTCTGATTGTTTTGCCCTGAGCACAACCAGTTTAATTGTAAATTAAATCCTATTAATAATCTGCAGCTGGAGGTGATAATGAGACTTTTTGTTGGAAAGGTTTTGAAGATACTTTATAGTCAGAAAGCCAGTGTTGCATAATGTATGCCCTCAGAGATCAATTTATCTTAATTATACACTTAGTTTATCTTCTGGAGATTTGAGTCTTTTCTAGCATGTCAGAAGTCTTTATCAACCTTGGCTGGAGATGTAGGTGTTGGAATGCAAGGATTCCAAGGATACTTTAGCTGCACCTGTATTTAGGACCAGTGCATCTATGTATTGATTACAAACCTGTTTCATTCTATAGCTGGCTCTAAATACGTCAAGAGGTAAACTGAGTAGAGATTTTAGCTGAAAGCAATTCCTCCACCTACAATAGAACTTCCATTCTTTCTTTATATTTATATCTAAAGAGCAGCATTTTTTCTCCTCCTCCAAAGCAGTTTTTTCTGCTCCTATTGTAATACACAGCAATTCTATTGAAACCTGCTTAGGGTTGGCTGCTAGTATATGTATTGGTAATATCCTAAACAAATGGTTTACTATAACATCGTCTTGTAAGTGCACAATTCCTGACTCCACAACAAGAACTAGTTGCAAATTAGATTTCAAGTAAAATTCTAAATGTTCATTCTGATCTATAGATCTAGTACCCAAGATCTGCATTACAACACAGATCATAAAATGCAATTAAACTACATCTCTGTGACAAGAGGTAGATTTTGATCATTTGATTCAGATATTCACAGACTTCAGTGTTTAAGCCAAATGAGCCTGCTGGCAATGTCCCCTTGTAAGTGCCTAACCAGTTTCTTTGAATAGGCTGAAGGGGAAGAAAAAGCATGGTTTTGATGTGCCATTCATCATATTAGTTTGTGTGTTCATACTAAGGAAAATATTGCATTGCAAAAGGTCAAGAGATGTTCCTTCTGATGTATGAAGACGTCAGTATTTAAAAGAAGGGGGGCTTTAATTTTTTAAAATTTGACTAAATACAAATAAGTGGCAAACATATTTATAAAACTAAGTCTTTTATTCTCATTCCATATATGGAGATACAATGATCAGCAAAGTTACTTACGTATGTACAGCTTCATAAGAAATCCTGATCTCCTGAGCTCAAGTATTTCTGGATCTGGTGGTTTATCTGGCAAACAGACAGCTGAGCTGCCAGTTATTTGACTACTCTCCATAGCCTCCCTTATCAGTCTGGCACCAACAATGAGTTTTGCCACAGTCCTGACATCAAGCTCTTCAAAACTTTTCAGAAACAAATCTGCATAGCACCTTCAAGGCAAAGAGACAACAGAAGTGTTACTTTGCCATGTGCGTAAAAAGAGACAGCTTCCTCCTACTTTACCTGATAGGTCTCCAGAAAGGCCAGTACATTTTTGCTAAGTTCTGAATTTTTCTCAATTTCTGGTTCCCTTTATAATCCATTTCTTTTATATTTGATAAGAGCTTAAGAGCATGAATATGTGTGCAGAGCACCAATAACTTTGTTGGTAGAGGTTTGGTTTTATCAAACCCATTATATCACTGCATAATAAGTATATTTCTGTGTAGGATGAAGAAGTCATCACCAGCAGAATGAAACCAACCATTATTTGAGAAATATTTTGTATGAGGAAACCTTATCCACTTTTTAAAAATATTTTCTCTTTACATTTTAATAATCTTTATTTTCAGGGAAATGGCATCAAGGTGTTAACTGTGAATCCCGCAATGACCATTGCCATCACCCTTTAAATCACGGATTTGACTATTTTTATGGGATGCCTTTTACGCTAATAAGTGACTGTCAACCAACGGAAACACCGGAGATGGACAGAGCCTTTAGAAGGAAACTCTGGCTCTATACTCAAATGATTGGCCTCATTGTACTCACTGCTGCCCTGGGAAGGCTGACTGGCTTGATCCCCGTCCGCTGGAAAACACTGACCTGCCTTGCTGGCTTTTGTCTCCTGCTCTTTGTATCCTGGTTCTCAAGTTATGGGTTTGTTCGATACTGGAACTGCATCATGATGAGAAACCATGAAGTTACTGAGCAGCCAATGGTGACAGACAGAACTACGTCCCTTATCTTGAGAGAGTCCATTTCATTTATTGAAAGGTAAAGTGGCTTTTCTTTGATCACAAATTTTCTTCCACATCTTGCAACTTTTAAACAGCACTTTGCCATGTGTTTAATATTTTTTAATAATATAATATAGGATTATAAGTATTATTATGCCTATTCATTTTAAACATTATCAATAAGTATATCATATCATTAAACCAAAAAATTAGCTGCTGCTTAAGGATGTCCCATATTCCTCGCTTCACTAAAGCTAATAACATTTCCAAATTTCCATGTGTTGGACTGAATATTTCTGGGCTATATTGGGGAAATACATAAACCTATCAATGAGACCAACATAGTAGCTTTAAGGAATAGCAGCTAGTACCAGAAATGCATGTGTGGGCCAGGGAAGGAAAAGCAGAGCTGTGGTGTAGCCTTGTCATACAGTCTTAATACGTGGGCAGCAGCTGACAGGAGATGAACCTGCTGCCTTCGCTTCAGTAGCACAGTGGTGGTTTGCAATAGCAGAAAGTGTAGCTTCAATCCAGAAGTTTTCTATCTATGACTCAGAGGGAAAAAGAGCGTCATTTTATACAGGCCAAACATTATTTGATCAGACAAATCCTAATCACTGTGTTATAATATCTTACAAACTATGATGTCTCTGAAGAGACTGCCGAAATATCTACACACAAATAATACGATTTTTCATTACGATTGACCTCTCTATGCACTGAGAACCTTCCTGCCTAACAACAAAATGTTGATTTCTGTTCCTTAGAAATAAGCACAAGCCATTCCTCCTCTTTCTTTCCTTTTTACATTCCCACACCCCTCTCCTCACCACAGAGAAGTTTCTTCGGAGGAGCAGACATGGTTTATATGGTGACAATGTAGAGGAGATGGACTGGATGGTGGGTAAGTCACTACAGCAAATAAAAATGTCTGAAACTATCTAATATCTAGGTCTAAATACATAATAAAACACACTTGTTATTAAAAGAACAAGAAAGATAATTAAAAGCAAGTAGGAACAAGTTCTAAGCTTTTTATGAACATCTGTCAATTTGTATGAGCACTGTTGGCTTATAGCACTGGCTTTTTACTTTCTGCAGTCTTGGATAAAATGAGTCTTTCTGTTCATTCATTTTTTTTGGTCAAGTGTTTACCTGTTTTAACCACATCCCCTTAGCTCCTGTCAAGGAGCTCTCCTGATCTTCTTACTAAATATTGAGAATTATTTAGTTTTCTGTAATTTATAGAGACAAGTTATTTCAGCCTCTTATGGTCATTTCTAAGTAGGTGATCAGAATGTGATGAAACTGATAAGCAAATTATTTCCAGATATAAACCAGCAGGCTATTTATCTCTGACTGCTGCATTAAGCAGAGTACTGAATTTTTTTCAGCCCCATTCATAAATCCAGAAGTGTTCATAAATTTTAACTGGTATGCCCCCCCCAAATTCATATTATTTTTCAGCCTGTTTTTTTGGAGGGAAAGAGGAATTATTTATCATTCAGTCATGATGGAGTAAAAGGACCCATATTTGCAAAAGGGATAAGAGTTAGGTACAGTTCAGGAAGGATATTGACGTGCTGGAGCAGGTCCAGAGAAGAGCAACCAGGCTGGTGAAGGGACTTGAGCACAAGTCCTATGAGGAGAGGCTGAGAGAGCTGGGGTTGTTTAGCCTGGAGAAGAGGAGGCTCAGGGGTGACCTCATCACTCTCTTCAACTACCTGAGAGGAGATTGTAGCCAGGTGGGGGTTGGTCTCTTCTCCCAGGCAATCAGCAGTAGGACAAGAGGGCACGGGCTTAAGCTCTGCCAGGGGAAGTGTAGGTTGGATACTAGGAAGAAATTCTTTACAGAGAGGGTAATCAGACATTGGAATGGGCTGCCCAGGGAGGTGGTGGATTCACCATCCCTGGAGGTTTTTAAGATGAGACTGGATGTGGCACTTAGTGCCATGGTCTGGTAACCACAGCAGTGTTGGATCAAGAGTTGGACTTGATGATCTCAGAGGTCCTTTCTAACCCACCTGATTCTATGATTCTGTGATATACAGAAATTGGATTCAGACCTACCTGTCAAACACTTGCACACCAAGAATATAATTAAGAAATTAAGAACATCAGAAATAGTTCAAGAATTACTTTTAAATGAAAAGGAAATTTATCATTAATGCATATTATATCCATTCAGTAATGTAATGCACATCTGAACTGTGGTCTAGACAATATAAAGTAAGGGTAGATGGTATTTTTTACATGTTTCTCATGATTGCCACCACTGACGCAGAATCCAACTTTTTGGGGCCTTGAATCACACTTTCTTTCTGTATTTTTACAGTAAGTGGCACTTTTGCCCTTTACAACACAGGCTCTGACTGTGGTTATTGCACTCCTTCATTAAAATACCAAGAATAGAGGGATTACAGCACATCATAAATTTTCTATGCTTTTAATAAGCAAAAATATTAATATTAGTAAAATAATAACCAAAAATCTTGATCTCAAAACCTTTTAAACAATGGGCAGCCCTACAGGGATAAGAAATTACATTGATGAATGTTGACAAGTCAGAGGCTAAAATTCTTGTAGCGTAAGCTATGTTTTTTTCTTCTTAATATACACATATTCTTGTGTTTACAGGTCAGGTTCTAGATGCTATTGACAAGGAAGGATTGAAAGATACTACACTAGTTTACTTTGCCTCTGATCATGGTGGATGGCTGGAAAGACAAGAAGACAAAAGGCAGCTGGGTGGCTGGAATGGAATATACAAAGGTAAGAGCTGTCAGGGACAATGACAACCCAGCAACAACCAGTAAAGTACTTTGGACACCCCTAAGGGGTAGATAAGACTGTATGTTTAAGGAAAGGCAGTGTTTTATCACTGAGAAGCAAATTTGTCTCATTCTAATTAGACATTTAAAAATAAAGTAAATGCTAACCTGAACAGTTGTTCTTTATAAGCATGAATTCTCAAACTGTAATTTCCTCATAAGGCAATCAATCACAAGTTAACTTTTATTAAGATTGTATAACTTCTCACTTAATATTAGTTTCATCTTACATATGAATTCTTGCTTTCATTACAACAGGTATGTTATAGGACTGTAAAAGAAAGATGAGAACTAAACTAGGAAATTATTTCATGCCTGAAAATTTTATCCACACTGAGTGCTGATGGGTTAATGTGTTTGTAAAACAATAGAAGGTACCAAGAAAGAAACAAACAAGGTCATTCAGGGGTTGGGCTGATCTAGTGAACACACTTTCACTGATGCTGAAGAGAAGGAGCTTGGCAGTAAAACCAAAAGAGTAAAGAAGGCTCATTAAATTAACATTAGCTTACGATAATACAATAACATTTGTCTAAAATTTCTCTTTATTTTAAATGAAATTTATTTTAATTTTTTTGTTTTAATGAAAGGTGGAAAAGCTATGGGAGGCTGGGAAGGAGGAATTCGTGTTCCAGGGATATTTAGATGGCCAGGAGTGTTACCTGCAGGCACAGTTATTGATGAACCTACAAGCCTTATGGATATTTATCCTACAGTAGTTCATCTGGCTGGAGGGGAAGTGCCTCAGGACAGGTACAAATACAAGTATCTTTATTACTCCTTCTTTACCAAAACATTGGAAAATAAAGTTTGGAAACATATTCTAAGAGTCTGATGTTTTCTTTTTCAGCCCTGCTTCTTTTCTAGGCACATCTCTGTTAGCACAGCTTGGTCATCTCTTCTTTACATTTGAAATTCAGCCTCTACCCAATACCTTCTACATTCAAAGCTGCCAGTTCCAGCAAGAGGTTAGCAAAAGGAATGCAGTCCTGTATAGCTTACCTCAGTCTTATGTTCTCTGTTTTTTCTGCCAGGATCATTGATGGCCGGGATCTGATGCCTTTACTGCGAGGAACGGTTGCGCACTCAGAGCACGAGTTCCTGTTCCACTACTGTGGCATTCATTTACATGCTGCGAGGTGGTACCAGAAAGACAGTGAGTATACAGCTTCTCTGCAAAGAATTAGGTCCAGTCTACAGAAGGGCACACTGGCCTAACACATTTTTTTTCTGGGATTGCAGATTTCCATGTAATTCCAGGTGTACGTAAAGAACTTACTATCATTGCCTCAATTGTATAGCACAAAGAGGGTTTTTTTGTGGCTTAAAGGTTTAGGATAGCTCTCACCCACATCTCCACCTGAAAGCAATGCCTGAGGAGTCTGTACCCTCCTTGTCTCATAGAGAAGTCCTGCCTCAGCCTTTTGTCTGTAGTACTGCTACCTTAAAAAGGAAGCAAGTCATGGAATCCCCAAATCTTTTTTTCATGTTTTCATAAAAAGCAAAGTTCGTGATAGCTGGTACTTGCTGAAAACTTTGAAGAAATTTCAAAGTGTCAGAAATAATTTTTCATTATTGGTTTATTTCTGTGTCACCTATTTTTAAATGAAATTAAAATACTATATCAACTAATAAATGTAGAGCTGAAGTGCAAACAAAAACAAACTCTAGAAGAATATTCACCCTTCCCTGTGATAACTGCCAGTATCACTGCAAGCCTTCTGTGATTCTTTCTTTCCTGCCAGGTGGAGCCATTTGGAAGGCTCACTATGTGACCCCTATCTTCAGTCCTCCCGGAGCTGGGGCTTGTTATGATAGAGGATTTTGCCCATGTTTTGGGGAAGGCGTGACCCATCATGATCCTCCACTGCTGTTTGATCTCTCACGAGACCCTGCTGAAGCCAAACCTCTCTCAGCTGACACTGAGCCCCTCTTTGACACTGTCATAAGGAAGATGGGGAGAGCCATCAAAGAGCATCGCAGGACACTGACTCCAGTCCCAGAGCAGCTCTCTGTGTACAACGTGGTGTGGAAGCCGTGGCTGCAGCCGTGCTGTGGGACATTCCCATTCTGCTGGTGTGATAAGGAAGGTGATAGTAAACTTGCTGACCTATAAAGGACAGAAACAGATACTTCCTCAGAAATGTATTTAGATTAAGAGTGTTTTCTTTGGGGGTGTTGATAGGTGGGTCATTTGTTTCTCTAAATGGAGCCTTTATATAAGAATTGTTCCAGTGAATGGCACAGTATTTAGTTAAGGTGACTATAGGCTGGGCACTCTCAGGGAAGGATTAAGACAGAATGCTCTGAAGACTATGTTTTAACTTGCATCTGCTGACAACTAAATGAATAGTTCAAATGCACTGAAGCAGGCCAAGGTTAGAGCTGTACAAGTAATGATACAACTTATGTTTTGATGATTACAAATGTACACTCAGAAGCTTTGGTTTTGTTTTTTTGTGCTGAATTTCTAAGTGATTCCTGGACTGAGGTCTTCCTTAACTTTGTTATCCTTAAAGAGGATGCATAAAATGCCCCTATAATAAATTTTTGCAGACTGATTGCTTCCAAAATAATGAAAAAATAATTTTGTCCAGAAACATGACAAGCTGGGTAGCAGCTGTCTGCACTCTCTGAGAAGGATGGGACTCCTCTGATTGGAGTCAGCCTCTTTTGATGGAGAACACAAAAGGGAAAGGATTTTTCCTTTCCAAAACTCCCATCCCACCCAGCTCCCTAAGCAGCACTGGGAAGGGCATTTTGGCATTGATCACCACAAAATGCTGCACTGATAATGAGTTCAGTTATTTGGGCACATGATTGCACAGATTACCCTGCTGCCCATATCTCAGTCATATCTCACTGCTGCTGACAAGTAACAGGTTCAGAAAAGACTCTGAAAGATATCAAACACTAACTATGAAAACAAACAGTAATTTGTTATGGAAAAAAGAAATGCAAAATAAAGATATTTTTTGCTTCACGAGTTCCTTTTTCACGCCACCAAAGAGCTAGAGTTACTAAGGTCTCTCTCTTCACTCTTGTTCTTTCTTTCACTGCAGTTCTTTTCTCCTTTGTGTTAAAATAATTGTTTCTATTTAATTGGCTTTGAAGGTAATGCTTTTCATTGTAGGGAATAAAATTCACCTGTTCACATAGACATGTTTACACTGGTATATCTGAATATGTAGACATCTGAGAACAGAATTTGCCCATTTTTTTTTACTTCACACGTTTTTAGCTGTTCTTCTAACTACTGTGCTAGGACCTGTTTCTCTTCTTCACCTTCCTTGATAAATTTTTGGTTTATTTTGGTTTTATTTCCTCCTTCATTTCCTACAATTCAGCCATCAGGAAATCCGCAGGTAAACAAAGCCCTACAGCTTAAAAGTAAAGTTTTATTTTATGCAGTTCACAGACAGTTATAATTCACCCTGATGCTCCATCAGTGTTATTGATGAGAAAGGTGCTCAAGTCTTACTGTGAAAATTTCAAGAGATTCAGTAAACCCATCACTTCACATTTCCTAGATTGGTGCTTAAATTCCTCCATTGTTAGAAATGTCTGCTTTTTTCCTCACTTGAGTGTAGTCTATTTAACTGTTTCTTCCTTGGATAGATTTAAAGGTCTTTTCATATTCAATATGAAGTCTTTTCTTTACCTGAAATAAGTGGAATCAGACCGGCATTTTTTATTTTTTCAGTCATTCCAAGATCTCACTTCCATTCTGAAGCCAGTTTAGTCTCTGGGATTTTACATCCTTTCAATTTTTCAACACCTTTAAAAATAAGAGGGTTAATATGATTGAACCAGTTTCTCTTGCACAGAAAAACTTCATAGCACTGTAGGATATCCATTTGGAGCTAGAGGGTACCAGAAAACATCTGAGCTAGGATTTGTCTTGGACACTGCTGTTTGTATATGAAAACACAGTCATCAGGCCCTGCTGATACACAAAGTGCCATGGAATCAGCAAACATTTAGAGTTGGATAACATGGACATTACATGTGGAACAATCATGGGCAATAATTAAGGCTGCCTTGACAAAACTATAATTGGAGACATCCTAACTGTCGAATACTAATCAGCTTGTTAACATTTCTTTTTTTCTACTCAATGAATGTACTACTATTTCAGTGCAAATCATTTGCTAAGACTGATCTTTACTGCTTAGTCACAACACAGTTTTCATCTAGGTGATTATGCTGGTCATAGCCTAAGGTGACATAAATAATGTTCAAGATTAAATTTCAAGAGCATCTTACAAACCCCCTAAAATCTAAATTCAAATACTGAAAATGTTTTCAAACACTGTAGAAAGCAACATTTCAGCATGAAAATAAAATTATCTCTTTTCATTCAAATTAGTCATAAAATATTTATCTGTTTTACTGAAAAGGAGATCTGTGAAGCAGAAGAGGAGAAAGAATTTCACCTTTTTTTTTTTTTTTTTTATTAGAATAATAGGAGTATTTCAAGCTGGCTTTGAAGTCTCCTGAACACACATTGGTCAAGTGCTTCATCTTGATTTTAGCATGTAATCACCACCAAAAATCACATAGATTTCAGTATTCCTTCAGTATTCCAAGCTTAGTGTTCTTCTGTGGACACTGTGATGCAACATTGTGAGCATCTGCCAGGCTTCACAGATTAACAGTTTTGTCCCTGAACTAAAAAGTTGGTATCTGTGATTTCTATGCTTGAACAAGACTCAAGCAAGACTGACAGTGTCTGTTCAATAGCATCTCAGGGGCAAATCAAATATATAAATAATCAATGGTAGCACCTAGAAATATCAAAATTAGGATTACAAATAAAAAACCCTCACAGCACATTATTATTATTATTATTATTATATAAAAATATTATATAAAAAGCAAACACTTCCTTGTCCTGCTTTTCAGGATTTGAGTTCAGTTAGCATTATTTTCTCACTGGTGCTTCCATGTTTTTCTACTGTATACATGAGCAGCCTCCACAGCCTTTTGGTGGTTTTCTTATAAAGGATTTTACTAGTCTCAGCAGAAGACTGGGATACTTCCAAAACTCAAACATGTGAACCAGTTACAGAGTTGACTTTCTGTCATTAGGAAGTTTATTTATTTCTCACTAATAATTGCTACAATTAAGGAACCATTTATAAACTGGTTACTTACGTTCACTCACTCCATGAAATTCCATAATCCCTTCCTAGAGGGTAGGGTAAGAGGAGAATTTTTTGCCATTCTTTTCTCACTACATAATTTCATTTCTCCTTCTTAAAGCTGGCAGAGCAAAATAAGAAAAATGCAGAAATATTTTATTTTGCTTGGAAACCCTGGCTCTTCAAGATTCTGGTTTATAATTCTTTCTTGTCTATGACCTATTTTGCAGAGTGATGAGAAGACTTTGCAACTTTTAGAAGATATTGAAGTTGATCTATTTCACCATGTTTCAGTCTTTCTCTTGAGGCCAAACTAAAGATGTCGGTGACAAGAAAGGCTTTAAAAACATCACATCACCTTATTCTGGTTCTGATTATGGCAGAAGGCAAGGTAGACAAGATTGAAGAGCCGTTCTGGCTGGATAGAGTGAATTTCCACAGATGTGAGAGTTGGAAATTGTCTGATCCAATCTTCTCTGGAGTAAAAGGACCAAATCTAAATCCCTACTTTCTTCACCGTGTCTTTGCAGGATGGATCCTTTCCTTGAGTCCTGAGCTCAGGAACTTTCTTCTGCCTCCTGAATTGTACCATTTTTACCTAGTACTTTCCAAGTCCTTCAAAACAAGGAAAAAAAAAATCTTCCTCTTAGTATTTCTGAATCTTTCCTTTAATATCTGCTCCTTAATGCATTCAAGCATCTTCCTCTCCTCAGGAGTGCCCTTGTGCTAATTTCAGCTGAAAGCTTCTTCCTTGCAGTCTCATTTCTTTGCCCCACTCCATGGGCTTCTCCCAACTTCAATTACTTCTACCAATTACTTATTTGAGCAGAATTTCTTGAGGAAAATGTTGCAATTACTACTCCTATACGCAGATAAACATTTAAGAGCCTAATGTTCCCCTTAAGACTCATGCACCGCATACACCAATAATGCTGTGAATACCATTGTAATTATCAGGGTCTGGTTAATGAGTTCTGCTTTCTCCTCCTTGCCATGGTATTTTGTATTAATATTTATTTTGGCCTCCAAACAAGAATATGCCTACACTAAGAACCTCTATCCTGTTTTCTGCCATTCTTTGAATAAAGCCCTTTTTCTGTGGATTACAGCTTGACACTTTTATACCCCCTTTTTAAACCACCGTAAGCACACATGGCCAGTAAAAGAGGAGTTCAGGGCCCCCATGGGACTGTACAGATGCATGGCAAGCCAGACTGTGCAAGCACATCTGTATTAGTACTGGCACAGGAGAGAACTCAGAAACAGCGGAACTATATTAACATACCAGGGACTTACCAGGCTGCTAGAACTGGCATGCACACACCAATATGACAGTACAATGACTGATTTTTGATTTCAAGGGGGCTGGTTGGCTCACCCTCTGCATTATCCACGGCTCTCCCACTTCCATCCAGAGGGTGGTTTTCCACATGGCGTGATGTAGCCAACAGTCTCACTGCCTGGGATTTAGGTACTTTCTCCCAGTTACTTCTATAGCTCTTCTATTGGCCTTGGCAGTTGGAGCGGCTTACTTCAAGCTTCTGCTTTAGAGAGCTCTTCCTTACTCAGCACTTGCTACCAGAAGGAGGCAGGGAAGCCCCCCCTGCAGCAGGCGGGATGAAATGAGTGCCTTTGCCCAGACTTTAAAGGGGACCGACACCTGCCAATTACTCAGATATGATATACGAGCCGTGCTTTTGATAACCCCTCCTTGGAAGCAAAGATCAGAAAGCCTGAGGTGAAGAGGGAAGTAAGAACAAAGCTCCTGCCCTGCGTAAGCATGAAGTAAGTAAAAAATTAGAGGTTTCTTTGGGTTTCTGGTCGTTTGGGTTTTGTTGTTATTGTTGTTGTTGTTGTTGTTACACAAAACAAAAAATCCCACCCCCCAAAAAAGCCTCCTCGCCTTTGTTTTTCCTCTGGAGAAGACTTTTTCTTCCTTTCTTTGTACAAAGCTGACCTATCCTTTGGGCAGGGAGTGAACTTGCCATCACTAGCCGCCAAGCACTTTTGCCTGGGACCATGGGGCTCGAGGTGGGAGTGATCGCCTAGGCCAGCACCTTCCCAGGCAGATTCCTGCCCATTTTCCATGAGGAGGTAGTGGGAAGTTGCACAGGATCAGTGAACTCTGCCCAGCAGAGCTGTGCACTCCCTTGGGGGCGGTGTCCTGCCTCTGTTCTTGCTCTCTCCCATCCTCCCCTGCCGAGCTGAACCCCTCACCTGCCAGTGGGGCTGGTCCAGGAGGTCATAAACATCAAAAACAAGGCATGATCAGGCTTAGAGTGTGTGAGGGGGGAATCAGCAGAGTACGATAATTAACAAGCTGTGCTTTCCTTCTGCTTTTAGTGTTTCAAGCCAAACTTCAGTTTTTGGAGGTGCTTTTCTTTTTTTCCCCTTGTGAGATGGAATTTGCCCTTGACCCTATACTAATCCACAAGCAGGATTATCAGAGGGATCAGAAAATATCCAACACTTAAGCATGAGAAAACCAAGCACTAGGATGGGACTTGACATAAGTAAAAGCAGATTTCATACTTTGTTTGGGTTTTTTTTTCCCCATTTCCTTTGTTTTTAACAAGACAGGCAGAGCTGGAGAGCACTACACTTGTCCTCAGCTTGGAAAGAAGAATGCCTGAGTGACTGAAATGGGCTTTCAGGGTCCTTTTTGAGACCTTCCCACTGCAGTTTAACCGAATGTATTAGCACTCTGGAAGGATTCATTATTCCAGTGTTATGCCCTGAAATTCTTAAGAGATACAACACTGACAAATAGAAAAGTCTCCTTTCCTTAAAATGAATATTCTGTGTGCAGATGGAAATAGCCCATAGTGCATCTCATGCAATCTTCCACCACAATTCTATACATCAGTGATGCAACTTAGAGTAGAATGCACATTAAAAACAAAAACAAAAACGACAACAACAATAATTTTAAAAAAAACACAAACAAACATGGAACTTTGCTATTTTATAATTAAATTCCCATTGCTATTTTATAATTAAATTCCCATAGGCACTGATTAATTATTTACAGTAGGGTGATCACAGTCATGTTTACAGGTAGTCCGATGTGTTGCATTTGCCTGTCAGAGGTGGTGGTTACCGATTCATTAAAAAACGTGGTTTTGCATAGAAGACCTTTCCATCAAAATGGCAAATCCTGAAAGGATTTTCAGGAACTCTCTCAGTCTTTTCTAGAGATTTGCTGGTGCCCCATGTTTTGCAAAGTTAGTACATATTGCAATGATAACTGTGTCCATCTGCAAATATCAAACCAAGATTAGGTTTTAAGGCTATTGATGAGCAATATTTACTTGGAGAAACACATTCTAGGCTTATTTATATGAAAATTCTGGTATGTATGTGTAAAAATGTAAATTCTAGGTTTTTTGCAACAGATATTTATTATAGTTGATGCTGGCATGGGGCCTGGTTGGCATCTTAAAATGGCAGTAGTCAAGATGGCTTCAAGTTCAAGTGGTTTTGATTTGTAAGGGAGAGATTGTTTAAGTTTTTCCACTTCCCTTCTAAATTAAAATTAAAACTAGTTTACTCACTGGAGACAATATATTAAAAAAATGCTAGATTCACTGTGGAACATAACCTGAATTTTCATAGAATTTGTGAAACTTGGAAGCACTAACTGTTCTCAACTCCTAGAAGTTTTTGAAACATTTTGGAATCTATGCAAATGATTCAAGATGAAAATTCCTGAGCCAAATGAATGACAAGGTTTCTTGTGCTATAGAAAGGTTTCCGTGGCCTCAGTGGCTAGAGTTATTTCATTTGTTGAGATGGAAGAAGTGAAACCAGCAAATTTCTGCTCCTCTGCTTCCCTCTGAAAGTGTGGCTGGCCAATAAAGTTTCGTGACACTCTCCAACACTTACAAATTATGTATAGAAAAAGTAATTTTTTGTGTTTCAGGAGGTGCCTCCTAATGTCATTGACTTCATGTTTATTCTGGAACACATTTGGCTTCAGTGCAGCTGTGGACTCTAAACCCAATATGCTTCTGTTTCTGGCTGATGATCTTGGCATTGGAGATATAGGCTGTTATGGGAACAATTCCATAAGGTAAAGTATTCTGTACAATACTCTTAACACTATAGTACACCTATCCTTGGGCAATTAAGCCTAATTACTAAAAAAAAAGAAAAAAAATCCTAATCTCCTAATTCAAGACTCTAGTAATTGTGTATCTAAGTGTTTGTATATATGCACATAGTATTGGGGCCTAAATAAACAGTGTGCAGTGAAAGAAAAGAAGTATAATATTTTTATTTTGTTTTTAAGTTTGTTCTGGGAATCCCTTTCCCCTTGAACCCAAAATGCGCTAACTCTTCAGCCACTTGTTTTTGTATTACAGTTACTGTTTTGTCTTCATCTCATGCATGAATTTCTTCATCCCTTTTCATGCATAGTTAAGCCTTACCCTATTCACCTGGTACCTTTCCAGAATCCCTCATATACTTATTTGCTGCCCTCTCCAAAACACTACAATCCAGACTCACATGGACTGACCCACAGGAGTTATTACATTATTATGTGCCTCAGAAGCTAATGATTGCAGTCCTTCAAAACTAAAGAGGCAAAGCAGAAGTGAACATGCATCAGGGGCACATCTTATGAGCCTCGTATTGTGTTCTCCAAGTGGAGCTCAGATGTTTTGGTGGCATGCTCTGAGTGCATGTCTCTCACATGATGTTGGTGGGGTTATACAGAGATATGGGACTGTGCTTGTGGGACTCTGCTACCCTTCTTTGCTAGTGGTAAAGACAGTAGTGAGGCCTCTTTCACTCTTCATGGTGTTGTAGTTCACTCATCTGGAAGAGCTGAGCTCCCATACAAGTAGACCTCCATAAAGATATCTACCTATTATGATATAAATAGCATGATTTAAAAACATGGAACAGAAAGTCCTGGTTTAAAGAGACATTGGGACAGACACCCTGGGAAGTGCTCTGGCTCAATGAACTCTGAAACTTAAGGTCCAAATGTCTGGCAGAAGTGATCTGTTGAAAGTATTGTAAACAGTTCCAACAATACCTAAGTGTCTTTGCAGTGTTGCCAGGTGCATTCTAAGACTGTTTCAAGAATGGATTTGCCAGTGGCTACAACCCACTTCACCCACTGTATCAAGCTTGTTACTATACTAGTCTTGGAGTATTAAAGTTGTGGGTTTGGGTATTTTTGTTGCTTTTTGTTTTTTTGAGGAGCTGTTTTAAAAACTTTAGTGCTTGACAATTTATTTTAACAAATTTCAGATTACCTTGCTTCTATTAAACTTGTAACTGTTTTTTAGGACCCCAAACATTGACCGCTTGGCAAGAGAAGGAGTGAAGCTTACTCAGCACATTGCCGCAGCTTCGCTTTGCACTCCGAGCAGAGCAGCCTTCCTCACTGGCAGATACCCCATTAGATCAGGTTTGGCCCATTTTGAATTAAAAATTTCTTTGCATGGTGCTGAGAAACTACAATAGCCAATAAGTACTGGAATAGAAGAACTGAGGCTATTTTCTCAACCTGAGACAGAAAATGCACTGCTAGATGTTCACAGGCAAAACCACGACATTTCTTGCCAGCTGACAGAGCTTTAACCTTACCTTATAGGATGTAGGAGAGCTACATAATGCAAATAAATAGGTATGGAGAAATGCCAACAGCAGTAATACCTGTCACTTCCTTACTGCAACACAGCCTGGGGTGTAATCTGCCAGAATCCCTCTTGATGATTATGGTTGTAGGTAAGGGTTTAAAACAGGGTTCTCAAAGAAATGGGCAAGTTCATTGCCAACATGTTGCAGAAAGTCACAAAGCTCTGGCGAAAATGAAGGGTGGATCCATTGCCCACCTTTCTAAGGTGCCTTATGGAGAACTTTATAGATATTCATCTCTCGCTAGGTGATATATAGGAAAATTAGATATCTAATTTTTAGAACTAAGTGCAAATTCAGTGTGTGTGTTTGGTGAACTGTCTCCTGCCTAACATGATACAGCATCCCTCTGAGCTAGGGAAATGCAACTGTTATCTCCTAGTTTAGATTGTTACTCACAGATACTCAGAAGGTCAGAACCCAAAATTTACAATATACAATCACCACTGATTTATTATCAATTTGATGTCAAAACTGGTATCAAGCAATATTTGTGTTGCAATACAGCTCCTGAGTACCTGGAGTACCTAAGGCACACTATTGATAACGGGATGTGACTGCCTACAAGATATGCTTTGCTTTATGTCTCGTGAGGAGCTCTGCTGGCTTGAGGTTGAGCTCCTGATGCAAAGATTGGCAGGAGCAGCCCGGGCTCTGCCAGCAGAGAAAAAAAGGCTCACAGGACTGACCACAGCAATTTCCGTCAGGGATGGCATCCAGCAACAGGTACCGAGCGCTGCAGTGGAACGCCGGGTCAGGAGGGCTCCCTGCTAACGAGACGACATTTGCCAGGCTGCTGCAGCAACAAGGCTATACCACTGGACTGATAGGTAAGGGAAAATGTTTTAGCATGACCTTGAAGAATGAACTAGTTATATGAAAGGAATTTAGGGGTTGTTTTAGCATGTTCTGTTAGTCACAGATACAAATCCTCTCCAAAAGGCTGAGGGGGTAAAAAAACCTCTATTTGAAAGAAGACTAAAAATACAGCAGTTTTAGCACAATGGTAATGCCTGTACAAGCTACCCAAAACAGGAAGAATGAAAAACTGGCTCATGACTATAATGGTGAGCATTTATTTTACTTGGTCTAAGGTTCTTTCAAAGACCACTGTAAGAGTTTTATTAAAGTAGAGACTGATCCAAATAAAATAATCTCTTCAAGTATTTCATCTGCCTTTAGGAGGCTAGAGGCAGAGAAACAAAAGAGAAAGGGAGAGAAAGGAACAAAGTTTGTATCACAGAGGAGATCACAAAGCACAAGCATCTCACAGATGAGGCTGTTGAGTCCCAGAGACATGATATGGTGGCTGTTTCCTCAGAGGGAGCCAAAATGCAAAGGTGTCAGGGAAACACTGTCCCACAACACCTGCCTGTCTGTGACTTTGATCAGACACAACAGTTTCAAGATTCGTTTTTCCTTTACCAAATATCTCTAAAATCAACCGGCAACATTTCTTTCCCATTCCATTCACATTTTTATCCTGTCACATTTTATTGTGACAGTCACTCCATGATGGATCCCTTCACATAAATGGGTAGGTAAAGTAAGCACTGTGTCATTTAAAATCAGGTGATTTAGGGCCAGCTGTGCCAAGTGCATTGTCATTTCCACCTGCTAGAAATAGATGTGGAGGGAGGCATTGAACGACAAACTAATTAACTGTAGTCTTTATGGCTGTCTCTGTAATCACTTGGCAATCACATAACTCGGCGAACCAAGAGTCTTTTGATTCAGCACATGTTCAAAGCAGACTACAGCTTCTTTTTATATTTTGGGCAGGGATAGGGTAAGGCATTGGTTTACAGCTTTTTCTCTTTTCATGTGGAGTAGGGACATGCTTGAGAAATCTTCCTCCTGAGTCTGGTGATCAAAATGTTTGTCAACATTGCCCAAAAGTTTACCAGATCTTTTGGTTATATCTTCTGTATGTTAATCTATGAATTGAAAGTTTGGAAGGGAGCATAATAAAGCCACCTGCAACTCAGAGTACCTTAATTCTTTGGTCCTCACTGAAATGTAATGAAATCCTATCCTTATGTGACCCTTGTCACCTCAGTAGTTGAGAATCTCACAAATTTATCTGTTTATTGCCTGACCACTTGGGGATCACCCATTATGGTATCATGTTCACCTGATCAGGCATTGGTTTCACTCAGTATCCTAGGGCATGAGAAGAATGCATTGACATTCTGTGGAAAAACTGAGTGACTTACCTAATTCCCAAAGAGAGGCTGACACTGTTACCTTGAGCTCCTTTTGAGTTGTTCACCGCAATGTTCTAATTTCTTTCATGCTTTAAAACCTTCAGGAAAGTGGCATCAAGGTGTAAACTGTGAATCCTTCAACGATCACTGTCACCATCCTCTCAATCATGGGTTTGACTACTTTTATGGAATGCCTTTAACACTTCGAAACAACTGTCAAAAAAATAAACCTCCAGACCTGGATGCAGCCCTTCAAGATAAGCTTTGGCTTTACAGTCAGATAATTACCCTTGCTGTGTTTACTCTTACTGCTGGAAAACTGACTGATTTGATTTCCATCCGCTGGAAGACAATTGCCTGTGTTACTTTGGTTGGCGGCCTTTTCTTCATTTCTTGGTATTCCAGTTATGGCTTTGTGCAATATTGGAACTGTATCCTGATGAGGAACCACGATGTCACTGAGCAGCCGATGAAGTTAGAGAGGACTGCTTTCCTCATGCTGAAGGAGGCAATATCATTTATCAAAAGGTCTGTAGTTTTCTCTAAAGGAGCTGGGATGTGCTGGGAACTTGGAATATTTTATATTTCTCACTTAATATTTCTTTCTTAATATTTCTCACTAGTAACTGTAACTGTATCATGAGAACTGCTTGTTTTTACACTTCATTCTACAAGCCTCCTTTGTGTTCTTTTTCATAAACCCTACAAAATAATGAGATAAAATGTGTTTGATGCATTAAATTGTTACATGTTAAAATATCAAAACACTTGAAATTTAACTTTATGGATTGAAAAGGAAGCCAAGTAAGGTTGTTCAGTTTCTAGATTCAAGTTTTTCCTGCACAGCTTTTTATATTTTTATGCATCAAATGTCTTAAAGTACAGGGAAAGTAACTATTCTTCTCTTCTACTTTGTGAAAACAAACATAATGAAAATTATAGGTGACTATCTTAAAAAAGCCACACAAATATTAAACATGAGACTGTATCCAGTTGCATTTAATTAAAAAGTCAACAGAATTGAGCATCTGATTTATTTAAGCACTGTGCAAATTCTATGCCTGGGTACACACTGGAAATTGAAAATGATCAGTCTGAAAAGGATCTTTCTTGCCCACATTTCATGCAAAAAGAGAACTCATCTGTGATTAGTGAGGAAGCACTAGATGTGAGTATAGTCTAGATCCAGTGTCTGTGTCTGTGCACAGATATGAAACCTTTCAAAATATTCCAAACACAAACACAGAATATTGTTTTGTTTTGTTTTGTTTTGTTCTTAAGAAACAGGCATGGACCATTCCTTCTCTTTGTTTCCTTTTTACATGTTCACACCCCTCTCTTTACAACATCAAAATTTCTTGGGAAGAGCCGTCATGGATTATATGGAGACAATGTAGAAGAAATGGACTGGATGGTGGGTAAGTATTCTTTATGAAGGATATGTTTCAGACACATACACCTGTATATTTTAAAGCAGAAAAACTAATAAGGCCAAAATACCTACAGAAATGTAAGCTTTTAAAAACTTCTAATGGGGCATTGTGAAAGACTATTATTGAAATATTTTAAGTGTGCCTTGTTCTTTCCAATTTTTTAATAGAAACCTTGCTGTCTGTCTTCTTAAATTTAAGGAAAAATTCTGGATGTGCTTGATGAAGAAGGTTTGAAAAATCATACATTCACATACTTTGCCTCTGATCACGGAGGACACTTGGAGGCTCAGAATGGGTCTGCCCAGCTAGGTGGCTGGAATGGTATTTATAAAGGTAGGAAAACCACTGTAACTTTAAATGAAGGTTAAAACTGGAAACAAGGAATTGTGCTTGGATGAAGCCAGCAAAGCTGGAATGAGTTGCATTTTTAGCTTGAAATATAACCGAATAGAGTAAGGGCACATTGTGTCAGGACTGGCTGCAACAATTTTTTCCTTGTATCCTTTTATATTCCACCCAAAATCAGTGATTGACATAAAATCCAAATGGTCTTTCTGGTCTAAGAGGATCTCACTCTTTATCTCTTGCTCAGGACTTTCTTCTGTGAACTATGTGAAATATGAAGTATGTGAAGTCCAAAGCAAAGTGAAGAGTTGAATCTGTTGGATAAGCAATGTATTACTGCATTTCTTTCTGTACACTCAAATGAAACAAGCCGATGAAGAGGTTTGTGTTTTCCTCTGAGTTCTATGTGTTGATTCATTTTACTGCAGGCGGAAAAGGCATGGGAGGCTGGGAAGGAGGGATCCGTGTGCCAGGAATATTTAGGTGGCCAGGAGTACTACCTGCAGGCACAGTTACTGATGAACCTACAAGTCTGATGGATATTTATCCCACAGTGGTTCATCTGGCTGGAGGAATATTGCCGCGTGACAGGTATGGAGGTGTTCACCACTGGAGAGCTAATGACCAAAAATTGACTGTTTCATATCATCCTTGGAGATCCCACAAATGCTCCTTTGCCTCAAGCCTAGTCTGAGATTTTAAACTAGTGAGTAAACCCTCACAGATATACACATAGGCATGCATGTGGCCAGAGCAGTTGTTCCTTCCAAAGACCTGGTGCCAGTTTCAAACACAGGTTCAGCCTCATTCAGGAAAGATTTGGTGGCTGGGGTTGTTTTGGCACCAACTGACTTGATTTACAGGCACTTACAAGTACCTCCTACGTTTGTTAAACCCATCTTACTCAACAGATTTCTTTAAGTTCCCTTGAAAGTTGCAAAATGTTAACAGTTATGAGATCAGTATTGATTTAAGGAATAAATTACTTCTTTCTGCAAGACCAAGCTCTAAATATTGTTTATGTACTGCTAAACGAAATTAGTTGAGCCAGATATTACATGAAATAAAATAAATAAACTGAAAAAAACCCCAAACAAATACTAAAAAATCTAGGGACGTAAATATTTGTTTGGCAGTCTGCTGGCTGCTCCAAATCTATGACCAAATTATTCTGTATGCTATCTTAAGCACTGGTGCAGCCAATGCAAAAGCAGTTCTAAGTATGCAGTTCACTGTCAGGTTTGCCCCTGCCTGACTGTGCTTCTCTCCATTACATTAGGGTGATTGATGGACGAAACCTGCTGCCTTTACTGCAAGGAAGAGCTCAAAAGTCAGATCATGAGTTTCTATTTCACTATTGTGGCTCCTACTTGCACGCAGTGAGGTGGCACCAAAAAGACAGTAAGTATAAATGTTTGTTCCATGGTAACTGCAAAACATGATTCTTTTCCTCTTGCTAATTGACAAGTTTCTTGCATGGCTGTTGTTTTTCAGTACTGAGATTCATGAAATGGTTATGCATGACATTATCACTGACTAGCTAGCCAGAGATGTCTTAAAACAATGTTTTTCTAAGTAGCAAAGGGAATGCCTTAAAGTTGGATGAAAATACAGGCAGTTTACTACCACACTGGAAATTCAATGTGGTTTTTTTTCATATTTATAGAGTTTTCCATCTTCAAAGTGAGAAGTCTACACAGATAATCTGATTTGTTGTGTTGGGAGTGCCAGGGTGTGTGAGAAGAGTTCTCCTTAGTAAATAGCTGTATTCCTATTGCTTCAGGGAACTTTCCATTTTTCTCTACAGCCTTGTAGTTGTGCCATAAGATTTCTTTCCTGCCAGGTGGAGCCATTTGGAAGGCTCACTATGTGACCCCTATCTTCAGTCCTCCCGGAGCTGGGGCTTGTTATGGAAAAAAAAATTGCCCATGTTTTGGGGAAGGTGTGACCCATCATGATCCTCCACTGCTGTTTGATCTCTCACGAGACCCTTCTGAAGCCAAACCTCTCTCACCTGATACTGAGCCCCTCTTTGACACTGTCATAAGGAAGATGGGAAGAGCCATCGAAGAGCATCGCAGGACACTGACTCCAGTCCCAGAGCAGCTCTCTGTGTACAACGTGGTGTGGAAGCCGTGGCTGCAGCCGTGCTGTGGGACATTCCCATTCTGCTGGTGTGATAAGGAAGGTGACAGCACACAAATTTTGTGAGATGTGTGTTCTAATGACATGTGCTGTGGCACTGAGTCCCCTGCTGACAAAGGTCTCAGATAATAATTGTGTCTTTTCTTTCTCTGGGAAGCAAAGTGGATGAAAATAAAAAAAAAAAAAAAAAAAAAATAATAATAAAAAAAAGGCAATGCCAATCAGAAGTTTCCCCTTTCATTCTTTTACCACTGCAAAAGGTTTAAGGAAATCCTGTTTTTGCAGTCTTGCATGTAAGAGAAAACTGTAGAAGTACATGCCTAATCTCTGACTAACTTATGCCTGCTCAAGGGAGACAGTTGGAGAATGCTGCAGAGAGCCTAGTGTACAGCGCTGAGCAGGACTAGGTGCTGAGCAGGCAGCAGTAAGAAATGCTAGGTTCACATAAAACTCAAGATGTTTGCAGCTGTGTCTCTGTAGTCCACAAATCACAGTTGCTCTCTATCCAAACATAGTAGTTTGAGTTGTTACTGCTTCCTGTACTGCTCCATTGTCTCTGCAGAAATACCAATGGGATGTTGAGCAACACCTGAGAGGGAGTGAATCTGATTTAGTTAGGGAGTGTCCTCAAGTTGTGAACTTGTGATCTGAAGCTTTAGCTGGGTAAAAATTACCTGTATCACAGACATTGTGAAGTACAAACTGTTGACGTGCAGTATAGCTCTACAACAGTTACAAAAAGGAGAGAAGCATTTTTCTATTCAGAAAAAAGTTCTGTTGCATACTAATTTGGCAAAAGCAATTTTATTGCATTTAAGATGCTAATAAAAATGTTTTGGATTGATAGTTTGCACTGTTTCAATGCAAATCCTAGAAAAACAAGGTTCATCTGAGTATTGGAGTAAAAAAATATTCAGGAGCAGTGTATATTTTGCAATGAAATTACACAGATTTTAGGGCTTTAAACTATAATAATGGCTGTATTTTTTCAGGAGTAGATGACGTCAGAGATCGTTGTAAGCATCCTGATAGAATTCTAGAGAAACTGGTGGTTGAATTCAGTAAGTGGAAAAAGTCATTGTAGTTTGTTGTTTTGCTTCCCCCATCAAATATCGCTGCAAAACTTTACTTGTTCAGCTAGTTTAGTTGGTTAACACTTTTCTTCTTCTCTCTTAGTGATTTTTTTTCCAAAGTGTGGCATAGAAATGATTTTAAAAAATTTTGTATGTCATTTAAATATTTATGTTTTTCGCTACTCTAAGTTCACTCAGAAAGTTTGTCAAAAGGAAAAGGGGCTAAATGAATGCCAAGGATTGCTTTTATTACTCAGACGTGCAAAAAGCCAGAAAGAAGTACACAGTGACTCAAAATAAGGTTTTGCTGGCAGAGAATTTTCCTGTGTGAACAGGGAGTAAACAGCAGCTTCCTGTGCTCAGGCGCAGTGAAAAACTGGTTAGTTGAAGAGCAGGAAATACCACAGGGCTCAAACTGCAGAGATAAAAATCACCTCCCTGCTTCAGTGTTACTTCTTTCCTTTGTTGTTCTTGTTGTTAGAAAAAGTCTTTGTTTAAAATTTAGTTCTGTTAAGACAATGAGTAATCACAGCTGTTATCTCTGTACTGGGTCACTAACGCAGTGATGAGGAACAGAGTGCAAGGTCTTTGCTTCCAGATAGTTTTGTTAGCAGGAAAAAATGTAAAGGTGTGGGATTCTGGGTGGAGGGAAAGGGTGGTGGGGTATCAGTTTGTATTTTTAAGTCATGACAGCAGCAGCATGGGCACATCTTCAGTACTGAGCACATGCTGAGAAAGATGTAAACAGTTGAGAAAGACTGAAAAGAAAGTTTAGTCATAATTTGGACCAAAGCCAGGTGAAAATTAATGCTTATGTTATTGGCAGTGTTTAAAGATCCGTCTTTCCCAAAGGATGATGTAATTTTTGATAATTTTTTCAAGAAAAATCTTTGCACCAGAAGCATCACAAGCTGTTAAGCAGTCATACAAAATAAGTATTATAGTCAAATAGATACAAGTAAAAGTAGCCCCATATGACAACTTATACTGCATTCAGTTATTTTTTTAAATGCAAGGAGGTAAACAAATAAAAAACCTCCAGCCCTGGTTATCCCTGCCAGGGGCTTATCTGAACCTGATAGTTTAAGCTGCTTCAACTTTCTACCTCATGGCTCCTACTGACTTCTCTAGAACATAGTCTTACATTCAGCAGTCACTGTATTCAAGTAACTTGGAGAACCAAAATGTTAGCAAATAGAAAGAGCTCCTCCAAGTAGTTGCTAAAGACCTTTTGACCTGTAAAATGTATTACAACAGAGCTAGGATCTGAAAGAAGGGAGGTGGAGACTAGATGTTCAGTTTTTGGGTGTAGGGGAAGAAAACACAATTTAGGTATCTACCTTTCTAGAAAATGTAATGAAAACAAAAAGACAACATGATAGAAGAAAAGAGGGAGGACAATCCTTTTATTCCGTCTGGAAGACTGAAAAAGCTGTGTGGGAGAACCAAAAGCCTTTATAGCATCTCTTGTTATTATTTATAGCATCTCTTTTAAAGCACTGAAATAGAGCAGTGAGAGACTTTATACAAATTTGCACAAAATAAACTGGATAGGGAATCTAGAAAAGGCAGTAGCCGTGTTGTGCCAGTATTTCGAGAATACGGACTTTGTACTCTGCCTGGAATTCATGTAAAACCTGCATAGCAGTTCCAGTTTGCTGGCTGTTCCTGGCAGGGATCCCAGGTGGCGTCCATGCTGGAGGTGGGGGAAGGGAGAGCAAGAGGAAAAGGAGCAAGTCCCAGCCCACTTTTGCCCACGCACTTCTTAGAGGGTCAGGACTGCTCGGCACACCAAGAAGGAGGAGGGATTTCGGAACAAAAAGAATAATTGAGACAAGGGTTTGTTTGTTTTCCACATGTAAAAAGGGGTTGGCCTTTTTTTATTAGTCCTGATGATCATTTATCATGGCTTACCGGTTTACAGAGGGAATTACTATCTGACATATTATTGGATTTCTCTAAGAAATTTCGGATTTCTGGAGGCTGCTGTTCGATTTATGAATCAAGTTGTTTTTTTTCATTTAACAGCTAAGGAAACTGGACAAGCCCTAGGGTGCAGTACTGGGTTCATCACATCCTGGCATTGTCAGTGAGAGCTCTACTTTCAGAAGGAATCAGAACCTAAATGAGAAATGTTAATATGCATATTTAAATTATAAGGTTTTTTAATGTGTGATACTTCTTCTACTCCTTCAGTAAGAGCAATGCTTCTAAAACGGCTTGCAGTAAATCAGATGGTGCCACAGCCAATGGTAATAGATTGAAGTATCATTTTAATACCACCAGTGCACCTCCCTGGTTCAAAGTTCACAGTTTTCCTGAGGGGCTGTACAAAGCCTCTGTCTAAATACTGACATGCGTGCTGTGACCAGCTGGCTGTGGTGCAAGAACCTGTGGGGAGAAAGTGGACAGCAGCAGAGCTATTGTAGCAGCTCTGAAAGCTTATCAACTCCCTGGGAACTCACAGGATTTCTTAGATGTTCAGATCTGTCTGGTTCTTTTTCTCCACTACAGCTCACAAGGGGTATGATGATCCTTTGCTACTTGGTATAGACTGAGAACATTTTCATTGCAGTAGTTCTGGCTTAATCATGTACCACAAGCTCTTTAAATGCAATGCTATCTAACAGTTGCTGGGAAGGCAGAGCTCAGCCATAATTGTTAAAACACCTTAAAGATATCACTACTATATATGATGACCAGAGCCATCACTCGTTCTTTATTCTCACAGATTAATGTCTTCATGTGTACTTGCCTGAACATCACTCCAGCTCTGTCTTGTGGGACCACAGTTCATTGGGGTTTCAGGGGAACTGCAGTCAGGCTGTGACAGTGAAACACCACTACACTGCCATCTCAAAGAGATTTAAGATCCTAGTAATTAGTCCTTTGCTTTTCAAAGCATGGTATTGGGCTTCAGGCATCTGCATCCGCAGTAAGGTCTTGCTTCAAACAGTCTGACTCAGCCACTGGGCAGGAAGGATGAGTTGTCAGTACTGTCTTTCAGGATCTTGCCAATAGCAAAGGGAAACATCAACCCTACAAAAAATTCCATAACTGACCACAATCAAGTTTGTTGAGTTTTTCTTGGGATTTTTTGGTTGGTGTTTTTTTGGCGTTTTTTTTTAATTATTGCTTCTTTGTTTATTTTATAGTTGTTGGGCTTTTTTTGTTGTTTGCTTGGGGTTTTTTTCTTTTGGTGGGTTTGTGGTTTTCCTTGGGTTTTTTTTGTTGTTTCATTTTTTTTTGTTTGTTTGTGGGGTTTTTTGTTGTTGTTATTTGGGCGGTTTTGTGGTTTTTTGGGGGGTGGTATTGTTTTTGGTTTTGTTTTTTTATTTCCGATATTGGTTCAGCCATAGCCAAATAAGCATCTAGATGTCACTTGGAAAAATCATAAATGGACCCCAGGTTCTGACTCTTTTTATACTGCTTTCCTGGTTAAAATAACAATATCTGTAATTTTTAATCTTATTGTTTATACTTTGAAACATACAGAGAGGATTATATTCTGCTCTGGCTAGTTTAGTATTCCTTAGACATTCAAGGTAACATTGTTATCTACTAAAAAGGCAGAAAAAGCATTCTCAGAAAATACTATATTTTCCAGCTGATTTTTGGAGGAAAAAATCCCACAAGTCTTTCATTAGTCAAGATGTAACTTTTCGATTCTCTGGATTTAGAACTGACTGTTTGTTTACAAATGGGTTTTGAGTTGTTACAGAAAGTAAATATTATAATTACTTTCAATCTGTTCCTTAATACAGCCGACAACACCTTTGTTCTTGTGCTGTTTTGAAATGGAAAGAAGGGTTGAAAAGTGGGGATTTTGCATGGATAGGATATTTCAGATTTTTCTATCCCTTTTCACAATGAGGGAAAGAATAGCATATTTAATTTAGCACAATGTACACCATGAAGATGAGCATGTGCCAGTCCCCAGTGGAGCCAGTTTACCACGTACTTCTCCATGACTGTTTGCACAATTCTAGTGCAACATTTTCTGAAGACCCCTTAGGCTATTCACAAGGAAAAGGAGTGCATTTCTCAAGCCATTCTTTTTCCAAAGAGTGTGTTCTCTATTTCATCTGGTGTAGAAAATCGCTTCCACTCATAAAGTTTGCCTTGTGAGACAAAAATAAATATTTAGAAACTGAAAAATTATTTCTAGATTTTTAAAGGTTGAGTTCATACAGTTAACAGGTAGAAAACGTGACAAATTAAATTTATAAATGGCATTAAGCTTTGGTATTCTTTAAGGAAATAAAGATATTTATGTTTATAGATAGTTTTTTGTAACATTCAGAGATAAACACCTCTTTGAATGTACCAGATGGCATCTAAACATAAAAACATTACAGTCTCTTCCCTAAGAATTACACTGCAAATATTAGTTTCCAGGATGGCTTTTATTTGATGTACTTTTTATGTTTTCTAATCTCACAGTAAAGGTTAGATTATTTTTCTTAAAGTTGATCTGAGGTTAGGTAAAAAGTGAGATACTAGTTTTCCTTACTACTACTTTGTTTATTAAATGGTGAAAACGTTCCTTTCAGAGAACTCCAACAGTTCTGTGCATGTACTGCCTAATAGGCACCTTTGGCACTTTTTTAAAGCCATTAACATTTAGCCTTCTCCAAATTCCCACAAGTCCCCCTGGAGTTATCAGCAGCTGAGAACAGTCCAGATTTTGAAGAACTGCATGCAACATCACCAGAAGTGCTAGGCTTTGATTTTTTTTTTTTTTTTCGCTTTTTCACCAGAATTCATATGACCAATTATGGACCTGTTTCATACAAGGGAAAACTATGAAGTTTACCAGGGAAAACAATGGTAAGAAAAGCATTCACTGAGGGTCTTTCCTGGCTTTTAGGTGTTGTTCTTAAGAAAATGTAAACAAATCTCCCGCTTTGTCCCTGCCACCCCTGGCACAACTCACTGAGAATCTAGGAGTAGCCACTCAATCTACTGGGAACATCTGCTGAGATCAGTGCATATGTCGATAAAGAAATGCAGACACAAAATTCCTGTGTGAATAAATAACAATAATAAATAAATCAATAATATAAAAATAATAATAATTTAATAATTTTAAAAAGTACTGATAATAGAAAGCTAAAGGACTTTTTAAAATATTCAGGAGCTCCATCTACTGGCAGTATGTGGTTGCTGTTTGCACCTATACTGAGTCCCCATAAAACTTTAAGAATAATAGCTTAAAGCCTGTTGTAAAACTTAAAATTGTTTTTTGTAACTTTACTTTTTTACTTTTACTTTTAGGAGCTATTTAAACATTTGGTTAGTTTTATGCTTGTTTCCAAGAACCTGTGTATCAAGTCCTACAAGACCTAATTTCTTACTGATACTGGCGGATGATCTTGGTATTGGAGATTTGGGTTGCTACGGCAATGATACAATAAGGTATGAAATAAATTATATCTTCCCAGTGAAGTTAAGTAAAAAAAGCACTGATGACAGTAATTAAAAAATTCAGTATTAATTGATTAGTTTATCTAGATACACTTCTTTTCAAACTATGTACAAAATAGTTGCTCTACAGTAATTCCTACTGTAGTCATAATTATACAGGCATGCTTGAGAAACTTTCTTGGATTTAGAACTTTGCAATTGTGTCTGTGCACTGTATTTGTCAGGCATGTGTATAATGTACAAATTTCCACAACTCCAGGGCTGAAATATGAAGGACTGAGATTAGAATTTAATATCAGTTAACAACTGTAGTAGGTTTTTTAGGAAATGACAGCTTAGACTATGTTGATATATTTATCCCTAGTGCAGTTATCAATCTGTATATAGATTGATTGAGAGGATTATTGTAGAAATATCCTGTCTTTGCTCTAGCCTTTTATAGTCTTGGATATTGTGTTGTACTGTATCTATTAACAGACTCTTTTTCCCTATGCTACATGAGATTTTGATATGAGACAGATGTGAAATATCTTCTCTTCCCCCTCCTCCCTCCCCATTTTTTTGGTTAATAATAAAAACATACATATCCATGGAAAATTAATTTCTAAGGAGTCAGTGTATCTCAAAAACATATATAACACAGAGCTTTTATAGTTGCGCTGTAGGTAAACAGATTTTTGTAAATCTGATGGTGATGTGCTCTGCAAAACTAAGAGGAGTGGGATACCATGAACTTCTGTGTAATACATTTTCATCAGAGATGGGATTTTTCTCTTTAGGACTCCTAACATTGATGGCTTGGCAAAGGAAGGAGTGAGACTTACTCAGCACATTGCTGCAGCTGCTGTCTGTACTCCAAGCAGAGCTGCTTTCCTGACTGGCAGATACCCCATCAGATCAGGTTGGGCCGCTCTCTAATGGTTTGATGCAGTTAGTCTAGTCAGTGTTAATATTAAAAATCCCCTTAAATAAACAATTTTAAAGACTAGTTAATCTTGGGATTTGGAGTTTCAGTGAGGTGAGAAAAAATAAGAGATGACTAATGATTGATTTCTATGGGAAAATGCCCACATAAAGCACATTTAATGTGGCTAAATGGATGAAAATCTAAACAGCACAAAGCACCTAGAGACAGAAAAATGAAGAAGAAAATTGTGCAAATGCTGTCTGTTTAGTGGTATTAAGATTATATTAAATGTAATTTTTTTATATCCTGGCAATTTTTTTCACAGTGAAATGCGTCAGACTGTGGACTAGTTCTCAGTTATTGTGTTTTAAAAATTATTTACTTCAGCCATGTAAATTCATGACAGAAAACTTCAGCCATCATATTGCCAGCATATGGCAATAGTAATCAGTGCAGCACCTCTGATGTGATTCTGATTTGTTAAAGGAGAAATGTAATCATGAACTGTGCATTTCAGAAGTGTGTACCCCTGACTCTGTAAACCTTTTGTTCTGTATAAAACTTACTTTCTTTTTTTTTAACATTATATTTTGATAGAACTTTGATTGTAAGACGTTGCCTAATGTCCAAACATCTTCCTGCCATTTGTAGACGCCCCACCATAGCTGAGGCATCTGCATTGGGGTAGCGTATAATGACATGGGAACTGGAAGAGACATAACTCTGGGGGTTAATCAGAATATCCCAGGACATACTAAGTGGCTTTTAAAAAGGCACTAGGCTTAGACAACTGAGCCCCATTCATTAGAAAGCACAGTCTCAGCAGACTGAAAATCTGAAATCTGGCTTGTATTTTAAAGACCATTATTCCTCTGTAGGCATGGCCTCCAGCACTCAACAGCGGATTCTCTTTTGGAACGGGTGTTCTGGGGGACTTCCACCAAATGAAACTACTTTTGCCAGAATACTGCACCAGCAAGGTTATTCTACAGCACTTGTAGGTATGAGACAGAGCAACTTATCGCCTTTTCATTGCTTGTTATTCAGATTAGGCTGATTCTATAAATACATTTCTGTTTTGCAAAATGTCCAGGATCAGTTAAACTAGATTTTCTTGTATGCACAAGTTTCAAAATCAGCAGGGTTTTTAGAATGCTATCCACAAGTCCCAATGTCAGTAAAGCATATCTGATAGATCAAAAATAAGGATATATGAAATACATAGATACACACTGAAAATGGAAGTAAACTCAAAAAAAAAAAGAATCTTGTTTGCCCACTCCAGATTGCTTTAGGATGAACAAACAGAGATTTTTACTAATCTGTTAGAGCAGAAAAATATTGTCTGCTGGTTGGTACTGAGACACCAGTGGCCCTAATTGTATCAGCTTCAGCACAGTGGTCTTAATTATAATCGACTGCAGCAACGTTTTTGACACTGTGTCTCACAACATCCTCATAGGCAAACTCAGTTTGGACTGGATGAATGGACAGTGAGATGGATTGAGAACTGGCTGAACAGCAGATCCCAGAGGGTTGTAATCAGTGGCATGGGGTGTAGTTAGAGGCCTGCCACTAGTGGTGTCCCCAGGTGTCGATACTGGGCCCAGTATTGTTTGACTTACTCATCAATAATGAAGATAATTAGGGGACTGAAGCATTTGTCTTATGAGGAAAGGCTGAGGTAGCTGGGCCTGTTCAGCCTTGAGAAGAGACAAGTGAGAGAGGACCTCATCAATATGTAGAAATATCTGAAGGGAGGGTGTCAAGAGAATGGATTCAGGTTCTGCTCAGTGGTGCCAAGCAGTAGGACAAGAAGCAATGGGCAGAAACAGGTGCACAGGAAGTTCCACCTGACAATAAGGGAGAACTTCTTTACTATGAGGGTGACTGTGTATTGGATCACATTTCCCAGAGAGGTTGTGCAGCCACCCTCACTGGAGATATTCAAGAACTGTCTGGATGTAATCCTGCACAATGTGCCAGGACAACCCTCCTTGAGCAGAGAGGTTGGACCAGATGACCCACTGTGGTCCCTTTCAACCTTACCCATTCTGTGATATCTAGTGGCTAGATTTTCTGTTATTCAAGCATCCTGCTTATTATCACAGTTGGGATGCTAAAACTTCCTTTATTTTTGCAAAACAAAACTCTTCCAAAAAAAGCTCAAAGAATCCCTTTTACTTCAGTGGGCCTTGGATCAAAATACATGTCCAAAAAAGAGAAAATCCTCTTAACTCTTTGCTAATTTTGACTGAACAGCAATTAAAGGCTGTGTGTTTCAAGCACCTCTCCTTTTTAAACTCCTTTTGATGTAGTCAGAGGTGTAATGTGCTTAGTTGTAATTACTGTGCTTTTCACACCTCTGCTCAGTTCTGCACACTGAGGTGTCATTTACTTCCTAAACTGAAGCAAGTCTCAGTGATGTACTGACTTCACACACTACTCACTGCAGTCTAATATAGCTTATACTGTAAACTACATTCATATACACAAGTGCAGGACTGGTCAGCAGTTCTCAGAAGTTATTTGTCTGGGTAATAGCTCCTAAGCCCATGGTTATACACTGGCTGTCCTTCAGTGTCAGGATAATTACACTGCTCTGTAATATGACTTAATTAAGGTTCATTATCAGTGTATTACATATTCTGATATATCCAATTGTACTGGATAATTGGAATGGCCTATTTCTGCTACTCATTTTAAGATGAATATGGCCACACAGAGACAACACATATGTCTTCTTCCTGAAATTTGTTCCAGGACTATGAAGGTCTGATAGAAATTGTGTGTAAAATAGTTCGTATTTTTGCACTTAGCTTTTTCTTTTCACACAAGGATTTTTTCAGTTTCTCCCCACCAGGTTACCTGTTAATGTATGGCTACTTCATCAGGTGAAAAAAAAATAAGCACCAACCACTGCAACCTTATTTGTTCTTTTTCAAGGACATGTCTAAGCTGGGCCATTGCCCTGCCTGGAATTTAAATAGATAGGCAAGGAGAAGCAGCTGTTCTAGACAGATAAAGTGCCAATGCATTGTTGCTCCCTGAATCTGTCCCCATTCCACACCAGCTCCTCCCTCAGCTGCACCTTTACTGAGAGGTGCAGCCAACCTCTTAGAAATACAGGCAGACACACCCAGGAGTCATGATGTTGGATTTAAGATCTTTATTTTATATTTTCAGGGAAGTGGCATATGGGTGTGAACTGCGAAACCCGCCATGATCACTGCCACCATCCTTTAAATCATGGTTTTGACTATTTTTATGGCATGCCTTTTACCCTTGTGAATGAGTGCCAAGGCACAGACGACCCTGAACTGGCCAAGTCTTTGCAAGATAGGTATTGGCTTTACACACAGATGATCACCCTTGCAGTATGTACTCTTGTGATTGGAAAACTTGCCAATTTTTTCCCAGTAAAATGGAAAATAATCATCTGTCTGGCCATCTGTGGTCTCCTTCACTTCCTCTCCTGGTTCTCCAGCTATGGTTTCACCAAGTACTGGAACTGTATCCTGATGAGAAACCATGATGTCACTGAACAACCTATGAACCTAAACAAAACTACTTCTAATATGCTGAAGGAGGCAGTTACATTCATTAAAAGGTAATCAACAAAAATGGTATCACATTTTAAGGGTTTTTAACAATGATGTCATTATTGTGTCATATACCACTAGGTTGGGTAGCTGGCATGCTGAACTCTCCGTCCTAATGCTGGCCAGTAATTTGTTAATTTCTGGCATTTTCCTACCTGACAACATCCAGCTGCTGTCCTTTGTCTTACTCATCTGTCTGGTTCTGGCCAGGAGAGGGTTAATTTCTGCAGTACCCAGGAGGCATTGCCACCGTGGGGAGAAGGTGTCTGTCCTGGTCCAGTAAGCATGGCAGAGGGAGCTGTGGGATAACTCCTGTTCTGAGCATTTTGCATGTGAATGCACTCGCCTCTCTTGTACACTTTTGTTATTAACATTGTTGCTGTTACTGTTCATTTTCTTATCTCATTGCTGCTTCCACTAAATTATTCTTATTTCAGCCCATGATCTTTACCTTTTGTGCCTCCAGTTCTCCTCTCCAGCCTGCTGCAGGGGGGAGAGAAAGGGTGAAAAGCAGGCAAGCAGCAGTGTGGTTTGGAGAGTCTCAGTGGGAGCACTAAACTGGGGAGTACCATTCCTAAACCATGGCAACATTGCTGATCGGTTCCTTGGGAAAAGGAAGATGATTTTTCTGGTGTTTACGTTTTGTTCAGCTGATGCAAAGGGGTCCTGTCTAAGGACTGTGCTTTCTGTCAGTAGGAACATGGTCTTAGACTGGTGAATGGACTGTTATAGAAAGCGTCATATGAAGTTAATATTTTACAAACAGAAGAGTGATAGTGAGTTTTGTTTAGTTTTGTGTTTGGGTTTTTTCTTTTTTTTTCCGAAAGGTGTCCTTCATTTCTATCAATAACCTCAACTGGAATTGAACAAACCACTAAGTCTTTAAAAGTATTCATGTGTTAAGTCTGGGAACATCCTTGAAAAAGACTATACTCTTTCTGTCAGGGTTTTGAGGTTGTGTGTTTGTTTTCTCAAGGAAATTGGAGGTCAAATATATTCCTTGTGTAAAACTTTGAGCATAGGTAATCCTAGGTTCCTAGGATATCCTACCTGGCCTGATGTTGAAGGGATCACGGTTTCACTTTGGAATGTTTTTATACTGATAACATCATATGTTTATACAGAATGTGATATATAGAAGTGTCATACCTGTCTCTTCCATGAGGACGCTTCAAATGACGCTCAGTGACATACATCCATGTTTAAGTTTAGGCTTGCCTCTCCTTGCCTCTGAGAGTGTGTCAGTCTTTCGGCTACAACCTCTCCTAGTTGCTTATTTAATGTTCTAACATGTCTAATTTGGAACATGAAAAAGAAAGGGCCCATTACTGTTTTGACCTTAATACTGAACAAAAATCTTTGAGAGTGTTTTAAACCGCTCTGTCTCCCAAAACCTCAAAAGTGAAAAGATGTCAAAATAAAATAATAAAAAAAATGTGTTTAGATCACAACAATAATATTTATTAAGATCACAACAATAATATTATTGAGATAGTAACTACAATACCACTGTTATATTTTGCTTTGAGTGACAGTTTGAAGAGAAATGACCCTTGTTTTCTTTTATTTCAGAAACAAGCATAGACCATTTCTTCTCCTTGTTTCCCTTTTACATGTTCACACCCCTCTCCCTACCACAGAGAAGTTTCAAGGAAGAAGCAGGCATGGCCTGTATGGAGATAACGTAGAGGAGATGGATTGGATGGTAGGTAAGTATTGGTCTTGAGGAAAATTCTTCATTTATTTGAATGTGGAAAAGAAATTAAAGAGGTGATCACCAGACTCCCTGTTTTAATTGACATGCTTCGGTGCTGAAGTGTTAAATGCAGACATAATCAAATATGTCCTTGATCATGCTGTTAATCAAAATTATGACATTTCTCCAGCTAGGTCTGGTCTTCGCAGATGTGAGTGGTGCTGATGCTAAATACTACATTATGCTTTTTCCTTGTGCAGTTCACCTTTTGCTGCTGCTTCTATAGCTATGGAAGCTGTTCTTGGCAAATATACTTGATACAGAAGGTGATGAGGACAGTCAGTCTAAGATAAATCACATTCTGTATAAACATATGATGTTATCAGTACAAAAACATTCCTTATGAAATTAGGTTTGAATTACAGTCTGCAAGGTTTTTACCACTGACATCAGGAGATTATTTTGGTTGATAGTATGTAGCCTGGTCTCAGAGTCCCTATGTGAGACACAGCAGTTTACTATGGCTAGTAATCAAGGCAGCACTATTATTTAAGCTTTTCAAGATGTTTGAGGCTACCTAGTCAGCATATTCCTTGACTCAGAGAATTTACAGAATAAAGTTGACTGAGTATTCTGAGTAGTTGGAATAAAAGGATCAATCATTTAAATTATTTTCCAGTTGGTGGTAATTTTTATTTTCCCATTTTTATAGACACTACAAACAAATTTTATAAACATTCATCCACTTTTTGTTGGGCTCTTATTATTTCACAGAATTATAGAATATTCTGAGTTGGAAGGGACCCGTCAGGATCATCCACTTCAACTCCTGGCCCTGCACAGGACACCTCAAGAATCACATCATGTGCCTGAGAGCATTGTCCAAACAGTTCTTGAACTCTGTCAGGCTTGGTGCTGTGACCACTTCCCTGGGGAGTTCCAGTGCCCAGCCACCCTGTGGGTGAAAAACTTATTCCTGAAGTATAACCTAAACCTCCCCTGACTCCACTTCATACCGTTTCCTTGAGTCCGGTCACTGGTCACAAGAGTGAACAGATTGGTACTTACCCCTCCTCCTTCCCCTTGTAAGGAGGTTGAAGGCTGCAATGAGGTCTCCCCTCAGTCTCCTCCAGGCTGAACAGACCAAGTAACCGCAGCTGCTCCTCACATGGCTTCACCATCTTCACTACTCTTCTTTGGACACTCTCTAACAGCTTAATATCTTTCTTATATTGTGGTGCCCAAAACTGCACACAGTATTCAAGGTGAGGCCCCCCCAGTGCAGAGCAGAGAGGGACAATCCCCTCCATCAACCAGCTGTCAGTGCTTTGCCTGATGCCCCCCCAGACACGGTTGGCCCTCCTGGCTGCCAGGGCACTGCTGACTCTCACTCAGCTTGGCACTGACCAGGACCCCTAGGTCTCTTTCTGCAGCACTTTGCTCCAGCTTCTCATTCCCTAGTCTGTACAAACAACCAGGGTTGCCCCATCCCAGGTGCAGAATCTGGCACTTGCCATTGATAAACTTCATACTACTGGTGATTGCCTATCTCTCTTATTTGTTGAGGTCTCTTTGCATTGAATGTAGTAGATAATAACAGAACTCATTCAGGTAAATTCAGTCTTCGCTGAATTTTGAGTCAAGACCTAGAAAATCTGAGTTCATCTCCTGATGTAATTATGATGTTATGCTTTGTTTATAGGAAGGCTTGTGGATGTTATTGACAAAGAAAGCTTGAAGAATACCACATTCATTTATTTTGCATCTGATCATGGAGGATCCTTAGAGGCTCGCAGAAAAAATTCTCAGTTGGGTGGATGGAATGGGATCTATAAAGGTAAAATTTTGGTAGTGTCTACATGCATAAGACTTCCTCTTAAAAAGAAAATGATAGAATAAAATACATTCAGACAGACTAAATTTAATAAACTATATGCTGGTATTACAAACTTGGATTATAGGTCTGAAACAAAGATCTGTGGTATCTCTTGCATGTGCCCCCTCCAGGCTGTTAAGCCTTGAAAAGCTACTGGCAGCTTGCACAGATTGGCACTTACCGTATAATGAAGTCTGAAAACTTATCTTAAAATCACTTATTTCCCTACTGAAGAAGAGTTGTGTATACCTTGACCTTGCTCAGCATGACAGTGCACACTGCCTAGTAGCAAGTTACTTGGGCCATACAAGCAGTGTTTGATACAGCTAGGATCCATCTAGGAACAGTCCTAAATGCAAAATGAGCCTTTATTTCTTTATATGAAGTTTCCATATCAGTAACAGTTGCAAAAAGGCCAAGAGGCACAGCTCAATAGTTTAGAATCTAATCTGATGAATTCACTTCTACTAACTGAACACACATATATTAGTAACAGGAGAGGCCAGAGAGGAAAGGTAAATGTGATTAGAGATTTAAGCATGAGAGGACAGTGATGAAATTATGCCTGCTTAGAGAGAAGGCAAAAGAAGACATAATATCAGTTTATATATCAATAATAGAAAGGCATGCCCATTTATGTCCACATATGGCAGAACAGGGGACATCCCATTGAAACTAACTAGCAAGATTAAAAAATATAATTTAATTAATAAATATCTGTAAAACTCACTGCTGCTATTTGAAACAACATATTAAAAACAAGAAGATAAATAAGCCACACATCTGAATAATGAGAAGAGCCTCTACTGATTGACAAAGCATGAGATACTGCTATTTTACATAGCACAAACATTATTTCATAAGCAGCTGGACTTGCCCTGTTTGTTATCCATCATGACACCTTGTCAGCCTTTATATCCAAGCTCTGGGAACCTTGCCTCTCAGTTGTAACTGTTAGCACACCTCCTTCATAGCAAGGTATGGTATTACTTAGCAAAGCCTGGGGCTAATGTAAGCTACCATTCAGCTGCTGATTTATTAGCTGAGCTAATCAGCTGGCTTCAAGCTTTGTTCACCGGTTTTCCTACAACACTTTCCAGCCACAATTTGTCATTTCTGCCTTTGATAGGAGGAATAACAGAGAAAAGGTCATATAGGTACCTGAGTTTAATCATTTTGCAATTTTTGTTTTCTAATTGGATCCTTCACTTGTAGTTCTGACTTTGAACCACATTGTTTCATTAATATTCCCATCTTTGACATCTGTAACTTATATCTGTAATTAGTTAATGGTTCTCACTTTGAAATACTATTCAATGAATTTTTGACTTGTAAGAGACACTCCATGGAGGAGAGACTTTAGAAGACCAGAGAATGCAAGAGAAATGAAGTTAAGAAAAACTCTTTGTACTACCTAAAGACAATTTCAATAGAAATGCAGGTGGGAAGTCTTTGTCACTGCAGCATATTCAGAGCACTCCCCTATTTAATGCATTGGTTCTAAACTCTTCCATTTGGGACCACCTCAGAGCCTCCCTGGGACTGTATTCTCCTGGAGGGCAATCAAATATTATCCTAATTTCTCTCACTGCTCTCCAGAACTGCAATTAATTTTGTAATGTTCCTGCTGTCTCTGATTGGGAGCTGACAACCAAGCTTGCCCTGTGTTAATTTTCCTTCCTCAGGCACCAAGTGGGGCTGCAACCTCTATACCATTGACAAGTCAGATTTTGATCTTAATTATTTAATTCATTAATTCATTCATTTTATTAACTGATATTTTATCAACAGATTTTCTTTTTTTCCTTGAGCACGTTATTAGGGAACGTGGAGAGTATTCTCAGATACTTGAGTTGAAGTGACATTCAACTTAAGCTCTGGGTCAGAATGACTTCTCAGGCATCAGAGGGTGGAATTGTTCCTCTTCTGCCAAAAATACTGCTTCGTAGTGGGTTGTTATATGTACAACCCAAAAACGCAGTGTAAAATAAAGACGTCAATAAGACTTTTTTTGAAGAGTAGAATTTCCACTGCAGTCACTCCACTGTTCTCCAGGATTCAGTGTGTTGTCATTAGAGTTACATGATTATTCTAAGAATTTAAAACCTTTTATTATACATGCACGATGAACATCTAGAATTTCTTATTATTTTCTCTTTTTTTTTTACACTTCCCCCCCCCCCTTACCTAACAGGTGGAAAAGGAATGGGAGGATGGGAAGGAGGAATCCGTGTTCCAGGAATATTTAAATGGCCAGGAGTGTTGCCTGCAGGGACAGTCATTGATGAACCTACAAGCCTTATGGACATTTATCCTACAGTGGTTCATCTGGCTGGAGGGGCAGTGCCTCAGGACAGGTACAGAGGTGGCTTCATAAACCATATTTGCTTCCCTTTCTTGATTTAGATAGAAACTGACAGCCACAGGTTAAATTCTGATTGTTTCTAAACCAGGCAGTTCTCTAACTTCCTTTCTGCATAGCCTTCCTTGTCTTGTCTGCTTGTATGGAAAAGGCAAAGGAAAAAACAGTATGTTTTATCAAGGATCATTTAGCTAACTCAGTCCTCTAATCACCAAAAGGCAATTTGGTTGATTTGGGGCACTAGGATGATTGTAAAAAAAAAACCCCAACAAAAATCCAGAACAAAACTCACAACCAAAGCCACCCTTTTTTATTTTACTTTTTTTTTTTTTTTTAAATGAAAAATCCACAGACTTTCACTAAGTTGGCTTGGTCCTGTTAGAGTACTATGACAGGAAGCCTAGGAAGCCCAGTTATTCATAAGTAGGGAAGGTGGAGCAAATGGCATATGACCTACATTTTTCTGCCGGTACCAAAGAAGTAGCTTCCTCAATAGTAAACAACTTGTAGCATCTATGTTAGCCTCCTCTAAAGGACACGAGAAAGCGTAGGTGGCTACATCATTTCAGCAAAAAGCAAAAGAAGTACTGGTGGTGTGTAAATAAATCAACTCTTTGTCAATTCAGTAGGTGGCTTTTTTCTTTTTTTTTTTTTTTTTTCCCCCTCCTGTAAAGCCTGAAGCTCACAGAGCTGTCAGTGACTTCAGTGACTTCCATTTCAGGTAGCAAAATTACTTACTTCCAGGAAAATTACAGTAGTGGTGACTTATCTCCCCAGGCAGGACGTGTGAACTAGCTGTATTTGCAAAAACTTCCAGTAAGTGCTAATTCCTGATCTCCACCCATTCACACAACTAAAAAACTCAGGGCTCATTAGCAAGAAAGTACCTTGGTCGAGAGATGACACTTGAAATTCTAATGCTGCTTACACAGAGTGGGCAGAGCTTGTGCTGCAGCTGCAGACCGAAATCCTGAAGCAGTCTGGTGAGTCCTGTTCTCCCCTTCAGGGTAATCGACGGGCGCGCTTTGCTGCCTCTGCTGCGTGGGACAGTTCGGCACTCCGGGCACGAGTTCATGTTCCACTACTGTGGTGTGTTTCTGCACGCGGTGCGGTGGCACCAGAGGGACAGTGAGTACAAACATCCCCCTCCAGCAGACCAGAGACCACGTCATGGCCTCTAGCTCCCAAGCGAGTGTCATGTAAAAATATACATACGTACATCTGGAGTAAGTGTATTGTCTCAAACTCTCAGTTCTTCTACAAGCTGCAGAAGAATTAGCTGTCCTGCCTTGCCCGAGATGAAGGGTTGTGCTTCCTGGGAAGCACAACTTCAAGAATCCCCATTTTGTTGCAGCCTTTGTATCATTTTTGACGCAAAAGCCCGCGGGATCAGCTTTGGTGTAGGGGCCAGAGCGCCGCCAGGGGGCAGCGCGGCACCGCCGGCCGCCACAGCCGCGGCCTGCCGGGCGGCCCACAGCGCCCGAGCGAGGAGCTTGCAAACGGCAAAACAAAACGAAACAAAACAAAATAAAACAAAACCCAGCCTCCCGGCCCTTCAGCGCAGTCAGCTGCTGCGTGTGTTGTTTTCACATCTCGAGGTAACCCCGTATGAAAGGGCCACCCACGGCTGTGGGAGAGTGGGGGGAGAGCGGCCGCCCCCGGCCCCGTGCAGTGGCCATCCCTGGAGGTATTTAAAAGATGTGTAGATGTGGACATGGATTAGTGTTGGACTTGGCAGCGCTGGACATGATGATCTTAAGGGTCTTTTCTAACCTAAAGAATTCTGTGATTCTACAGTCTATCCCCAAGCACAGTCACCTTTTCACATTACCTAGAGCAGAAGAGCGCTCAGAAACTCAAATCTCCTATGTCTCTAAATCACTCACCATTCTTAGAGATCTCTTTTTGTTTCTTTTTAACACACATTTTGTTCAGGAAACAGAAAGTTTCTGGGCATAGAGAGCTGTGCCTGACTGCTGGACTCCTGGAGAAAAGTCCTGCTAGAAGAGTCATGCTACATTTCCCTACCAAAAGGCTAAATACATGCTCCAGTCAAGCAGTGCATTTGAAGAACTGCTTTTCACGTTGAAGGATTGTTACTCTCCTTGCCCAGCTTTCATCACTTGTTCTTCTAGGCTATATAAGTTCTACATAAGTAGCTATGCATACTTGTGCAGATGCAAGATATATTTGGTGGCATTTCATGATCCTATGAAATCACACACAGAGCTAGATTTCCTATGCATGCCTTTCTACAGTTTTTCCCATTGAACCTCAACTGCTCATGGCAAGGGTCCTGAAAACAATGCAGTGTTCTTCTGCATATGAAAGACTGGCTAATCAAATATGTGGCTCAGCTTTCAAACGAGATATAAATTTTGATTCTGTGTTCCAACTGCCATTTCTTCTGACTGGGCTAACAGACTATTTCGAGGGGTTTAGCTCATCTGCAAGTAAATCAGTCATTTTACGTATTTATTGTCCGTTTACATCTGTCTATTGAAGATATGAAGGCATTGCATCTTGATGTCGTCCAGGCAGGATCCATCCTTTAAGCCCTTCACTGAAGCCAGAAGAATCCTTTGTTTATAAGTTAAAAGAGTCCTTTTCTTCACCCCAGCACAATAAGTCTTATTAGTGACAGTACATTTCTTTCTGCTCATTAAACTGATTGATTGTTACCAGATGGGGTTGAGAGATGTTTGTACTGAAGCAGCAGGTTTCCTTTCCCTTGGACATATTAAATTAACACGATGCCCTAAAATTCACATGCAACTTCAGATTCTGTCAGAGCCACTTCAGTAGAAAATTGCATATCCCTGTTTGCCTCTTGGAGATGAGTGCAACCCCCACTGCTTTTATCAGCACTGATTTCTACCACCTTTTTTTTTCTTCTATCTTTCTGTAACCCAATTGTCTGCTCAGCTCACCAACACAGGTTAATTACAATCAGCCTCTCTGTATCCTTCAAAGTGAACTAACAAGGACCTGGCTGTCATTCACTCTGCATTTCCAGTAATTATTTGCAGCTGTGAAAAGTGAATGTTAAAATTGAGCAGCATCAGACACTCTACACTCAGCACTCCAAATTTTCATACAGTGTATAAGGAACTCAGCCCAATTATTTATAGAAAAGAATGACTAGTTAGTTTTTTTCTGAAGATTGATCGCATAAATTCCTACTTACAACTAGATAAGCTTCTCCATCTTATTTACCTAATAAATGGTTATTTTACCAATATCACAACAGTACTCCAACTAAGCCAGATACTCAGGAAAGAAATGCCTGTCCCAGAAAGTACTGATTTGACTCCTTGTAGCAAGCATCTGTGCTACCTGACTGATAAACATAAGACCCAAATCCCATGCTCTGGGAACCCTGATATCAAGGAGGATGCTTGCATTTTTGTTGCGAGACAAATGTTCTTTTAGTTACAAGACAGGGATAAGCTGAAGGACGTGGAGCTTACCCAGGCAGCAGCAAAGCACACACTCTAACAGACCTAAGGAGTATCTATCTGTCTTTGGTAAGCCATCAGAAAGTGAGCCCAATCAACCTTCATCATCCTTTCTCTCACCATTTCAGAAATGGAGATAACATTTAGAAATGTTACAGAACTATTATCCAAAACATTTCAGAACCATTGAGACATCATACCTCCACAGAAGTGCAGAAGGATAGGTTAAGCAGGATGTGGAAACCACGGGGTGAAAATAAATAGATACTCAGCCAGCTAGCAACTAGATATTTTAAGCTAAAATATTGCCTGATCCTTAACGTCTGTTATTTGTTTCCCCTCACCTTTTCAGAAGTTTTAAAATTTTATTTATTAAAAAATAGTGTTCTAGTAGTAGTGACAAGACAGAGACCAAAGAATAAAGCTGCAGGCTCCAGACATAAAGAACACCTCTGGGGACAAAAGAAGAAAGGAAGGAAAGTTCAGCTGATTCCATTGAACTAAAAAGAAAATTCCGTGTAGGGACAATGCAGTTGTCAGCTATTTGTGCTCAGTGGATTAGAGAAGTGGCTCCAAGTGTTAAATGTCCCCTTTCTTCTTGTCTCCTTCTTTCCAACATAGTACCTAATTGCTGTTTTCTCGCTGGGCACAGAATTGCCTCTGAATTCAGTGTACTGTATTCTAAACGTGGAGTGAGGAATAGGGGAAAAAGGAGGAGGAAGTAAAGTGTGCTGATGAGCTGCACTCAGATTTAGTCCTAGGCATTTGCCATTCTTTCATTACAAGTTACAGACCTATGCTTATCCTATGGACAGTGCAAGAGCCTGATGATGTGCAAGCTCTAAAGCTGCCTTCATCATGTTAATTCAAAACCTAGACTCCAGATTTTGCTATTTTCTCAGTCTGCAATTACCACCCTATTTGAAAGTGTGCTGGAACATGAACATGGAAATGAACCGTGATGAATTTCTGCCCAGGTGTACTTCTTCACTCAGATATACAGAGGCAGCAGAAGAACCACCTGCAAGTACTTGCACCCAGAAACTGGGGACTGCATTTTCCATTTTCCCTCCCCAAGAGGCTTGTAGCATTTTAAAGGGACACAAGAAAGTGTCAGACCCCCCCTTTATCCAAAATGTTAGGCTAACTATTCACATACTGCATGTACTAAGCTAAGGTGTTCCCATAAGCCGCAAAGAACATCTTAATCCTGACAGCTTCCACAAGACCCCTTCCCCATCTGTGATATAAGCTTGCCCCTAGCAATGACAAAGCAGGTCACTCAAACGTGAACCAAACTTTCAGGACACATCCCCCGCCCCTCCCAATTCTTAATGCCATTAAGATGTTCAAATGTGCTTCTTCTGTGACAGGTGGCACCGTGTGGAAAGCTCATTATGCTACTCCAGTATTCCAACCAGAAGCCTCTGGAGCCTGTTTCAGAAGAGGAATTTGCCCATGTTTTGGGGATGGTGTAACCCATCATGACCCTCCCTGCTGTTCAATCTCTCACAAGATCCGTCTGAGGCAAATCCTTTATCAGCTGACACTGAGCCCTTGTTTGACACTGTGATGAGGAGAATAAGAAAAGCTGTGGAAGAGCATCACAAGACGCTGACTCCAGTCCCACAACAGCTGTCTCCTTACAATAATATATGGAAGCCATGGCTGCAGCCATGCTGTGGGACATTCCCATTCTGTTGGTGCCATGAAGAAAATAGCAAAGCAGATAGCATAGTTTAATACCAAAATCAAAGTTATCTTCTTTAAAGTTGATAGTTTTCACATTTACATGACATTTACATTCATAGAGAAATTAGAGATATGGGTTAAATTACATTGGAATAACTTAAAGAGATATTAGTGGGGTGTTTTTGTTCAACTTTTTTTATACCCACAGAAATTCAGTAAGCCTGTGGCTTAAAAATTAGCAGTCACCTGTATAACCCGCCCCTCAAGTGCATAATTCTGGATTAAATACCCAAATAAATAAATAAATATTTCTTTCCTTAGTGATTTTTAATTCAAGCAAATGATGGCTGATAAGAAAGTAAACTTTTCATTGCAGATGCTTGTACAAGAAACATGCTTATTAGGACAACAGTACTAAGCCCAAAAGGGTATGCCTATTCAGGGCTTATCTTTTTAATGAAAAACCATGTTGCACAAAAATGAAATTATGATGACAATGAAAAAAAATTAAATAATGAAAAAAATAGCACATTTCATTTGGAAACATACCAAAATGCATTTGCCTCTCAGAAATAAATACCTATTAATTTACAGCAATTTTTTGCCTCATCTGTACATTCATTTTTCTATCATGTACGAATTCCCAGGGAAAACCAAACTGACGAGTATGTTTTAAAAATTAGATAGCTGAAGTTAGCATCTCAAGATCAGAAGCAAAGTACCTAGCTATTCTGAAATGATAAGCCACAATTCTTACCAAAATGCATTTCCCATGTAGTTAGGTCATCTCACTTGCGAGAGCATTGAAAATCATCACCCTTGAGAAAATAGGTCCCAAATTTCACAATCTGAGACCAATTTTTAAGCTGCATGTCCCACTTGAGTGCCAATGACTCTGATTTCATATGAGCCCATGAAAAATGTGCGTTGTTTTGTGAGAAAGCACTTTGTTTTCAATAGGAGGTGTTAAAAAAAAATTTCACCTGACACACTAATCACTTCTGTGTACAGGTCATCTTCTCCAAGCCAAACAAGTGTCAGCACTCTGTACAGTCATTAAGGAAAGGGAGGGGATTAAAATATGTAATCCTCTCTTGCTGCCCTCAGGTTAAATAAATTCATCTCTCAATATGTAATCCTAACCATGCTCTTGCCAGGTTTCGTGTCAAATCTGATTTTTAAATGGAGGTTTCTGTATTTTTGCCTTCAGAAAAGGTAGATTGCAGGCAAGAAACTCCGATTCAAACTTCTAAGCCTTTCTGAACACTGTATGTTCACTCGTACCACACAGCTAAAGGTCACCCAGATTTTAAAAGTAACAAAGGATGGTAAGAGCTGCAGAGCAGGTACTTCAGGTGACCTATTTCCTTAAAGCTAGCAGACTTGCAGAGCCACACCAGTGCAGCTCTATTCAGCACCAAGGTTGCCTGTCATTTTTACCTTTCAGAAACAACAAGAGATAGGAAGGCTTTCAGCAGGTCCGTCCCTCAGTTCTTAGGCTGGCACAGCAAATCCCAGCCCTTTCACCAGCCTCAGGATAGAAGCGAATGTATGTCTGGACTATGCACCTTTTGCAGTGTTTTCAGAGAACCTCCTGACTTACACCTCCAATGTGGCAGGTCAGCAGTGTGGTAAGTCACTGCTGTTTAGCTCTAAACATGGTTGTGACCATGACATGGCACCGAATGCAAGTCTCCAAAAAGCTGACTGGGCATTCCTTCAGGTTATTTCCCATTTCATCTTTCCTCTACAAGGTCACCAAGAAAGTTATGTGGAAAACACTCCACATAAATCGAAGGGCACTTATGACAATGAACTGATTGGGTGAATCAATGTTACACTTGACAGGGGTATCTAAAAATACATTTGTTCTCACTGCTTGATAGCGTTTAAATCCACATCAACATTGCTAAGAACTCATCAGAAGATGTGACATTTTCCTGTGTCTGACAGGGACCAAAACCAGAGCAACTGCATTTTACTGGATTCATGCAGGGAGAAAAAGCATAAAAGACCATGCATTTTAAAACCAATTTGGCCGATTCAGAGATGGAGGACAAACCTTATTGCTCAGTGGGGAACAAAACCAAAAGCTGTTCTCTAGAGTCAAGCCAATCAGTTCAGTAGCATCTGCATTGTCAGTTAAACACAAGGATAGGCATTTTCTCAGTTCACCTCAGTGCCTTCCCCACTCACCCACTCCATTAGGTTAGATATCAGGAAAAAGTTTTTCACCCAGAGAGTGGTTGAACACTGGAATAGGCTCCCCAGGGAAGTGGTCACAGCAACAAGCCTGAGAGTTTCAGAACTGTTTGGACAATGCTCTGAGGCACATGGTGTGATTTTTGGGGAGTCCTGTGTAGGGCCAGGAGTTGGACTTGATGATCCTAATGGGTCCCGTCCACCTCAGCATATTCTGTGATTCTATGATTTATACACAAGAACATGCCCAGTCCCAGACTAGGTTATGACGAGAGTTTTTACCAGGGGATGGGAAGGTCTTCAAGCACCCACTCAGCATGTGAACATAGGTCCAAACTCTAGAAAGCCAGACTAGGAAAGCCAATACATCAGCAAAACCCTGAACTCCATTTCCAAGCACAGTGTGAAAAAAAAATCACCCCATATAAATGTAAACATTAAACATTTGTGTAACCCCTCATTTGTCTGAAAGTTAAATTTGCTAAACTGCCATACAGAGTCAGATGCTAAGGAGTCACGTAGATATCCATGTTGCCTTCCTGACATCCAAACATAAATAATTTTATCTTGGCTGGCATCTGTGGAAAGCCAGAGGGGCTTTCAGGCAGGAGGAGGAGGAATTAGGGCTGGCAGCATAGAGTAACTGGCTTTTGTTAACTCACTGTTAAGAAACCCCAACCAGGCAAAGAGAAATGTGCTTTTCCCATACACAGAGGGAGAGGGCAGACAGTGCACACAGCGGTGAAAGGAGAACAAAGTAATGGAAAATTGGTGAATAGAATGCACACCACTTCAAAAAACATGAGGGACAGGAGAGAAGACTATTTTCAGTCCTAAACTCCTTTTACTGCCTAAATCTAAATGTACCTTAAAAGATAAAAATTTTGAGGAGTCGGTGGTAAGCAGGGAAAGGAGGTTAATTATTTTACCCATTTCATGCAGATCCTAGCCAGGAGTGGTTGCAGATCTCTTTGTCTGTATATACTCTAACCAGACCACGTAAGATCTGCACAAGCTATTATTCTGATCTACCGACCAAGGTATATTCCCCGTAAAGCAGGTGAACCCAACATCACCCAAGAGTTATCCTCATGCACACTTTCACATAAAATGCATTAATGGGGAAAAGAGCTGTTAAAAAGACTGCTTGAATAACACTGGAAGGAAGAAACTCATAAGTGGGTTCCTTAGGTTTGCTTGAAAAGTCATCTATAATGATCTTTTGCAAAATATAGTAATATTAAAATAAAAGCTAATCTATATGCTTTATCCCTTCTTTTCACATAGTTCCTCCCTTTGTAGAAAGGAGCAAGGACTACATAAAAATGACCTGTTGGGAAAACCTGAGACAACTGACCCATCTTCAAGCTGGTGTTAACCATACCAGAATGTGCCTACACATGGTTCAATATACACACCACAGAGAGGGGAGTAATACTCTGTAACATATTAAGTTTGTTTTACTGAAAGAGCTGTGGTTGTACTGTGTAAACGTTTGACAATCACGTTGTACGAAGCTGACTTCCACTTAAATTGTTTGATCGTTATTAAATGACATTTGGAATTGTTGCATTAGACTGACTCAACAGAGTTATTGTCAAGTCTCACAGGAATGAGACAATAAGCTTCTAAGAAACTTCACCATGTTTAAATATTAGACACATTGCTTTGCTCCCTGCTGGGACCCCAGGGAATGCCAGCATATGGATCACAAGATCCCATCATTTAAGGATGCAAAATAATTGTTCAACAAATAAACTCAGAAAAGTAATTTGAGCTCAAAGCTCATCCAGCTTGAAATTCTTGAGGACTCTGGGTATATTTGAGAAGCATTTACATAAATGACCAAAAAGAAGGAGTAAATATTAAAAAAACTTTTGCTCATTGACAGATTGTAGGTTAAAATACACATATGCAGGCATAAATATAGTATTGAACTCAATAAAATACTGAAGACTTTTTTAGAATGTTGTGAGTGTAATGTTACATCTAATCAACTAAATTAAAAAAAAATCAAATTTATTCAAAACCTGGCTTCTTTTTGGATTACCATACAACTGCATTATTAAGATTTTTTGAAAGCAAGAAAAAAACATTTTAAAAAAATCTCAACTCCCCATGTTGATATAAAAGGCATTATTATAGGATCCAAACAACCCTGACTTCTACTCTGCCATTTGTCTAAAAATTGTAAGTAAAAGGTTTGGAAACAGAAAGAATTTATGGAGGTTTAAAAATGAAAAAAAAAAAAAAATAGTCTCTGAACAAAAGATAAAACAGGTACCCACCCATCACATGCAGTCAGTTCTGTTCCAAGTATTTAATACTATGAGAAGGCTTTGAATATCTTACTGCTCTTAAATAAAACAAATAAACTGTTTCATGTATTTATCATTGTTCAGAACACTGTACTGTGCCATAAAATGGAACAGACACTTTTCCAAGGCAGCTAACATCATGCCATCCTGCAAATCCTAAAATAATCACCAGTCAGAGGCTGGCTGTCTTGGAATTTTACTTTTCTTGTCCATCAAGTTTGTTGAATTTGAAAGGGCTCTGACAACAGTCAAAGTAAAATTCAGGAAAAAAACCTTGCAACTATTTTTCCCCCTTATTCGTAGCATATGATTTTCAGTTTTCTAACAATTATTATTTATGATGTTTGAGTCAAATATATATCATTGTACTTTTTTAACTACCTTTGATATGATTATGGTATGATGTTATTACAAGTTGAAAGCTTATACCAGGATGTAAAGTAAAACTTGAATGTCACCCCTTTAACTGACAGCACCAAAGAAATTGTTCTTTATGAGCCATCCAACTTAGGATGAACAGAATTTTAGCTGAAACATTTTGCAAACAATATACTGACAATGCAGACTGCTTCAATGACCACTAACTGACACGTATTTTTGCAGGCCATTTAAGAACTTACTACGATGCATTTAATCTCATTTAAAAGGCTGATTTTAAAAAACAAACTACAGAAATAAAATCCCAATATTATGACAAGAAAATTGTTGGGGAATTGGAATGTGAGATGTGAATTAATGAGATGTGACTTAAGAAAACGGGCCCATCTCATGTTATTTTCAAAGTCATAGGAATCAAAACAGTTTCGATTAGGAAAGCAACAGAATCACATCCATTAAGGAATAAGCAGGCATGCTGCACACTTGTTGCTGCTGAACAACTATATGTTTACGGGAGCACACAAACATATATTGCCACCTGCTACTAACCCAGCCTCCCATTCATGGACAGAAAAATCAAAGTGAAAAAACAACCAAAATGAAACAACTAAGCACTTTTTCAAATACCAGCTTCAGAAAAACCACTGTGAGCTGAATGAACTAGAGAGACAAAGGAAACGTCTTATTTACAAAGAATAACGCAGTTGGAAGAGTCCTCGCAAGACACCAGGCATTAAGAAAAGTGATATTTCAAGAACAATCTCCTTTTCTGTAGGCTAGGAAAGTGCATTAACCCACACGTCTAACCTACACTATCTCCTGTTTTTACATGAAGAGCACCCAATAAAATTGTTGTATGGCAAATAAAATTACCCTCTAAGTCAGGCTATGAATAACTCCAAGCACATGACAGAAGCAGCATCAGCATGTTTTGTTTTAAACACAAGCTGTCCTCTTTAAATACAGTCTGCCACACAGCAATAGGTCATAGTCCGGCCTTGTTAAAGAAGAATAGTGCCACCCACCAAAAAGCCAAAGCTTAACTTTCTTCATCCTAAAAATACTTGGGGCTATACCACAGTTTAATGTGGAAAAATTCCAGGTAAAGCTTGATAAGTTTTTTCTTCCCAAGTTATGTTTCAACTTAGGAAACCTCAGCCCTATGATTCGTGGCAGCATGCAGCCCATAACACCCCTCAGACCTGCCTGTGATCTCAGGATTTCAGAATGATGTCCATAAAAGCACACAATGCTGCCTGAAGCACAGGACTTGCAAATTCTGGAGTCACATACAAGATTCTCCCTTCTCACACATTGGTGACAACAGTTGTGTGCTAGAAGCCACTGCAACACTACACTATGTGTAATTAGTTCAACTTTTTTTTGATGTGAAGACAGGACAAAAAAACTTGGGCAGGGCCTTTAACAGCTACACTTTTCCATGAAATATAATAAACAAAATGGTGTTGTGCTAATTCAGGAGATCCTAAACATTATAATTACATATGTCTGTAGAAATAATTATAAGTCTAACCTTTTAATTCTGCTCAGCAGGTAATGCTAAATGTCTCAAAAGCAATTAAATCAAATTAAAAAAAAATTAAAGTAACTAGTCAGTAACAAGTAATAATCCCTGGCATATTGTAAACAACCTGTAGCAACCTATCATCTGATAAGTACATGACTTCATACGTCTTTTCCATTTCTTTTATTTCCATTACATTAATGTACATTCTTTGCAAAACATTGTATAAGACACACAGTACCATTTTACATACTAACAGTTTGACGTGTCCAGTAACAACTCCTTTTACTACATACACCTATTTAAAAAAACTTTCAGTTACTGATTTCACTTCAGTAATTTTTCTCCCATAATCTAATTAATGTGCCCAGTAAAATCTAGTTGTTACTGTAAAAAGTCCAGCTGCCTGAAGCGTGAGTTCACACTGCTGACTAGTTTTATAGTCTTCAAAACCCGTTTGAATTATGTTAGCAACAATGCTTATAAAACAAAACTTTCTCAGAAGTGCAGAAGGATCACAAAGAAACAGGGCTAATCAGCAGATCAAATGCCATGCGAGTAAGAGGACAGTGCAGCTTCTGCCGTCTCCACACAAGTGCTGCACTGGGCCACAGCACCAAGAGGTAGGATGCACCTACGTGCACTAAGGTGTGAAGGTCACCTACCCAGAAAGGCGCTGGCTATCGAGGGTCCCCAGGTTAGCCAAAGAGAGATGATTCTTCCCCATTTCTCTGCTGACCCTAAAACATCTAACTTAAGCTAGAAGCTTATATGCAGAAGACACACCAATGAGATTCACTCTTTTAAAGAGTGCTTAGAATAAATGAGAACTAGGCAAAAATCAGAAAAATCCTACAAAAGTAAAAGCAAATCCACTATTGTGAATATTAGAAATTAATTCTAAGATACTCAAAGATATATTTTTCTTCTTTTAAAGGACTTTTTATCTCTTTCATTAATTTCCTAATTTGTGCATCCTTGCATAATGTAACAGTATTTTTAAACAGAATTCCCAAGTTATTTCATTATGTATATCTCTACCAAAATTGGTGACATATTAAAACCAAAATTTTCAAGTCCTGCATCATCACTGCAGAATTTATATTCTAATATTGAGTGATGTTACAGATAACTGTGTCAAATCAGTTATCATATTAGCATAACTGTCAAAATCCTTTCTTTCAATGTTTTCTACTTTGAAAGAAAGTACTTTTTTGTGTTTGTTAAGACAAACTCACTGAATCAAATTTAAATACCCAAATTCACAAAACAATCCCTCCTAAGTACCCGTAATAAAATGGAGTCTCATCAGTAGATTTTTTTCTGGAACAACCCTCACAGATTTATTGGTTCCCACACACAGCTATTGTTTAAAATATCTTCAAAGGGCCTGTTTACTAAAACAAGTGCCAATTGAGTTTTCATTTGCACTCAAATTGCCTGTAATATGGGGCTATCATGCTGAGCAAGAAGGAAGCCTGTATCAGCTGCAGTTTGAAGTACTGTAAACAAATTGATATAAAGCACCAGAAGGTTTACACCATACCATCCGTGTTTCTTCCTCTGACTACACAACTGAGAATACTCAAGTAAAGCTAACAATATTTTATAAAGCAACAGTATCCTAAAGCAACAATATGAAAGGTTAACATACATTAGCAGTCTGTCTTAAGGGTTTTAAACCACTCTTCCCTTACACTAGTTATAAAGCTGAACATCTTCCTGTAAACAGACAAACACAGAACATCCACTAGTGATCTCAGATGAAGTCTGCAGTTCCTCTAACCCTAATCATATTTAAATTTAAAAGTTTTGTTGCAGACTCCTATGAGGACAGATTTCATCTCCTCACTTTTTTCTCATATTGAAGTCTACATCATGGTTACCCTTGAAAGCATTTATTTGGTTTCTGGAACAAGTTTTTTATTTAAATAGCTTTATAGCTTCTTTTAAATACTTCAGGAATAATTTCAGTCTGCAAAATAAACTGAACTTCCAAAATAATCTCAACTTCCCACATGTTTCCCACTCATGACTGTTTCTGCAGAATGCTGTAGGGAGGAACAGGGAACAATGCTAAATACATGAGAGATCATACTCAGAGCATACCATTCATTATTCTTTAGAAGGCACTATTGGAGAACACTGAAGATGAGACAAAAGTAACAATAAAGATGAGGCACACATCAGTTAAAAAAGAAGAGTCTGTATCTGTTAATCTCGTCCAAGAATCTATGAGGATCCATAATAACCTCTGGCAACAGGTAAACTGTTAAGATAGCCAAGTATTCAAGAATTGCATTTATAGAAGAAACATATATCACGATGGCCTTTATAATACACTCTATCTTAATGTAAAAATGCATCCAATTTCTTTTTGATATGTTCAAAAGCATCTTTCCCCATATAGTCCATGCGCCCCTCCTCCCATTTTCTCCGCTCATCTTCTGGAATTGGTTTTGCTGGTTTGAGGTGAATAGACAGCTCTGAAACAGAATCTGCAACCTCGTTCTGTGGGAAGAAGTAGAACAGTGGGAGAACAGTCATTTGGTTGTTCTCATTTCAGTGTTGTGATGTTGAACCTTAAATGTCAAACTTCTGCTTTGTACATTCCCAGTTAAAACAATAAAACAAACTATTCAAACATCCCTTCCTGTTTTGATAATGTGAGATCATTTTCTCATGCTTTTACTACTTTTCATAGAATATTTGAACATACCAAAGATTTATTTTACTGATCTTTACTCAAACCTTGGTATACGCAGCAACAACACAATACAAAATTTACAAATATGGCCTGTTTAGAGTAGAATTTCTCCTACAATAAAGTGTAACCATTTATCTGTGCAAATCTTGTTTTCAATAGGTTTTCATGTGAACATACATTTCTAGAATTTTTGGTCATTTGCTTTATCTGAACATCAGTGAGATCAGTATTATTTAGCAGATGTGAGACACATGGCTTGCATAAATTAATTCAAAAGATTGACACTATTCATTATACCAATAGCTAGTTAATTTTAAATGACAGTCCAAAACTTGACCTTGAACCAGGACTCACAATTATCATAGGTGCACCAATGCGAGACATTATTAGCGATAAATTCAACCACATAAAAGAAAAATTTATGTCCATGCTTGATGAAGGCCAGTAAAAAGGGAACATCCCAACAACTATAATCTGTAATAAAGGTGAAATATAACAAGGACTAATCAAGGCATCCACTGAAAACCTGCTTTCAGTACTACTCGAAGAGGCTCAAAGCCAAACAACTAATCTCATGTTATGAACAAAATTGAAATCAATTTGAATGACCTAGTGAAGCCTGCACAAATTCAATATACAACTGTTTCAGGACAGAACTTAATGGGCAGGAATCACTGGCTTAAACTGCCTAAATGCCCTGGAATATCCATTACATCTGTCAGTTTTGGGCAGACAAGGCATAGGACTTGTGCAAGACAAGGTAAGGTATTTCAAACAGCCAGCAGGACACTACATGCTTAGGTAACTGCATCCTTCCATATGTATCCCCACCTGCAACCAACTCTAAACATGAGTATATCCTCTGAAGAGCATGCTTGCTCCCTGTATATATATGCAAACATGCAACATGCACTTGTATTTAATTTTTGAGCAGGAGTTTCTTTATCATTAGCAAGTCTTATGAACAGCTCTGGATGCAATTAACAAGAGGACCGGAATGATCATGTGTTTAGAAATGAAGAATTTTAGCCAGGTCCCAAACACCCCTGGCTGCAGGGGAGCTACAGGTGTATTTCTCAGTCTTAAAATATTTCACCACAGTGCTTAACAATCATACAAAAGGCCTCATTAGGAAAATGGCTGTGTTGTGTAGCTTACAAGTCCTTGACACCCTGTCAAGCCCATCAACACTGAGTCTGTTCCTGTTCTCACACCACCCACATGTGCCCATAAATGCAGTGCAACATCACAAAGGAAAACCTAGTCAGTTAGGCTACTGTGGATTCTAACAAAACAAACAACCAAACAAAACAGAACAAACAAACAAACAAAAAATCCAAACAGTTTTGCTTGTATTAGTATTGGAGAACTAAAATTAACACCATGCATTGATTACTTGGGGGTTAGCACACAAAAATACCCATTTAAAAACTCCAAGTTTTTAAACTGAAAAAAAACCCCAAACACTGGAAAGGGATCCCTAGAAAGGGATCATAACCCAGTATTGGAAGCAGTTAAGAAATTACATAGCCTGAAAGATTAAAGAATTTATTTGCACATTGTATCATAATTAGTTGAGATTTCCCAAAAGTTATGCTGGCAGCCAAGACACGCATGCAATCACCAACAGATGTACAATGCACAAAGCTATGTGTACCAGTTCTGAGGGTTCCTGAAACGCAGGATGGGACACAGGTTGTTCTGAAGGTCTGTCAGGCTCAGAGAGATGGATGCTAGAATCGCTTGGTTCAACTTCATGTACAGGTTGCTAAAATACAGCCACTGAGGTTTAATTAGGAGAATATTTTTTTCATCCATACAATACAATCACTTTCAGTCTTGGGGAGGGGAAAGTAGTGATGGGAGGAAAAGCAGGGAAGCACATTATGACCAAGGAGAAAATTCATCTCACCTAGCTTTAGCTATCAAAATGGCATTGAATCGAAATTCCTACTATAATCAATCTAGGACAAATACCTCCACAGGGCAGTTCATCTCATCCTAAGATAGGTTCAGAGTGGCTGTCATTCTTCAGTGACTACAGATACAGCCTGGAAAGTGAGCTTACAGTAGATGCTTACCATTCTTGAGGTCAAACCTCAACAAGAAAACTTTCATTTTGGAATAACAGCTTGCTCTATGATGCATAAGCTTTTTATGTGTATGAAATAGGAACAGGACAATGTATTCAAAAACAGAGGCAAAATAGATTGCCCAAAAAATATTGTCCCAAATATTTGCCTTTGACAAATGCCGATACATAAATGAGTAAGCAGACCCTATTCTGAAGTCTTTTCCCCAAAAACAATCCCACAAGACTACTGAAGCAAAGCAACAAAAAGTGGAGTGATGGTATTGCTAAATAAGAAGAGAATCAGGCTATTTCTTTCTAACTAATATGGTCTTCTGATAAACAATCCTAGTAATTTAAATAATAATAGAAATTTAAATTTTAATGAAACTACTTTAAGTGAACGTTTTTATTTTTTTTACCCCAAACAAACACCTTGATAACGTGTTCCTATTTGGTTTGAGCTTTCCCAATAGAGTCAGACGCATGAGGCACAGAAGAAAATACATTCTTTGCAAATAAGTTGTTTTAAAATTACAGAGCTAGAAGGCTCAAAATTTTCCTTAAGCCCCTGGAAAGGGAAAGCGAGACCACAGTTTTACTTTATGGAGTAACTACAGTCTAAAGAGATGAAGCACTGAACATATTAAAAATTGTCTTCATCTTACTAGAGAGTAGTCCACAAGTTACAATAGCAGATGGCATTAGAACACTAATTTTCTTTTCTCCCAATTGTACCTTGCGTAGCACAGTTTATCATACAAGGCCTAATGACTTACACCTGCAGAAACATTCTGCTATTATGTCCAACTTAATTCCTGCATACAACAAGGGGACCCGCTGCAAAAGAAATACACAAATACAAGAAAAGTACAAGAAAAGACAAAAGACAGGAAGACTGCACTGTTTGTTAGTGGATTCTTTTCAAGACTCTCCTTGTTGCCCAATTCACAGAAATTTGGGGAACAGTTTTCTGTGGGTCAAGACCTGAGGGGAAAAAAGAGTTCTACAGAGGAGTGATAGAAAGGGTTCTAGTTTTAAATATATTAATTCACAAGACTGTTAATATTCAAAATATTACTTTGGTAACAGATTTTTTTATATTACATTTTATTAAGTACCTAGCAATTTTGAATAAGTAATCTCTTCCTAAAATACAATGCAAGCTCTCAACCTCCAGACACCTCAGGCATGCATGACTTAGGATTAAAAAAAGAAAAATACTCTTTAGACTATTTTTGATGCCAGAAAGAAAATTCAAGAGCTACAGCTAATTTGAAGATATAATCTCCCAGATCAGAAGCATAATGAAAGAATCTCCTTTTAGTATATAATTTTACTTTGTTAATGCAAATAGTAATATACAACATACTTACAGCTTCGAAAGTGAGTTCCTCGGGTGAAGACACTGTGGGATTTATTTCATTTGCCTGCTCCGGAAGCTCAGGCGTTTGCTGTGAATTGGGCACACAAGGACTGACCTTCTTCAGTGTAATTTCAACTCCATTGAAAGTGTGCTAACAAAACCAAGAACATCTCACCATTAAAATACAATTTTGCAGAAAAGTAATATCTTATCTGCAACAGCTGCACTTCCTTAGAGGGATTTCAGCATGAAAGGAATAAGTTAATGCAAAAAAAAAAAAGTGGGCAGTCCTAGATTCAGAGCACCTTGCAGCTTAGAGTTTTGCACTCATGAGCATGCTAGCATAATCAGGAGGTAAATCTAACAGGTATTTCCACCTTCATGTTACCATATTTGAAGTATTTCTTTAATGCACAATGTCTTAAAAGTAAAACATGTTAAAGTAAGAGATCAAAAACTACCTGTTCCTTGCTCTGCCTTCCAATTTGTCATGATGTTAACAAACCAAATTATCCTCTGATGCTTTGATAGTAATTGTTCAACTGATCCTATGGGACTATGCAATTAGTTCAAGGATGATAATAAATTAACATTACAAAACATTAAGAAATATTTACATATATATAAATGTGATCTAATTTGTCATGGCTGGATACAAAATTAAAAACTGTATTTCTACACATTACTTTATGCTGCTGGTCCCCAAGAAATCATCTATTTATCAACAGATTTTTTTTATTCTATTCATGAAAAGCATAGATTGCTGCATTTCCTTCAAAGAAGAAAAAAAGCATAAAGAGATCAATAAATGTTTGGTGACATATGAGTACTGTGTATAACATCCTAAACGTCATTAACTCTGGTTTTGCAATCCTGATTTATTTGTTATGACCATTGTGAAACAAGTTATAATGCAGTTCTGAAAACGTAAAATTTTATTACAATTCAAGGATTAGTTTGATTGTCTGTATCAACTTAGCTTCATGAAAAACAAAAGTCTGTTTGTTTCACAGCCAGATTATCACCTTCCTCAGCTAATTTGTACCATACTTTAATTCGCAGAATCTACGCACGTACATTCCCATAAGAACTATTTATAGATTAAGAAGAGGGCTGCAGTAAATCTTTAAAAGGGATTTTTCCAAACTGCTACTTTGGATGCTTCTACAAGCAATCAGTGCTACTACCAATCAACAGAACACATGTATTGGGATTACACGGCAAGGTTTTGGTAACAAGGGGCTACAGGAGTAGCTTCTGTGAGAAGCTGCTAGGAGCTCACCCCATGTCCAAAGGAGCCAATGCCCACTGGCTCCAAGATGGACCTGCCACTGGCCAAGGCCAAGCCCATTAGTGACGGTGGTAGCACCTCTGGAATAACAGATTTAAGGAGGAGGAAAAGTTGCTGTGCCACTGGACAACTGCAGATGGAGGAGTGAGAATATGTGAGAGCAATACTCCTGCAGACACCAAGGTCCGTGAAGAAGGAGGGGTAGGAGGTGCTCCAGGTGCCAGAGCAGAGACAACCCTGCAGACCATGGTGAGGCAGATGCCCCCCTGCGGCCCATGAACGTCCATGGTAAAGCAGAGATTCACTTGCAGCCTGTGGAGGACCCTATACTGGAGCCAGTGGATGCCTGAAGGAGGTTGCAACTTCACGGAAAGCCCACACTGAAGCAGACTACTGGCAGGACCTGTGAAGCCATGGAGACAAGAGCCTGCACTCAGGTTTGCTCGCAGGACTTGTGACTCCATGGAGGATCCATGCTGGAGCAGTCTGTTCCTGAAGGACTACACCCCATGGAAGGGAAGCCCATGCTGGAGCAGTTAATGAAAAACTCCAGCCCATGGCAAGGATTAATGTTGGAAAAATCCATGGTCTTCTGTGGGAGGGACTCCACACTGGAGCAGAGGAAGAGTGTGAGGATGCCCGCTTTCCCCATCCCCATGTGCTATTGCGGGGAGGAGGTAGAGAAAATAGGAAGTTAAGTTGAGCCAGAAAGAAGGAAGGGATGGGGAAAAGTTGTTCTAAGTTTGGGTTTATTTCTCATTATCCTATTCTGATTTGACTGGTAATAAATTTGATTAGATTCCCCAAGTTGAGTCTGTTTCACCTGTGACAGTACGTGGTGAGTGATCTCTCCCTGTCTTTATAGGGACCCATGAGTCTTTTGTTATATTTTCTCCCCCTGTCCAGCTGAGGAGGGTAGTGATAGAGTGGCTTTGGTGGGCACCTGGGGTCCAGCCAGGGTCAGCCCACCACATATGTAATTTCTTCCTCTAACAAACATAAAATTTTCAGAATTTTTGGGTTTTTATTTCAACATATTCCAACCAACTCCTTATCAGTTACCTTACATTCCTCAGATTCTGATTCTTCCACCTTTTGAAGTTTTTCTAACAAAGGCAGTATGCTGGCACTGTATATATTCCACCAGAGGGCAAGAAATGACAGCTGATGAAAAGATCCAGAGGTGGTGCCATCCTGCATAACTCTCTTTGTCTGAAGGTTGTATTTGTAGTTCCAGGGCTTTGTCGCTCCCAAGAAGTGAACAACTTTGGCATCTCTACCAAAACTGTAGAGATCAATAGAGATATTTTTTTAGCATATATAAGCTCATAAAGAAACATGCTTACTCTCACAGGTGAGGTAATTGGACATTTTGCAACAGTAACACATTCAAGATGAGTATATATTTAATTTTTTTTCTATCTTATTTGTTTAAGTCATCTCATTTAAAATACAAAAATGTTGCATTGCCATTCACTTCCAGTTGCTCATTCTAGTAGAAAAGCTCATGAAGGAAACTGACAGGCTCACGAAGTACCATTTCCAGTCCTCCTGCATGCTCTGTTCACAAACAAATACCACTTCAAATATTAAATCAACATAATTAGTTATTACTGATTTCATATTAAGAATTACTACTAAATACATTGACCTAATTTCACCTTCCAGTAAATGTACTGTGCAACTGAAACAGAAATTCGTAACACCCTAAATCCCACTTTCTTTTTACCTGAAAATTTTTCATCTGCATTGTCTGAAGTCATATAATTAGTAGCACAAATTTCATTTCACAGAAGAACCTAAGAAATGGTTCAAAAAAATTTAAACAACAACTCCAACTGTTTCTCATAGAAATTTCTCATAGAAATGAAATTCTCACAGAAATGAAAGGAACAAGTTTAAAAGTAAAGCTGTCACAACCTAATGCTAAAGTAATTACACCTTTTCAAACATGAAAGAAGCTTTTCTGAAAGAACATGAGACAGTGTCCAGATGCAAGACATTCATATTGCATTTAGGTTTCTATTGCACGGCTTTTACATAAGATCATTTGTTACTACTGTAATTTATCATGAACAGGATATGCCACTATTAATCTCTCTTACAGAAGGATGTTTTTTAACAAACTACAGAGGTTTACAGTCAGTCAGAAGTGTTACTACTTACTGATTGAAAGCAGGAACATAGGTGTATACAGCATTGCTGCTTAAGTTGTAGAGGAAAGGTAAGTGTTTGCCAATATCTGCTGTTGCCCAGTTGCTGAAGAAGCTATTCAACAGTCCTTGATCACCTCCTAAAGAACACATAAAACAGTATTACTGGTATTATGTGTTGTGTGCACACTCAAATTTATATCAGAATTTCACATCCAAGGATGGGAATGAGACTGATGTGTTCATGGGACAGCAACTTGGGCTTGAAAATATGGCCATGTGAGCAGGTACAAGTGAATAATACCTGATTCACTCCGATGCAAGTTCAGTGCAAATGAAGTTCTATTGTAATATATGAAGAAAGGAGTAGGGTTTGGTCTCCCTCAGAGCAGAAGATGAAGATCAGCTGTATTTCTCTCTCCTAAGCCAGACAGCAAAATTAAAACTTTCTGAGCAAGATTCAGACCCAGTGTCCCTTCATTGCCCTTTTCTGGGAAGCACAGTCCACATTAAATCAACGGGTCTTAAATACAGCATGAGAGGCAAAGTTCTGCACCTTTAATTCTTGTGGGGCAGAATTAGGTAAAGCGCAGAGAACTCCTGCCTTCCTCTTTTCTGCCTGATAGCATGGAAACTATGACTTGCACTTCATTCCTTATGCTTTGCCCCTTACCATCAAAGCTGCCGTGTTCGGCAGCAAACCGGAGCAGTAGGTTGTAGGTTTTCAAAGAGGGACGGAACACAAATACTCCACTATTAAAGCAGTCAGGCCAGCCAGAATCAGGAGCTGCTGAAAACTCTTCTCGATCAAACAATTCATCAACATTGCAAAGTACCTTAGAGAGAGCCGGAAAAGAGAGAAAATGTTAGAGGAAATGTTTGCCTAAAACATGAGTTGCTAAATTAGTACCAATGCAGTAAATTGCTAGTTTGGTCTAGTATACGGCATGCAGGGCATAAAAGCATTGGAAGTGTAAATATGCTAGGGGTCAGAACCCCTTTTTTTGATTTAATAAGGCAACATTGTTTGTGGTTCTTCATGATTTCTCTGATGAAAGTGCAGAGCCTGTGATATTATTTCATGAACTTTGGAGACCATCTAGAAAGTCCTTTTAAATATTATAACATACCCTGAAAATACAGTTTCCTTCTTTCTTAGCTCACCTTTCATAATTCATTATTTTCAGTAATTGCAACAGACCTGAATGAAAACTGGGCAGTCTAAATAACTTGGGCTAGGAACTGACTGACTAAAGGGGTAGTAGAAAAACTGTATCTCGCTACCAGTTTTCTAATGTAAGTTAAGTTATTTGTTTTTTAAGCTTCACACGGAAGTGAGAAAGTCAATCAGATTATGGCCCAGATCACATTTAAAGTTGGTGGAAAGACATCTGTGCAGTCGCTGAAAGTCAAGACCCCACCTACAACTGTGAAAACCAGAAGAAAATTTTTTTAGGAGAAAGATTACTTAATTGAATTTAAAACAAAGACAAAAATTTGCCTTCCTCCTTCAGTGTAAATCAGGAAATCATAAGCCTCTCTCCTCAAGAAGAATAACTTAATTTGGTTTCTAATTCAGATGCAGCCCAGTCTTTCAAAGTGAGCTGTGAAAATGCAAGGGAAGGCTGGCATGATTGCCCGTGTCAAACTTATGGCCATTTTTTGTCTCTATACTTCTAAAAACTGCATTAAAAAAAGTAATTATTGTTTCTGGGGTTTTTTTTTCCCATTTTAAAACTAGCCTGCCTTCCTGACCAGAATAATTAGGAACAAAAGTATATGAGAGAGATCCCTTTAAACATCTATAAGAAGCCTCTGTGCATTGAGTGAGTTTGTGATCTCTTTTGAGGACAGTCCTGATTCTACTTTCCTTAAGAATGAATTTATTTTTATGCAGCCAGCAAAACTGTGAGCAGCAAATCTGGTCACTTCACGGACCAATAGGCTGCCTGACAAGGAAGTATCCCACACTCAGGAGACAGACACAAATGTTTCTGCAGCTCCCACTCTACTCACCAAAGTGTCTGCATCCATGAACACACACTTGCTGTACTGAGTAAGAGTCCAACAATGAAGCTTAGTGAAGGTTACACCCAGTTCTGGCCTCTGCATCAGAGCCAAATGGACTGAGTCAGCACTGTCAAGCACATCCACCTGGATTACTTCATCAAATACACTGCGGAGGACTGACCTACCAGAGTGAGCAGTGAAGAGAAAGAAGGGCACTTAGACAACTTCAGAGTTCACTTCAGGCGTGAAAACAGTGACACATAGCACCGTATTAATTATGGCAATAACCAAGGCTAGATTGATTGGTTAGAATAAGAAGTCAGAAGTGCAAAGTCCTTGCAAACAGTCTGCTGAAGAATCAGACCACAAACCATTGCCTCTTCCACTCTGGGGGCCAGCACATCTCAAAAGCAACAGCTGCTGTATGAAGGAGAAAACAATCCTTATTTAAGTCGCTTGATCTCTTGTATAAACACCAACTTTCATTCTGCACAATTGATTCTAAAGAACAGCACCATACTTTGTTCCCTCTACACTGAACAGCACTGCCAGCACATTATGCCCAAGTAAACACAGCTTAAAAACTGCACCTTTTCAAACTGGCAACATAGAGTTGCTCATTACTACAAATTATCTAAAATGAGACTTTTAGGAAGACACTTCTTTTTCTGTGCATGTCTTTCATGGGAATTTTACAGGCAACACTGAAGTAGGTAATTTTCCAACAAGAAAAAAAGTCTTTCAAGCACAGGTTATTTTTTGCATTACACTATTAATTGCAAAGTCCTGGATATCACACATACACAGAAAGAGAAAAGCCTGTGCTGTTTGAAATCTAGATTTCAGGGACATTAGCTTTTGCCTGCCTGATCTGCAAGGGACAGGAGTTAACTGGGAAAGATCTAAGAGTGGGTACAGATTTTTAGAAGGATAGTTCAGTGATGTACTTTTTAAAAAATGCTATCTTTGATTAAAAATATATATTATAAAGGTTTTTCTTCCCACTGAATGGGGATGAAAAAACCCTGTGGATTTAGAATTGACTCATGTGTCAAATGGATACAGTATTCCCTTGGGAAGGTGACAGTGTTCTGACATAACAAAATCCATACTCTAAAAAGTCTGTAGAAACAGATTTTTGTGCATTTAGTCATAGAAAAATGTGAAAACATGTTCCTTGAGTCAGATGCCTTGCAAATACATTTCACATTGCATACAAAAATCAGGAGCTTGCACACTGCCTAAGCCATAACAGAACTAAGAGTTTAAGTAGCATGGCATGGCATGTTCCTTTTAACAGGTGATACAGTCCTCAAAGTAACAGGGCTTGATTCAACAGACCTAATCAGATTGGTGTAAAGGTAATTCTGTAGTGCCTGTAGAAACATAACCCACATTGAACAAAACGAAGCAAGAAGAAATTAATTTCTCATCATGATAGCTGTGCACCAATATTTTAAGATTACTCATCAGAAACCTAGCCCTTTAGTTTTTGGAGAGTTCTGATGTTACAGGTGGTTATATATCTTGCTCTTTCTAAAAGAGAAACACTTTGGAGAAAAACAAACAAACAAACAACAAAACAACAAACCAAACAAACCAGCAATAGTGCCTTTATTTCAGCTCAAAAGCATTACACTCAAACCTTAGTTTCAAAATTTTCAGCTTATATTCTCAATTATGAGCTTAAGAAAACTTCCAGCCAACAAGCTCTACTCCTGTAAGTGAATTCTTATTATGTTTAAAATCTTATCATGGATGTTATTTGGGACTCCTCTCAGAAATCACTAGCCAAAGGGGAAGCCTCCTAAAATCTTTCATGCTGTTGTTTGTTCTTCCATAATATCAGGTCTCCAAAAATACATGAATACTTACCTCATCCCACTGGAAACCTCTGGTGTAATTAGAACTGCCAATTTTCTAGATGTCTTATGGTTCCTCAGTGACTGTCCGAGAACCAGAGCGCCTTGACAGTACACGTCATCAGTAGCAAGGGTCACAAAGGCTTGATCTGTTACTGCAAGCAAACATTCAGAAGGTTCACTTTACAGCTCTAACATAAGCTCTTTTGGCAGAGTCCCTCCTCCTCCAGCTAAACAACAGGCTGTGGCTTATAACAACCTGCAGTTTCTGTGATAAACTCTTTTCTCTCCCAAACTCCCCCAGAAGACACAATCGAATAGAAGATCCAGTGAACGTGACTGCAGTATGTGTTTCTGAATTGTGTTATTTTTGACTGCCTGATTTACATAATGACAGGTATGAAGTTTTTGGACTAGTCTTAGAAAAATAATTCTCTACGTCTTATTGCCTAAACATAATGTCAAACAAGAAAAGCCAAAATTGTACATATTTAGGTTTGAGATTTATCTAACGTAATATAATACAACCAATAAAGAAAATGTTCCTGTTTATGCAGTGCCAAAAGCTAAGGAAAAGAACAAGATGTTGAGTGCTAGCCAGAAATACTCTTCTTTCCATAACATCACTGAGTACAAACCAACAGATATTATTCTTTGCTCTGTCCTCTTTGTACTGGAGTAACTGGTGCTGGGTGAACAACTGCAGAGAAATTGCTACCAAGATTGGTACACCTCCTAGAAGCTGAGGAGCCTTACCTCAAGGAACACCAAGAAAATTAGGAGTGTTCCTCATTGTGAAGAAACACACGGGAAAAAGTTACAATTAAAAAAGAAGAGGCACTTCTGCACAACAGGAGACATAATGTATTCTGCAGAGATACCAGCCCTGTGGCAGTATCGTTAGGGGCTGCTTCTTCAGCTCTACCCTCTGACAGAACCACCACTACCAGAGTTCTCCTGGGATGAGCCAGAACAATGACTCGGCTAGGTGAACAGCTTCCTTGGAGCAGAAGGATGACCTCAGCATTCTAGGCTGCAAAATTAACCAGAACGAGACAAGCAGGTCACACAGATGACGGGAATTCCACTGAGCTCTATGGAGTTTCACAAACACTTGCGTTGAAATACTTGCACTTGAACTTTGTTTAAAACCACCGTCATCCTAAGGGACAAGCAGTTACATTAAATAAATCAAAACAACCAAACAATAACAACATAAAAACCCTGTCATACAGTTTCCAGGGTCTGTGAGAGACACTAGGAAAGAATCTCAGAGAACTAGTTGCAGAGAACACAAAAAATGACCTCATGGCTGCCTCAGCCAGAGGTTGCCAAAATTAATGAGCTCAAACCTCTAACCTAACATCAAGGTATGCAATAAAGTATGGTTGGTGCTTGTGACAAGTTCTCAGACACTAAGTATTTTCATTTTTCATGTCCTCCAAATGCAGAGCAAAGCACGGACTCACTGGTGTGCTGTCTTTGCTCCCCTTTTCATCCCTACCTCTTACTCATCTCCAGACAGACCTGAATTCAAATGATGCAAATTATGTTTGCTGACATTGCAACACATCTCTACACCTTAGGAGAATCCTCGTAGTGTCAAAATTGGCCAAAAAGCCTGAATCATCCACCCAAACTCAAAGTAGTTTGGAGGACTCATAGCTAAGCAAACTCCAATAATATTTCTAATTACAATTTCCAGAAGAAGAAAATGAAAAAATGAGCTTTCAAAACTCCTGTTATTGTAACAGCTCAAACAAGTTATGGGTGTTCCAGAAAAACAATGAATAAGGAGTTGCCTTAAAAGGACAGTTGTGCAAGTAAACTACTCCTACTGCAATTTTCCGAAAGGTTACAGGAATAAATACAAACATCCATAAAAACCAATATAAACCAAAAAGACACTGAAGGTTACTTAAGCAATAAAATTACTCTGACAAGACACAAAAAGTCAACAAAGAAAGGCACTTTTGTGTTAGGCAACAAGCTTCTTCAGCCAAAGAAAGGTAATAAAACAGCTACTGAGAGGAATGTGGGAGGTAGGTTAATACAAAAAGCAAACTGTGAAATGAGTGGGAGTTCAAATCTTAAAATACTGTTTTAAATAACAACCACGAAGCTGAACACATGATCTTTGCATTGCTTTTGCAAATACTTTTAGCTACAGAAACTGAATCTCTGCCTAAGTAGTACATATAAAACCACACAAGCTAGTCATCAAATAGTTCAGCAAGCTGGTATGGCAAATTACCACATTCTAGACATGCTTTCGTGCCCTGTACCTCTGGGGCAAAAGCTGTGGTCACAACACGAGGAGGCAAACAGCCAGACAAATACTGCTTCTAAGAAACTCTTTTGGATACCTCACAAAGAAACCAACTGTCTGTTTTGAGAATCAGATGTGGGATACATGTTATGGCCTTCTTAACAGAGTGAATCATTAATTAAACATATAATCAAACTGAATTGAATGAAACAATTTAACATTAAAATATTTCTGGGGCAAAGAGAGAAGCATGTTCTAGCTATTTTAAAATCCTACAGGTGCATTGCTAATCCATTAAGGATCTGTAGGGAGGTTAAAATCAAAATGTTTTATCATTACTTTTTCTTTCACCTAATCCTTGCTTTCAAGGAAAAAGTGTTACTTGACTTGCCATATTTATAAATTTCCTTGGAACACTGTCCCCATAAGTAAACATTTTGTTTTTATTACTGAAAACTAAGGATCAGGTTTTCATATAAACTTGTGAAAGTAAACTGTTTACCTGAAAATCCCCATTTAACTGAAACTGGGACAATGCTGCAATAAATCTAATGTATACAGGTTTTCACTCACTGGCTTTAGGCTGCAAAAGAAGATTTAATCTTTTAAGTTTGAAATACAAAAGGTGTAAGTATTTAGAACTCATTGCAACTGGATTTTTTTAAAAATTGTTGAGAACACCACTATGCATAACTTTCAATTCTTTGGGCTGAATGACAGTAGGATTTTTTATGGACAACACCTAGTGTGAAGAATATCAAGTTTTTAAGCAAATTGTTTTCAAGTTGTGGATATTTATTGCTAATACCATTATCAGTGAATTATGAGAAAAGTAAGTGTATGATTAGAATCCCATTAAAACCCTATCATATGAATTTATAAATCTACTCATTTCTCTTGTATGGATTACTACACAGCATATGATGATGCAAATTAAGAAATCATTATTATCAGTAGTGGTTTCTCAGTTTTATTACCTAACAATAGCTTCTTAGAACAAAACAAGGATTTTCAAAGAAGTAAGTTTTTAGAATCTGCTCTGAAGCTACACAGATAGCCACACAGGAAAGACAGCGAAAGTATGTGAATCACTACAGTCAGAGTGATCTTATGCTGAACTTGTTAAATCTTTTTTAACCAAGATCACCAACTTCTTATTCTACTCACTCGTAGCAGTAGTTCCTCAGACACTGCCAAAGGTAAAATTATTCAACAGGCATGAAAACCAACTCTAGGGCATCTAAAAACCTTACTTAGAATATGAACAGAGCAAGCAGACAGGGTGGTGCTCACTTTGATGTTCAAAGAAAAAGAGAAAGGGAAATGAACCAACACCAGGTACCTATTCTGAGAATCAGGACTGACTGACAATAACAACCACTGGGTGAACCAGATGCACCTGCCAGCTTTGAGACAAGTTTAAATATGGTAGGGAAGTTTTTTCCATAATCCACCAGACAGGACTTTTTAAATGTATTTTCATATTTCTCCTGATAGAAAGAGAAAGGATAAACGTTTTTTGACTGTTGCTCCTAGAGTAACAACTCAGATTTACCAAGCTACCCAGTCCAAAATTGCAACAGAAGACCAGACACTCCTATGTTATAGTTTTTCTACAAGCATATTCTAAATAACACATTACCATCTCATGCATAAAAATAAGAGCAGATAAGTCAATAGCCAGAAGCCTCCAAGGGGCTGGTTAGGCCCTCAGTGTGTGCTGCCATTCATACTAACCAACACTGTACAACTGCTTTCTTAAATTCCTCCCCAGCACCATCTGTTGCTCTTTTGTCACCTCCCCCCTACTACTTCAGAAACAACCTTCAGGACGAGCAGGCTACAGTCTGGACCTGTGCCCACTGGGCCCAAAGTATCTTTCTGAAATCCCAAGCAACAATGATGTAACACAGCCCCAGCTCACAGCACGCTCTGGGGTCCTCCCCAGAAGATCCGCTCGTATCTTTTATTAAAACAATACTGAATTTTAGTAGACAGGATTATGACTATCGTGTTGGAAGAGGACTTGATTCCAATATTTTGTAGCTTTTACTATGTACTTTTCAGTTAAGAACAGTTACATTCTGCTTCAAGACCCTGCAATTTTGTTATTCAACATAGTAAACGACCCTCATAAAAACTCAAATGCAACATTATAATATGTAAATAAGCATAAGGCATAGCACCCAAAACTAGTCCCAAAACAGTTATATACCAGTTTGAAAAAGTTATAATAATAATATATAGTATTAATATTAGTATATCATTATAATTGCTTAAGCAATCCAGAGATAGAACAGAGGAACTAATATGTATCAAGCTAGATGCTTCCAGTCTTTCCACACTTTCCTTTAAACAAAAACAAAACCCAAAACAACAAACCAAACAAACCCACAAACCTCTAATCCTTTAATTTGCAGACTCCCTTTCTGCATCTTTCCAGTGGTGCTGAGGTGCCACATACAGGAATTCAAGCTTGGGATTCATCAGGCTGAATGCCTGACATCCTCCAAATCGTTCAATAAACCCAGCTTTGGGAGAGCTGCTACTCAACCTTTCCCTCGGTTTTGAGAGCATGTTCAAGAAACAAAACTGCACCTTTACCCACCACATCTAGTTATCCCTAAGATCAGTACCTCACGGCTTTAAGGATAAACAAATAAGAATAATACTGCTGTTTTGTAAGAAGAGGACATGAAAAAGGTTTCTCTGAATCTGCTTTAGACTGAGGGAGCCAACCCCAGGCTGTCACCCTGCGGATCCACCAGGAAAGCACACAGAGACCCGAGCAGGCCAACCTGTACATACAAGCAGAACACAGAAACCAGTTCAACTATTTCAGTCCACCATCCAGACAGCTGAAATCCCAATCTGAAGTTGCACAGTACTCTGCTGATAAGGAAACCGCAGAGACCCTCGCCCACATGGGGGTGTGAGAAGGGCGAAAGCCCCGGGGGGCACCAGCCTGCGCTGCCGACCGGCCCTGCCTGCCCCGAGAGGCTGCTGAGCTCAAGGGGGGCTGCGGAACCCCGGGTCCCCGGCCGGAGGTACTTACCGGGCATCGTGGGCAGTTCCGGGGCCGGCCGGGCACGGCTCAGACCGGGAACCCACCGCCACCGCCGCCTCACCTGCTGGCGGCGGGCCCGCTAAATCGCCAAATGGGATTAGCTTCTTTCCTGCTGAAGGCAGTGGCAGGTGAATTACATTCGCAGGGACTCCTTGCGCAGCGGCAGAAAAACGGCATTAGCGGCAGAGACCATCGGGGGGGCGGTGTTGGCACGACCCACCCCGCCCCCGCTCCCGGCGCTGGCTTTACTGCAGGGGAGGCATCCTTCTCTTGCCCGCTCCTCTTCTTCGCCGTGCGCCCCCGCGCCGCCCCGCTCCCGAGCAGGGCACGGTGCGGAGCTGGGCACGGTGCGGAGCTGGGAACCCGCAGCCCCCGACACGGGCCCCGCACCTGCCCGCGGCGCCCCCGCGCCCCGCGGCGGCACCTCCAGTGGGCGCGGCGCTCCCGCTCCCGCTCCATTGGCGGCCCGCGGCAGCGCCCACCCCGCGCCGGGGGGAGGCCCTCGCCTCCCCTTCTTCCTCTGCCCTCCCGGCACGGCACGGCCCCTGCGCGCTGCTCGGAGCGGCTCCGGCTTTCAGCCGCTGAAACAGAGCCTCCCCGGCCACGCATAGGGCTGTGCGGGAACGAAGAGGAAGGAAGACAGGCAAAGCCCGTGGTGGTGAAGGTGGCAGAGTGCGGAACGAGGTCGTAGAGCACGAGTACCATGACTCCAGCGTGGTATGCGGTCAACCCAGATACATGGGGTTTGCCGTAATTTAAGGGAGTCTACCCCTAACTTTCTGAGGCCGTTGCAGCCCCTTATAGATACACACGGTGTGATAACTTGCCACCCAGATAAGTAGATGTTTTCAGGGAGCTTGTGCTATTCAGAGAGCTGTGAATATTTTAAGTAATGCATAAATAAATGTGCAGTTATTCACACAGCGTGTTTTTGCCACTAACTTAGAAGTCATGTAACCGTGACATGTAACTCAGCCACACAATTTCTCTGCAAGGTAATTTTAGGCTGGTGTGGTTCAGCTGAGGTATTTTTGCATCAGCATGTGCTGTCAACATCAGTAACTACTTAGCAAAGGTCGAGAACTTCAGATAGTGTGCCACTGAAGAAAATACCCAGTGGTACCCCTCAACCATTTAAAAAACTTTATTTCCAACAATTTGCAAGGGATCACTGCTGCTGCTCCAAGCTGCAGCATTTGTTCTCTCACACACTGGGAGAATCCCAAAGGTCCACTGGAGAAGAGGGTATTATTGCTTTAATAGTGGTGAGGTGTTTAACAGAGGAGGAACATAAACACATAGGAAATCAAGCTTTACTTAGCCCACAGAAACAAAATTCTCAGGGATTTGTCTTCACCATCAGTTTATATAGACAAGTCAGCTAAACAACATGCTTATCAGTAGCAAGAATGCTGTTGTAGATAATTTAACTAGCAGATCTATTTCATTTGGGGGACTTTATGACCAACAAAAGCTTTTTCTTGGTAATTAAAGTGATGTCATTTAGATGACTTTCTGTTTTGCTTCTGTGTCACCAACTTTTTACGCAGTATAGAATAAATTTTAAATATCCGAGCCAGTAATACAAGCTAGAGTTCTGATGTTCCAGCAGCTAGTTTCTATTCCTTTGTTCCTTCCCTTCCAGATGTAAATGCATTAGATCTTGCCTACATAACCCCTCAACTACCTGAAAAAAAGGTAGAAATAATTTTCAAAATAATTATAATATTATTATTATCATCATCATCATCATCCTAGTTAAAAGGATAATTAACCCTGAAAAGTGTGCCTGAACAGTGGTATATTGGTAGCATGGTGATGGAATTAGTCCAAAGAGCTTCAGAGGGTTAAACATTTGGGTAAACAGGGTTTTTCCATTCAGATTCATAGTTTTTGCTCAAATTCTCCATAATAAATTGGCTTTTGGGCTAATATTAACATGAGTAATAAATTATTTTGAAAATTCTATGAGCAATTTCAAATCAAATGTCATAGTATGTCAAAAGCAAAAATGTTAAAAGTGCACATAGATCCTTCTCTAAACAGTTACTGGGGAAAAAATAGATCATTAAGCTGGTTTGATTTTTTTTTTCCCCCTTTAATTTGTTATTAGTTTGAAGCATTTCTTTGTCTGCCCTAGTGGGACACAGTTGAACTTGTATATAGAAGTCCTCATCTGTCCCAGAAAGTAGCACACAAAATAAACAAAACTTAGATCATCTTAGATAAAACACAATATGTGTTTATTGAAAATTTTCAGGAGAAAGAAGCAAAATATATATATTTTACTGGTTAAACAAACAGCTGAAGTGGTAACAGCAAAAGACTTAACATTTCATTAATCAAAATTTTATGTCTACCTGGAAAAATATACATCAATCTGTTTTAACTATTAACGTGGAAAATTAGTATTTTAAAAGAAATATCAAGTCTCCTTGAAAACTATATTTAAAATATTTTCTCATTCATAAGTTGAAAGTGATAGCCACAAAGGTGTTCATTTTTTTGCAGGTTGTTAAGGTATTTCCATATTTAAACTGATGCACATTGTAATTTCTTACTTTCAGGATCAGAAAAAAGATTGTTGTAATCAAAGAAAGTGATATATATCCATTTAAAATACAATTTAGATAAATAGTATTGCATTTTGAGAAAAAATTACTTTTCCAGATTATGTCTTCCTCTCAACGATTTAATAAACCCAAACTCATGTTTACCTTCATCTAAATGGAAGATGGTAGCAAAACCATGCCTTGCATACAAAATTAAGATAAAAACACAGCGATTCCCTTATGCTTTAAAAAGTTAGCTAAAAAAGAAGTATTGTTAGTAAACTAAGAGTTTTGTCATCTTCCATCTGTATTTCATTTATTTGCTGGTATTTTGATTCAGTTAGCTAAATGAAGGCAGAGAGACTGGAAAAGTGTTAGTTTTCATGGTAGATTTATCTACATAAGGACATTTGTTAGCACGGCAAGGTTGATCAGGAATGAGGCAAAAAGATGAAACAGTTTTGCTATAAAAAACATGTCAACCACACCTCCACATATGTATGAAGTTTAAAAGTTGTTGTGACTTAGATTTTAGAGAATGAAGTGTCATAAACTCATTCTCAATGAATCAGAAAGCTTGGAACCCATTTTCCCTTTTCAGAAGCTATGAATAATATGGGTTTTTTTTAAAAAAAACAGCTTCCAGATTAGTGCATTCAAAAGTTCCCAGAGCAAGGCCCAAGTTTTCAAAAAAAGAAACTAAATTAATGTGAAATTCTAGTTCCTGAGAAGAGCTAAACACCATTTCAGTAATTAAGCAATTAAATAAATAAATAAATAAATAAAATCATCATGTGTTTCTCTTATTTTTATTTTTTAAAGTAGTTTGTCAATATACATATTCTTTTCAATTTATTATAAAATTAAGAATGAGTTTTCTTTGCTAGAATTAAATACAACATAAAGGCACGAAAATTTTTTATCCTTTAGACAACTATAACTTTTCCTTAAATATTCTAAACATTACAGAAATATACTGAAGAAACTCAACATGCATGAATGAAAATGGCAAACTCCTTTTTCCTATTCTATCAGAGGGATTATTTTTGAGTAATTTTGGAAAGAGAAAAAGAAATTTGTTCGATGACTCAAACGCTGACGAACCCCAAACTTTCCATTTTTAGCTTATAATGCACTTGATTTCTTTGTTGTTTAAAATAACTTCTAAGTCAAAATCCACATCCAACCTTTATAAATGCAGGTCAGATAGTGCAATAAAATCCCAGGATGTTTTAAGCATATCTTTGATGACATGAAGCTCAAGGCCAAAAGTGACATCAAGTTAGAGAGAGCAGTCTCAAGAAAACATTCATTAGAAGAAGATTTTTTTTTTTATCAGAATGACACAGTAGAATGTCACCAACCAACGGAGCCTGTGATCAGAGGGCAACTCTTCTTTCAGTGGTTTACACTGTAGCCCCACCTGAAAAATTAAGATCGAACATTCAGTATTTCCACTGTGGATGCTCTTTGCCAGCTTTTCAGAATATTTCTTGCTTCAGTCCCTTTCAGACAACAGGTAGAACCTTATATCCCCAGAGACACGTGAATAACCTTCCCCATTTGTCTCAGTCCCCATTTTTGGGGGCTGTAGGATCACTGACCTGATGCTTTAGTTACATTCTGGCCATAGAAATGGACAAAAAAAATGAGTGACTTTAGGGCCCCTGAGGGCACAAACAGCCTTCACAGCCCTGACCAATCTCCTCAGGGCATTTGGGGCTATATTGCAGCTGGATTTCCCCTGTGTACCCCTGCCCAAGCCTTCCCACAGTGCCTAAGCAGCAGTGGCTGCCCTGGAGCCTGCCATGGTACCCCTAGACTGAGGCTTCCTGAAGTGCCAGGGGATTTCACAGATCTCTGAGAAATGCCTGTGAAGCTTCTCCCGAATTTCACTCGTGTCTTAGCTATTAGTCTCATTAGGGAAAAAATAATGTGAATTAGAGGTTTAAATTGCCCTCTGTGACTGCCAAGGGCCAGGCCGAGGCTGTTCCCGCAGAGCCGTGAGCCAAGGGCAGCCAGCACAGGGCCCAGGCTGTTGCCTTCCCGGTGGTGGGTGTGCACAGAGGGGACACCCTCTTGTGCCAAAGGCCAAGCCAGGACACCCAGCCGGCCACCCGGACTCAGGGCTGGGACAGGTGTGCGGGGATGTGGTGCAGCCTGGGGCAGGGAGCCTACCCAGGCCAGAGCTAAAATGTGGGTCCTGGCCAGAAGGGGTACCCCTAAGTGAGGCTGATCTGAGACACCCAGACTGTTTTCCACATGCACAGCCACAACAGTCAGCCACTTCTGTGGTGGCATGGACCTCACACCCTTTACTTTGTAATTTTTTTGTAATTGCCTTCACAAAGTGATGTATATCCATCTTCTGGGCATGTTATGGCTTCCCATTCTTGTCCTTGATGAAGAGTATTAATTACCAGTGTCTCTTAGAGACCAGTGAGGCTGTTTTGGACAAAATATTTAAATGCTTTTATCCCTGCCCTGTTTCTGCCCCCATTCAAATTGTTTGTCAAATTCCCATCTATTTCAGCACTAAATCAGTTGGAAACTGATTTGTTCTTACCACGTGGTTTGAAACAAAGTTTGTTATTCTTGTAAGCAGAGTAGGCTGCTATTGATCCAACAACCAATATTACAAAGGCAGAAATTACAGGAGATGTAACTCCAGCTATTAATCCTGAATCTGTGGAAAAAGAAAGAGGTTTGGCTTTTATTTCAGAGGCATTGAAATAGTCTGACTTAAGCATATTGTCTACTAAAGTGTGCTTTTACCAAATTATGAGAATTGTTTGGTGAAACAATAGAATTAACCAGATGAATAGTAATTAAGTTACATTACAGCTGGTGTGAAAATGTTGTCTAAAAGCCTAATTTAGTATATATGCTACTTTTATAAATATAACATTGTTTTTCTATTTCATGATGATCAGAAATAAATTGTAGAATAAATTATTTACTCTATACCTGTGTTTCCTCCATGATTGAAATGATGCTCCTCTTCTCCTGGAATAGAGGGTGAAGTTTCATCAAAGAAATGTTTATCAACTTGTTTTGAGAACTCAGCCTTTTGCTCAGTAAAGTATGATTTTTTTATAGAGGGCAAAAGGTGCAGCTCTACAGGACTGCAAGAGAGGAGCTCCCCTTCTAGACCTCACTGACAGCAGTGCTGGCTGGAGGAATAACTGTTCATCCTCCTGACACTTCATTTTTGGAGAAGCATATTATCATCTAATAGAAGTGTCATACCTAGCAGTCTACATCAAACTGATTTCACAGGGAGTGGGAGGCCAGTATGCTCTGGCTATTCCGTGCTGCCAGACAATCAGATAACTTATCTGTAATTTAAGTTAAGATCATAGGCCTGGTGCATCTGCTTTCAGTGCTGAGCAGAAACCCCTTGCTTTGGGACTGTCCTAGCTGAATTCAAAGGGATAAATCCGGCAGGGTTCTGGCATGTACCAGAATGCTAAAAAATGTTTAGGAATATGTTTCAAATTTCAGCTTCAGGCTCATAACCATGTTTTTTGGTGAAGAATAGCTACTCTACATAAAAATGTCTCTCAGACAAACAAATTACCACTAAAGCAAAACCAAACATCTCTGACTTACAAGTGTTGGGAAGAAGTTGCAAGGGGAATTGGGAAATGCTACCTGTTATGACTGGTGGTAAAGGCTTCCCATCAAGGAGATCTGAGTCATCAAAACCTCCTGCAAGATGAAGATTAAGATTCTAGTTGCAAATTTATCCACTGGATGTAACCCCTCCAGTCTCCTTGTCCACTCCTTTTTTAAGGTTCTAGGGAAGGGTGAGAGACCTTTGAAACTGTTAGTCTTGTGGCACTTAGGAGCCAGTATCCCACATTTTGGGCAGACAGAAAACCTTTATGATACCAACACTAAAGCTCAGAAAATCTTTCCAAAGACTGGAACAGTGATTAAAAAAGGGAGATGATGGGAAAGGATGATAAAAGCTATTGACGAGAGAGATTTTTTTAGGAGAAAATTATCTTACCAGAATTACCGTAACTTCCCGGTCGTGGTGGAAGAGGTGGGTATAAAGGTTTTCTTGAGATGTCACCTATTGATAATTAATATTGTTAGATAGTTGAATGGACAAAACTGAGAGCTTTAAATAAAAGTATGATAATTTGAGATTTTCTACCTATTTCTAATTTGCCCCCCAGTGAATTAAGAAAAGGACCTTGTCACTAGTTAAAAATACTTAAGCATTATATCAGCAAATAGCTAGCTATTAAAACTGATTTGGAAGTGAATAGGGAATGTTTTCTAAATTAAAACACAAGAAGAATTCATGAAAATGTTGAAGGAAAATATTTCATGTATTTCTGACAATTGCTAACATTGTTTAATGCTGACAGCTGGGAGACACGGTGTGTTACTTGGGTGTCAGTGGTTCAGTTTTTGCAGAGCTGACAGAGAAGCTGGTGTTCTAGGCTGGGCTGGAGGCAACAGGTCATGTCTGTACCATCAGCAAGTATTAATAAAATCTACAGATTAGTTTCATCTAACAGATGCTGAATTTATTTAATATATGCTGAAATTTCTGCTCTTGAACTGTGCAAAATGAACTCAGACTTCAGTTTCGTTGTTTTTTAGGGCTTTGTGCTAGCATTTGCCAAAGTATTAGAAAGAGATGCATTGGCTAGAGTAGGAGATCTAACTCACAGCAGTATCCAAACTGCATGTAAAGTGCTGGAGTAGCAAGAGCTCTCTCAGGTCAAAACCTGCCAAATTTAATGTCCAAGGCTGTTGCTCTGCATAAGTAGAGTAGGCCCTCTCTTGCGATTCTCTCTTCAGCCAGTTCAGTCACAAATTTAACTGTTCTCATAGCCAGACAGAGAATTTAGCTCTGAATAAATCAAAATTAGGACACAGAAATAAATAGAAATTTCTCTCTCCCTCCTTAAATCTTTCTTTCACCTTCCAAACATGCCAGATGCCCTTTCACCATGTTTTCTCTTGCCTAGCTGCTAAACACTATGCTTCTGTTTCTAAGTAACATCTAGGTTCTGATTCAGCAAATTATTTAGATCTGAGCTAAACTTCTTGTGAGTGTAGCCTACAGTCAATGGATTTTAGGTAGAGTCTTAAAACTTTGCTAAATCAGACTTCGTCCAATGAATTATATTCAATAGAAGAAGGGACTTGCTCTGTTTCAGCTCTCTGTGTAATGAACTAAGACTCACTATGGCACAAAAGCAGACAACAACCAATCCCATTTTTTATTTCTGTTGTGTTCCTTCACTTATTCAGCCTTCTCTAAGGATAAGAAGACATACTCTATGTCATAGCTAATGAAAAATAATGTGTTCAGAAATATTGATAATGAGATACATATCCCTAACCTCATTATACCATGTATGAATGTCAATTAAGAACCTGAGCTGAAAATGGAACAAAGAAATAAAAACCAAGGCAAACATCATTTACCATCTTCAGAGTAAACATTGGGTTTATTGAAGATACATAAGCTATTAATTGATAATTTACTCAATAAACTTAACCCATCCTCTCATAACAGTGCTCATTATTAACTTGCAGGAATTGAACAAATAGTATGGACAGGAATAAATGACAATATACACAGGAGAATCATTAATAAAATTAGAATAATCTTTGCAATGTGTGGACTAATAAACCACAGGCATGAAGTGCCACTTGGGAACCTGGAAATGGGAAAACACAATATAAAAGGTGTCATTCTCTAAGACTGAAACACTCCTAAACCAGACCATTGCGGCAAGTTCTGTGCGATGGGCTGAGAAGTAATTTTGCTTTTGTGTGACTGCGATTCAAGTGGAACTTCAGGCTTTGATTCAATATTACTTGCATTTTGGATAATTTGAGTGTACAAGAACCTATCTAGAGTACCTCATATCCTTGCTATATCTCTAAACACACTAAATAAATGATGTAAAAATTCCCAAAGTCAAGGATTTTATATGCTTCCGTACAATACTGTGAATACTTCCTAGGTCAGGTCTGGGTGTTACAGAAACACCTGGAAGTTAACAGTATGTTACAACTGTTTGACTTCTTCAAGCTTAAACTGTATCAGCAGCGCTTATCTCTGAAACATTCCCTTCTGAATTTCTAATTTGCCATCACTAGAGTTACAAGAAGCTCAAACCTCTCCATCCGCTGTTAGCTCTGATTCCTAATCTTAGGCAGACTCATTTTTGGTAGCTGAAGAAACTACAGCCATCACCTGTTGTCTTCACACTTCTGTCAGAGGACGCCTTCCTGAACCATCACAACTGAATGGGCCAAGCTCTCTCCCCTTAGCCATTCCTGGGGTGGTCTATCATGGTAATTTAAGACACAGATGACTTCAGTTCATGCAGGTAGGCCAGTCTGGAAGCTCTCAGGTAGCTGGCAACCAGATGCTGTCCCCACTCCGCATGATGGCCTCAGGCAGGAGAGCTGCATGTACAGGAGCTGGAATGACTCTCATTACCATAGCTCCTTCTGCAGTATCACAATCTTCACAAATAAGGCAGAGTTGAGAAAAAGACTACAAAAATGCCAACATTATATTTAAGGAAAGAAGAGAGTACTCACCCCCACCAAGTGCATCTCCTAAATGTAGATCATTGTCTAAAAATGAGTAGGAGGAAGATGCAGAAAAGTGAGTTACACACCACTCTTGTGGGAAGCGAAATGTTAGTTTTAAGAGAACATGTACAACTGAATGTTTGAGAAGCACCTTTTTCAGATTAGTCCCACAAACTCACCTAAGCTATTACACTTTTCTTTAAAAGGCTGACAGAATCTAGTAGTTTCCTGCACACTAAGTGACAAATTATACAGTATTTTCTACTCAAAATATGAAGGGTTTTTTTCTGCTGTAAATGATGTAAAAATAAATCTTATAGTTGAATCAAGATAATACCTCTAACATATCTGTGAATACATAAATAAAATTTGCTATGTTAACATAACAAACCTATTTTCTAAATATGTTGCGTTGTACCTATTTTTTTAAATATGCTAAATTATCAACATTTATGTCTGTGGTTAAAACTGGTTTGTAATTTATTGAACTACAAAAACTGAATACACATTTCAAGAATAAATACTAGGGAGCAATAAACCTACTTGGACAGAGATATTGAATCAACTAATCTATGTACGAGTCATGGTGACATAAAAAGTTTTGCTTCAGGCAATTTAATGCACCTGTCTGTGGAATGAGTGACAGTCTAGTTTTTCTTTCTCTGAGCTATAAATGTTTTAAAATAGAATTAAATGTCTGCATGTGCATGTTACACAGAAAGTCAAGAGGCTACAACCATTGTCCCAGCACTGCACACGTGTCTTTCTGTACCTGGGATGGAATTTTCCATCCAATAAACAACTTGTATATGAGCTGCAGATGCAAAAAGAGGAACTCTCTTTCCAACATACAGATGTGGATATGAGTGTGTGGGTGATATTTCAAGGTGTATATGGAATGATGGCAAGTTCTGAGAGAAGTACATTAGATGGATGCCATAACTCCAAGGATCCCTTTATTTACACTTATAAATGTGGAATGGTACAATAAATCAGAAGAAATGGGACAGCAAAACCTACCTAAATTTTGACACCAGTGCTTATTGCCACAGACAATTAGATAGACTCTCAAATAAATATCTTTTTCATTATAATTGTGTTAGAATTCCCAAATCATAGTGCAGAAATATGCCTTCTGTGTTCTTTATATCCAGAAGGAGTGAGAAGCTGCTTTTGCACAATATCTAGTTATCTAGTCTCATTTGTGTAGCAACTCGGAAATGCTTTGGTGTCACCAGGATATCTGGCAGGAAAGTGATCAAATTCATACTAAATAATTTGGTTTGTTCCTGACAGGTGTTGATCCTCCCTATGTCCAGTCAGAAGAGAGTTGCATTTCAAAAATACCTTTACCTGTCAAAAGCTAACACTGTGAGAAGGAATAAATTGAAAACCGGATTCAATTTATTGTTGAGATGAAGAATTCAGGTAACATTTAGGATTCTGCTCTGGACGGTTCATGCAGAGATTTGTTGTATAAATGCTAAGGGTTATATGAATGAAATACAAATGGAAATGCATGTGTATGTAGGGACCATAAAAATCAGCAAAGTGTTAAAAGAACAGACAGTAAAGGTCACCGTTCCCAGCTGTAAAACTGAAGAATGTGTTGTTTCTGTCAAAACCAGCTGGCCTGTGTTCCGATGACAGCACAGATGACTTGACAGCAGAGGAAAGGCAGAAAGAATTTCTACACCAAAGGTTGCAGCATATCACTACTTTTCCTGATCATCCGTCCAGAAAATAAGTCTTGGACATGGTCTGTGTATTCCAAACAAGCAAAACCAGATAGTGGGCAGCAACCTGACCTAGGGTTCAGAGACACTGAAGTAAGAAATATTATGAGGCAAAAGAACCTCTCCATAATACCTGATTTATCCTAAGGGATATAAAAGATCTGTACATAAACAAGCTTGTCATTTCTGATCAAGAAGAACCTCAGAGAAAGGATAAGAGCTCAGTAGCTGGCATACCTTGTCCCATATTGCACATGATGCTCACCAGACCACCTAAGCACATACATCTTGGTGCTCATGAGCACAGGGGTTTGAGGATATGGCTGAGTTAAATCAAATGCAGGATGAATGTGAGTGGTAAAATCAAGTCATTTTGAGATTCTGTAAATAAACATTACCTTCCATTACATTTTGTGATGAATTTTGTTGCACTGGGAAGGTACCTAATGGAGAGCTTCAGCTCAGGAAGAGATGTGTGGGATGCCCAGATGACATGGCCTACGTAGCAATTGGCCTCCACTGAACAAAAACCTCAGCCAGCCTCACTTCTCAATGGCATTGACTGAACGAGACATAGAGGCAACCCCAGCATTAAGATGAAGCATTAGGCAGATGCTGAAACATACTATTGTTTCATCTTTCTGCACTTTCCAAATCCAATAATTGATTTTTAACACTGTGGATTTGGGATTTTTAAAACTCTCTGCAGTCCTCATCAGTGCTGAAAGAGATTCCAATATGGTCAGTAAACTGTGGAGTTCTTCATTCCCAAGAATTAGTGAGGTGGATTCGAATCATTTGGCAGTCATATCTCTAACAGATTTACGAGTCCCTGAAAATCAAATTCATTTCACCTGACTGAGGCAGCTTCGGTGCAGATACTGGAATCCCTAAGCTACCTTTAAACATGACCAAGGACAGAGTATTTTAGACACAATTCAAGTAACTTGCTTGAAATATTTACATTAGGATGAGAACAAATCCATGATTAGTGCAGTATTTTAAGCTAGACAGACACTTCTAATCTAGGCCAAACACAGATTTTCTTTGCCAAATGAAGTGGGAATGAAGAATGCAACCATTAAAGGATATAGTAGCTGCCACATTCACAAAATGTTGACCTTGTTTGTTCAAAGAGCAAGACAGAGAATTATGTGTATCTTAAGTCTTACTGCACTGTTTATCCAGAAGAAGAACTAAAGTTGTTGTGTAGGCTAATGTTATCCAGCATTTTCCAATTCAAACATTTTGTTTGACAGACAGAAATTTATTTCAGTGTTGTTTAGGTGAAAATGCTCTATATGTTATTATAAGTTGTTCCACCAAAAATATGGTTTTTTCAGCATTAAGAACTGCTCATTGGAATTCATTGTTTGGCATTCTCAGGACTATGGCTAAAACCTTTTGGTTCTCTCCACTGTTTAGAGCCCTTTTTCCTTTATGACACAGGTTTTGTAGCAATCAATACTAGATAATATGAAGTAAATACATAGTAAGAAGAAAGAATATCAAATTTCCTTCTGATTCTTTTCTGAGTCTGTTATCAAGCATCATGAATAATTATACAGAAAGAAAAAACAATGGGAAAAAAAGTAGATCAGTTATCCATTTTAGCAACAGTTACCCATTGTTATACTCCTCAGGGAATTCAATACAATCTGGAAAAGTGTGAAGAAGATCTTCAGCAAATAAAGTATCAGCACTGGCCAGTTAGGCTGTAAAACCTTACTGGAAGTGGTAAAGACCTGCAAATGGTAACTGTCAAAAAAACACTTCCTTTACATAAAGAAGACAGAAATTATTCACACAAATTATCTCAGCTAAAGTACAGTAGCAAAAATGATCAAGAATCTCAGAAGACAGTTCCTTACATATAGAAAATCAGTTTTATGACCCATTATTACTCACTCAGCACAGGTCTTGTGGGTCTTCTGATCACTGTAGGCTTCCTTGTAATTATGTCATCTGTTGGACACAATGACACACCAATAAACAATAAGCTTCAACTTAAGAAAAGCAGATATCTAAAAATCTAGACAGCTGCTTTCAATAAATTTTTGTTTATCACAGCATAAGCTAAAAATGAATGGATGTGTTTTCACAGCCATTTTTGGTTTGTTTGTTTTAAAGAAATCTTTCATTTTATGACAGAAACATTGAAATCTAGCATTTTCTAGTTCTGTATCTCTTTAACTGAAGTAGTAGCCACTTCATATTCCATTCCTCAAGGAAAAAGACTTAGGATTTATTACTGGGTGTAAATGCCATAGTAAAATAAGGATGTGAGATTTACATACCTGGGTGATCAAGGGCATCAGCTAAATCAAAATCGCCTTGACCTATAAGGAATGTGACAGAAGAAAAGACACGAAGTCAGTGGACAGGTTTCCATGACCTCCAGACCTGAGGGCTCTGGACAGAGCCGGAACACCAGTAAGAGGCAAAAGAAAAACCTCATCCAAAACCCCATCTGTGCCTGGAGCAGGCACAGAACAAGCTGTTAGCTGTCATCCCTGTGCTGTACAGTCCTGAATGACTGTGAGAAATGGGCTCATTTAATTCAAAGAAGCTATTTGTTCAGGTAGTGCAAGGAGAAGCTGCTCTCTCATGTTATCTACATTCATCTGCTGTGCAAACATGCCTTTGAAGAACACAGGTTGCCTGTTATAGGGCAGAGGACTATTGCCAGGAGACAGCTGAAATAGCATTCAGTGTGGTACTTGCAAACCCAGATCATTAGGTGAGAATTTTTAATATTCTTCATTATTATTTTACTAGCTCAGCTTCAGAGAGCAGCTTTACTGGCAAACTTGCCTTGTGATCACTTGTAACACAAATCAACTTTCTTTTTTTAATTCTTCCTGTAACATGGGCCAGAAGTAAAAGATATTAAGATGTGTTTACCTAATTTAGTTTCCCTGTACGTTAAAAAGTCTGAAAAGGGAGGGAAAAAAAACCCCTTCCTGTTCTGTGTTAGGTGACCATAATGTCTTTAAATGTTGCAGCAGGGCAATTAGCATCCCAACTTTTGAAGTTAGCAGGTGAATAAAACTGGAAAATGTTTAAACTGAAGCAGACAACTTTGAACAGAACACACACATTTATTCATGGGAGTCTTACTTTCAACTCTACAGCCTGCCACTTTCCCTTTAATCTACAGCCTTCATGAAATACCTCTTTGCAGAAAATGTATCCATTAGTTTTTATCCAGGCTGAAACTGCATCATCTTTGTGTTTGCATTCCAAATACAAGATCAGCAGGTACAAACCGACAAAAAGTCTTGATGTGTCATGACTTCCCTAAACACACAAGTATTACTGTGCTCTATTGAGTAAGCCTCAGGATGCTCTTGTTCTGCATCTGTTTATCTTCCCATCTCAAAAGCTTCATACCCAACCTTGATGTGTTTTTCTTGAGTAGTCTTGAACACTTCACAGCAAGAAAGGCACTGTTGTTTAGGTGGGGAAAGTTATGAACAGAGAGAGGCTGTCAGAAGTTCTTCAGCACAACTGTGCTCTGGCTTCAGCTCAGCTCCCTGTTCTTGACAGGTGCTGTACATCTTCATGGCATTCTTTTCACTAATCACTGTTCCTGAGTAATAGCTCTTGCCTGTGTCAAAAAGCTCCCAGAAAGATTAACTATCAGTGGTGAAACACTGTGTGATCCTCAAATAACAATCAGCACAGGAGCATAAAGTAGAAATGTTTTGATTCCTGTGAGGATTTTAATGTGAATCTGTGAACTTAATTATAGATGGGGTCTGACGGAAGAGATAAAGCAAGTTTGGAATGCAAAGTAGCGAATGGCTTCTAAAGCAAATCTGTCGCTACAAAATTTTATGACAAACCCATGTTTGGTAAGGAAAAACAGATAACAGCATAAGGCTTTCCCACTGATTTTATCAGAGTAGCATTTTATCTCTTATAATTTGATCTGTTCTCAGTGTGTCACCTTATCTGGCCACCTCTCTTTCCTGTGCCCTGGCCACTCAGCTAACCTTGCTGAGTCCAGTAATCTTTGGATGGGGTCTTTAGGTGGATAATATTAATGGAATTTATAGAATTATTTGGATTGGGCTTGTCTGGGCAACATGTTCTGGTACCTCATGACCCCTACAGTAAAAAAAAAAAAAAAAAAAAAAAAAAAAGATGTTCCTAATATCTAATTCAAATCTAGTCTCCTTCAATTTAAAGCCATTGCTAAAGCCATATTCTAAGACACTGATAGGTTGTTTTTTAAATATGAATCTATTAAATATATAAATATATAAAATAGACAAGTTGCTTCATCAGAATATATTCTCTGCCAGAGCCCTGAGTGCACCACCAGCCTTTACTGGCCCTGAGTCCCTGCCCATGGGCTATCACACCATGCTGCTCCCCAGCTATGGAACCATTTGATCTTGATGCAGACCACTACCAGCAGGCTGACATCCTGGCATTGCCTTGACTTATATGGTCGAATTATATTTTTCTGAAGCATTTCTTCAGTGCCAGGAGTATAAGCAACTTAAACTTGACTGTCCTTTGATTTTGTCCTCTAGATCGATATCCTGAGTGCTGGAGGAGGCTGCCTGACCTGAGCCCCACTGCCACAGGATGCTGCCGTCAGAGCTAAAACCATTTCTTGTTGGACTGAGCCATCAGAAACAATTTTGTAACCATAATCAGAACATGAGTCATCAGAAATAATTTGGTAACACTGAATAGCTGTTGGCAAAACCAGCTGCTTTGTTACAGGTCCTGACATGCAGGAAGTAACAATATGGAAAGACACTACTGAGGTCCTAATGTTGTAAAGAGAATGTGACAAAATCATCTCGTGAAGGAAGACTGTGGAAAACTTCAGGTACAATATTTCTTTGAAGTTAGGGAAAAATAAAAATAAGAGCTGGAATTTAATCAGAATTCAAGCAAGATGATGCAGATGATTTCAATTGCGTGAGAATTAAAGCAAAACAACAGACTGAAACAGTTACTAACATCTGCCCTTCTACTGGACAACATCATTTCCCTCCCTACTGCATGTCTGTTCTGTTATCAAAAACCTGGGAAAAGGCAAAAGAAGTTATTTTGAGACTGCAAAGGAGAAATAGAAGAAAATTACATCAATTTTTTTTTAATATATATATTGATATTTAAAAAATTATTTCTGACAATAAACCTAGCAATAAAAAGAAACAGATACCAACACAGAATGGCTGTTTGGGAGTAAGACAGGAATCCACACTGAAATCTCTTTGGCTGTGTGAATATAAACCTTGACAGATGGGCAGTTTGTACGTGGACATCTGTGCAGCATTGCATGTGATATTGCAATAAACCAGAAGATTGCTTGGACTTCCATCCCAACTTCCTCTGATAATAGTATCAAATGACCACAAGGACTAGGACTTTGTGGAGCAGAATTTTAAATGCTCATTACTATTTCTGAGACTGTACCTAGACATTTTACGAATCTAATTTTGGAGGATAACAGATGGTTAAATAGCTGAACAGCTCAGACTTCATTCACAGAATGGTGGGTCTAAAAACAAAACCACATCAGAGACTCAGAATATTTAGCTCAATAAGAACTGCAGTCACTTCAGAGAACTTTCAAGATAAATTACAAGGAAAATAAATTACTGAAGCTTCTCCACAGAATAAACAGACTGAAAGATATTAATTTTCCACATATAAAAATTACACTTTTTTTTTTAATCAGCTTCCATATTAGAAACAGCTGGAAATATATCCATGAAAATAAGAATGAAAGAAATTTTAGTGGGGTGAAAACAGCTTTGTGCCTTTGGGGTTTTTATTTGATTGGGGCTTTTGTATGTGCTGTTTGTTTTGTTGGTTGAATAAAGTTATGAAACCTGAATAGTTATAAAGATACTTAGCTATACAGGTGGTAACAGAGTTATTTCTGTTATTACCACTTTGGGCTAGTAGTATGCTATTTCTTGGCATAACTTCTAACCTTTTTTCTGGGAGTATCCATGTTTTGACAAAGAAATAAAATTACTGTAATACTGGTTTTTATTGGGTGGTCCTCAATGATTCATAACAGAGAATTTGAAAAAATGCTTATAAGCATTGCCTAACACTGCAAAACAGTCCTTATCTGCAAATGAGAAAATGCAAAGCCAAGAAGGCAAGCCTTTTGGATGGATATATGGATTGTATTGAGAAAGGAGCTATTTTAATTATGTTTATGCTAGCTGCTCAAACACAATGAACTATAATAACAGCAGGACTTTAGCTAGCACTGCCAATCTTATTTGGGATGCAATTCCCTCATTCCCACCCAAGACCTGTTGCTGTGCCAGTAAAAAAATGAAGTGTAGAGCCAGCCTAACCTTTGTAATATCACGTGTGGAAGGCTGGTGATATGAAGACTGTTACGGTTGCTGTTTGCCCCAGAGATACTGAGACAGCTTTAAGTAATTCCCCTTGACTATAAGACACATCCTGCTGAAGCACTGTAGAGCTGAGGTCATCTTACCCTGCCAAGGCAGTCAGTCCTCTGCAAAGTCATGTCCTCAGGCACGTGTGCATTTAATGCTCACAAACTTTGTCCCACGTTAGTTTTCTGAAAATGTGACACAAATATCCAGTAGCTAAAATGCAGACAACAGCGTCTTTTGTCTATGATTTAATTTGTTACCTAAATGTTAGATGGATCCACCCTTTGATTACGTAGCTGTCTGATCACAAGAGTCTGAGGTCCCACAGCTTTTAAGGAGGATTTATGAGGAACAAGCTTTCTGCAGGTGAGTGTTACCAGTTCATCATTTCAACTGTGGTCAGAACTTTTCTGACAAAAAGCTACCATGACATCACTGCAATTTTTAATCTCCCTAACTAGGCTCAGTCCTGCACTGGATCCATACAAGTACAGCCTGTGGCCCTTAAAATGATGCATATTTAAATAAGACAGCATGAATATTGCTAAGTGAGAATCAGGTTATGCGACAAATGAAATTAACTTCTCAGGCTTTTAATATGCACAGTCTAGTATTAAAAATAAAGCTAAGAGCCATGAGAAAATGTGTTTGTATGTGTTTATAAATGTTTGTGGACATAAGTTTCAAATGCATATATGCACATGTGTGTTAGATAAATAATGTTGTTATTAATGTTATTAAATTATTGTTATTAAATTAATTGGGTTTGAGTGCATTAAATAAAAAATAAATTAGAAGCAATTAGCTTCAAATTGTGAGCTAGATAAAAAGGGAAAATAAGCTTATTTTACAGTATTTAAGACATGAACAAGTATGATTTCTTCAGTGTAATTAAATAAGAATTGTTTTGTGAATACAATGAGCTTAAAACACTATGAAGCTGGCAGAGACTGAGGAAGAAGTGAATGACTCAAAAATGAGAACAAAAATTTTCTAAAAGGGAACAGTATGTTACCAAAATCACTCATGAGACCCATTTTGTGTTCTTTTCAGCTGAAATAGTAAGTTATTCTTTACACAGACCATTTCTGATTATAATAGAATCATGAGAGCTATTTCCTCTGTAATTAGAAAAAGGGATGGATTTTCCCATGCATGTGATTCAGAACACACCCGTTTATTGATCCAGCTTTATTCAGGAAGCAATTATGTTTGTTAAAAGGAAATTACTCATTTAAGAAAAGTTGTGGGAGAACATTAAAGTTTACGCCCCACAGTGGACACTGTGGACAAAATCTCCATTAGCAGGTACTATTTCTTTCATGTAATACCCTCATGATCCATATTTCCTGATGAGGTTCCTGTAGCTTGTTTTTCCTTCATGACCCTTTAGTTTCATAAACAATGATTGCCATTACAACCCCTTGATGCTGGGGTGGAAAATGAGTATGCTTCAAAATCTATAATTAAGACCTAAGGTCCAGTATATAGACCACAACATGTGGACCTGATTATTGGCTTCATGTTTTTAGCTAGGCCACTTCTGGTTGTAGTTTGAATTCAAGGGAAATTAAAAGGACTCTCTCACTTACTCAAACAAGAACTCATTTAAATAATTACTAGCAACTTAGATGGGCTAATAAAGCAAGAGTGGTAGTACTGCTTTAGCCCTGTGCAGCCTGGTATCATCAAACATGAAAGAAAATCTTCCAGTTCTATGATATTTGCTTTGCTCTGGACATACCAAGTACACTGGTAAAATACATGCAAAATACCTCTAGATCTTCAGCAGGGGTAGCCCAGATCTCAACAGTGCTGTCCTGTAACTTAACATCAAGTTGAATTTTTTTCAGGAATTCCATGCCCCCTGATGTCATAGGAGCTCATCAGCGTAATTATCTCTGCTGCTTCTAAGGGGGTTAGTAATATTGCCAAACTGAAGTGGGTGATCAGGGTGCTTTATACAGATTCTTTGCTTGTGTGTTTAGGATGCAAGACAGCAACGAAGCAGGGCCTGCCTCTTGTCTCTTTCATGCCATTAAGAACATATTTTCCAGAAAACAATAATGCTGGAAAGATTTGCTGGACATAAGCAAGCAGGCCTGTTCAGCAACAAAGTCTCTACAGAGTAAATGAGAAGTACAATTAGGCTCCTTTCTCAGGCCTGAAGAAGCCTCTGCATGTGCCACCACAGTACGCAGAGAAGCCTCTCAGAATGACCCTGGACAGAGGGTGATATTGAGGATCAGTTTCTATCTGAATTTCAGAAGCAAGAGACTTGGAAGAGGATCTGGCAGCTTAGTCTTCCACAGAGAACTGAAACGAAGAGTCTTGTCATGCAAAATGTTGTGAATATCTGGGTTGGATTTATGAAAAAAAGAGTCAGTTTCTTTCTTTTACAATTATGCTCAGGAAACAAAAGGGTCTGTATGACATTCGTGAATAGAAATATCTCGCTCGTATCTCAACTTCTGCTCCTTGCAGATGGTAGCCTGTAAGATGGAGATGCAGTTTTGATGTGCATAGATTTGATATAGATTGTGATTCTGGAGGCTTTGTTGCTGTTAACTCAGGACTGTTCCTGATGTGGAGTGTATGTCCCTGGTTCCTTCACCACTGGTGTGGTAAGACCTGGGATCTAAGGAAGGAGACCTGGGATGTAAGGAAGGACTTTATTTTAATTTTTCTGCTAATCTTAGTGCCTACTCTGGCCTTTGTTTTCATTTAACATGGAGCACTGTTGCCCTTTAAAAATATATTGCTGTGATTTTACTTCCTACGTAAATTCCTCAGGAATTTAAAATCTATTGATGACAAGCAAAGCTTATTCAATGGAAGTGGAACTGTTACATTTTCATAACCCACCCAAGCCCTTTCTATCATCTGAGATGGTGTTTGCCTTCATGAGATACTGTACTAAGATCAGATTTTAGACAGTATTTTCCCAAAACATCCATAGATGTCAGCCTGTGGAAATGAAGGAAGACAAGACAATCTAAACCTCTCTTCTCTTAAGGACCTATTTTTATTGATTTCTAATCTTGAAAGAGTTCTGACATTTTTTTTTGTTCGTGGTTTTTTTGTTTTGTTTTTGTTTTTGTTTTTTTGGTTTTTTTTATTACCATCAGTGGGGTGGAAAGGGATTGACAATTGCTGATGCAAATAAGCTAAAATAGATACTGAAAACAGGCAGGTTGGGCACTGCTGCCAGGCTTGCAATGTGGCAGCAATGTTTGAAAAGTGAATCTGAGAAGCTGAGTAACTACCCCAGGTTTTTTCTCTTCTCAAGCTCTGATGTTGCAACTCTGCCCTTTAGTGTTTCAGTTACTGTTTCAATCAGTTCAGGTATGTCAATTTATCACACTGCAATCACACCCTTGAATGATAGCACTGACATGCCTACAGATAATCGCAGTTCTGGTACTGGGAGTGAAATAGTTTTGGCAGTCAGCAGGAGAGAATTTGTTGTCTGATACTTCCCTGCACTCAGTCCCGTGAGGGCTTCAGCACGTGCACAGGGACCTCACACGGAACAACAGTGGGGACTAGAGCTGGATGGAGCAGTAAGAAAAACAGGACTGTGATTTTCATCTCTCCTATTCTGTCTTTTAACTCCAGTGAAAACTACATTATTCACAGAACTAAGTCACATAGCGTCTCAAATCCAAACAGGTCTGTCATTTTCTCCCCATAAAGTGCCCAGCTAATTAACCAAGAATACAATTAATTTTGAGTCAAAAACTTTATAAGCCTTAGCTGAACGGTGGTACATGGCTTACTGCCTAGCAATAAATGATGTTCTTTTCACCTACGTAGCATTCCATACCTGATGGAGCAAACTGAAGGCATATCAGACATCATCAATCTTTTCACCGTTTTTGTTACTAAGTCAACACGTGATCTATCAGCTGACCTTAAAGACCATGGATATTTGGATTATGTCTATATTGGGAACCTGAGGAGCATTCTGGGCAGTCAGGTGTGAGTGAAAGTCTCACCTGCTTCCCAGGTCCATAAAGGAGAGAGCCCTCAGGTTGCACTGCTTCCACACTGCAGGTGTGCACACAGGTTTATGGTCCAAATGAGACCCACACTATGTTTCCAACAAGTGCATGATCTCAGTTACTGGGAGGCTAGGAACCTAACTTAGGCTGTGCTGAGACACAACTAAGTGGGCAGTGTAGACACAGCCAAAAGCTGGATTACCACAGGTCAGCCCAGCCTCAGTATCTGACACAGGATGTTAGCATGAACTCCAGTGGAAGAAGTTTCTGTGAAGTTTATTTCATTTGGATTGGCCTAAAAGCCATTCAGACCCGAACTGTATCAGGTCTCACTTTTCTTGCTCAATATGGTCCTTGTTTATGCTACGCTTCTGTTGAGATGTGTCCATCAAGGCAATCTAGTGAAGTAACTGAAGATAGTCAGACATAAAGGAAGTGCTAAATGGGAAGAAGAATCGTGTCATCTGGTCTGGCTGTGGTGGCTCAGTAGTTTCTAGAAGTTATCACAGATGGTTACAGCTTAGAAAAGAATTAAGCTGCAATATAAAAAGGTGAACAATACCACAGACATTTCTTATCATGAGGACTTAGACCAACTCTTTACCAGCATGGCCAAGCCTTTCTCATATCATGTCTTGATTGGGATTGAGAAGTGGTTCCTGTACATATCCCCTTAAACATGGTGAATACTTTGATGATAAAATTCAGTGTCTGTTGCTATAGATTAAAACAATTAATTTTGCTCATCAGAGTGGATTAAATAGTTTCCAGAGTCATAAGACTGTGCCCAAAGCCCACAGCAACTTTCAGTAATGACTTTTCCCCCCAAAGCAGGGCCTGAACAGGCTCTAAATTAAGATGTGCATAAATCAAGAATGATTAGGCCGACTACCCTTATAATTAAAATGGTAGAGTATATGGAAATTGGCTTGCTCATGCTCAGTTTGTTTGAACAGAAATATTCAACATAAGACAGTCTTCCAGAACAAGAAAATCTGCATGCCAGGGATGAGAGACTCCATGAATCATCACTGCTAACAACACGCTACATGCAGGCCAGCACAATCCTACTGCTCTGCTCTTTCTACGTAATGTTACTTGCTGAAGACCTCTAAATAATTTCTCATTTGTTAAAATATTGCATTAAGTTAAAGCAAGGATTTTTAACTGCTCATCACTGCAAGGTCTCCTAGGGACTCCATTTAAATCAAGGATGGTGGGAGGATCAGCAGCAGCTATTTTGGAACTAGTGATTAATGATAGATTTCTTCCTGCAGCAAAACACTGCACTACAAGTTTCTGAAGTAATGCTAATACACAAAAAAAGAAAAGGTTACAAGTACACCATATGGCAAATGCACACCAGGATAATCCTATTTGGTTTGACATCAAGAAAAGTTTAACAGAATGTTTTGCTTAAAGACCATGTATTTGAATATAGTAAAACAACTAAGTATGAACAGGTTAAATTTTCCTGACTATTTGTTCATCACATATATATATATCTATATCTCTCACATGTATATATATATATATATATACACACATTTAAAATGTATTCAATTCTTAACTAATCCTGCATGAAAAAATGTATGCTTGTGTGTGGAATGCATGGACTAAGGTTAATCAATTATTAATTTATAATTATTTAAGCATATGCACCAATATAAAAGCATAAGAATCCTTAAACTGAATTTGTTTTTACAAAAAAACTAGTATGTTTCAAGATATCAATAACCAAGAACAGCTTTAAAACATGAAGTCAGTATTTTACTAAGGATCTCTCTGGAAACTGTAAGTTCCCCTGGAAGCTCTCATTTTACCGCTTCCATTTAAAAAGTTTATACTCAAGTCTAAGCTTGTGAATAATTTTATGGGAGCAACACTACAGAGAAAATAAGAAATTATAACAAACAAACTCCAACTAGCATGGCTATTATGAGCAATCACCCAAGAGATACATATCTCTTTAGAAACTGCAGAAATAGTTACGTAAACACTCTTGAATGCTTCTCGTGAATCGATAGCAACAAACAAACAAATAAACAAAAGCCAGCAAGCATTTCCAAATAAACAAACATATTTGTTTTAGGGGTTGGAGTTTAAGGTTTTGATTTTTTTTTTTTTTCATTTTTAATAATCATGCACTAGAAATAAGCCAAGGCAAAGGTCACTTACCTCTTACATGGACTAGAAGGAAGCCAAAGCACAAAAGAAAAATACTTCTGAATTTCTCCATGCTCTTCTATGCAGTGCCTTGATTGTACCGGTTGGTTTTTTCCAAGTGATGATGTTGTAACAGCAGCGCCAAGGTTTGAGTGACACGCTTAGAATCAGCGGCTCTGCCCAAAGAGGTCTCTCACCATCACATGCAAGCAATGCAGAAGAGAGAGAAGTCCCTGAAAACCTGTTTGTGTACAAGACAAGTAACAAAAGCAAATAACCTTGCTAGGGCCAAGCTGTGAGCAGCACCTGAGGTGCGACCTGTGCTCCAAGAAATCTATTTATTACCCAGGCAGGAAGCACGGAGAGCTGGGGAAGCAATGGCAGCACCCAATGAGGAGGGAGCCTGAGTGCTCAGAGTACACCTCCTCCCCGCAGGGGAAAACCAACCTGTTTGACATCCTTGCCTTCAAAGCAGGGTGTGGTGCTGGGAGAGCTCAAGTAGCTTGTAAGAGGAGACCATCTTTCTCTGAAGCGGGCTTGAAAGAATCACTCAGACACACTCTGTCCTCAAAGCACCACTTCTCTGCTTGGTTCTTGGCTGAGCAACAACTACTGATAAAGGCAATACTGCCAGAGTCCTAATCCCTAACTCAGGCCGCCGTGTTAGGGAAGTGGAGGCCAAGAATCTGCTT